CTATCCACCTAAAAAGCAGCCAACCCCAAAACATTTTATGACACAAATCGTTTCAAATTTTATTTAAAAAATTTATTTCTTGCTCTCATGTTGTTTTCTTGTCTAAAACATGTAACTTATGTTGTTGCCCCCTCAAAAAATCTACCTACCTACCCAACCCCACAAAGCACAGGTAGGCAACATCAAACGAGGAATTTGTTAAGAGTGGCCTAACCTGTGGATTCTTTTATTTTCATTGGTACCCGTTTCCCGGGACTGACTGAGTGTTGGAGAAATTAAATTGTTGCTTTCAAAGATACTTAATTTTGGGGTTTTGTCATTTGAACCAATCAAGGTAACTAAGAATTGCATTTTGTCTTGTATCTTGTATTTGAAATTTTTGTTTCACTTTACCCATGATTTTTGCCCTGTCTATCACAAAAGTTCGTGTATTCCAAATCTCCTATAGTTAACATACAGACAGATCAAAACTTGATAGAATTACAATGAGCCCATATGTAGTTGTTTATTTTCCTATTTAGATTTTGATCAGATTGCTTTTTGCATCAACTTTTGTATTGTGGGGGGTAAGGATGGTGTGGGGGGATAGGAGATTTTGTACCAAAATATGACTTGACTTCTTGTCAGATGGAGTTATTGCCCTTAAATGACAATGTTTAACCAATTTTAGCATTCCTTCTTATATGATTTTTTTGAAAACTGTTGTAGTAGACATGGAAATCTTAATGGCAAAAATGTGGAGGGAGTCTAGATTTACCTAAACATGTAAAAACTTTATCACTCAAAGTCGTCAGATAATTCTAGTAGCACTTACTGTGTGTTCATTTATTTTTGTGGGTACCAATTTTCCTAGATTGAGGAAAACTTGTATTTCTGTGGATTTTTGATTTCATGGTGCCAAAGATAAATGCATACATGCTTTAAAGAAAATGTGTACTTCCTTGAACCTAAGAAATTCATGGTTAATCTATACCAACGAGATCCATGATAATTGGTCTCCCATGAAAAATAATGAGTCCACAGTACTTGGCCTTTTTATGATGACTTTTATATAAACTTTTGTTGTTTTGAGAACAATTATGAACAGGGATCCAGGAGATTTGATAAACAATAGCTAAATAAGTGGTAATTACTAAAGCTAGTTTCTTCGGGTACAGCCTCGAGTTACATAATATCACAATAAAATTGTAGACTTGAGCACTGGAAAACTTAAAAGAGATCATCATCTTTATGAAAAAATGATTTCATGAGCTCTAAAACAGACATAAATATTGCTGAAGGTGTAAAGATATGATTATTAATTACTTTTGAAAGAGATTGCAAAATCAAAGGAATTCCTGTGAACAACAAAATAATTGTACATAATATTTATAGCTGAAACTCTCAGTGCATCTCTTTATTAAAATAACATTACTTTCACAACAGTGAAGAAATACAACTATTTCTTACATTATTCTTCAAATAATAGGAAATTAACAAGTATATTCCAGAGTGTTTGTTTCATTGCTAGCCAATCCAATGTGTTTGACTTTTTCAAGTAGTAACTTGTGTTAGTTTTAAGTTATGAAATAAACATTTTTATGTCATGCAAGGATTTGAAGAGTTTTATTTAAAACTGTTTAGCCAGCAATATTTTTGGAATTGCAAATACACAGAGAAGGTACTATAATGAGTGAAGCTTTAATCTTTTGTGGATGCTATTTCATAGTTTTCAAGGACATAAATCTTACCCAAACTTTCAACAAGGTCATTGTTATTGGCCCTGCAAACAAAGATGTTTTAGGGGTGTATATAGGAATAGTTTCTTTTCTGGTTATTTCCCATTTTATGTCTTTATGTTTTTATCCCTTTTTATACATATGAGTCAAAAGGTTGTGTATTAAGAAGTCTCACAGCTGATACCTTATTTGAAATTTTTGACTACATCTTTCTACTTCTTGCTTGAAGCCTTCTGTCCGAACACATTTTATGCCTATGACACAAGATTATGAGGTATGTGACACAAGATTATGTGGTATACTCAACCCAATAGTTACAATTTATTGCTATTGAAATGAAATTGTCTTTCGTATGGCCACTTGCTTAGATCCAGTAGTCATTTTAAGGCCACATATTATATAAATGTGTTGGAAAGGACCAGTATATTTGGTCAAATGGTTGAAGCATTATTTTTGGTTTTGTCACTGGTAGCATACCCACTTGAGTGCTGGAGGTTGTTAGATCCCAAGCCAGGTTAAGTCAAAGCTTTCTTCTTCATTTCTGTCCTACTTATATGAATTTAGAAATAGTATAAAATGTTTGCATGCTCTTATATTTTGTATTATTATATATTATGTTACTGGACTTAAAACAAAAATCCATCCATTCATCAAATCATTGAATAGCAATGCTTCAATAAGGGTAGCACTTTGTGAAATTACATTTCCATTTATAAACATTTTACATGAGTTTAATCAAAAGTCATAACAGGAAAATCAAGGTCAGACCATGAGAGCAATATTCTTCAATGGTTAAAGTCTGTTTAAGACTTCAAAAAATGTTATGTAATCATACATTGCCCATGTTGTTATCTGCCTTCTTATAGATATCACTCCTACAATTATTACATATAATACAAAGTTGTTACAGTGTTAATGAAAAGGCTTGGTTACAATACCAATTGGCTAAAATGTGTTTCCAGGTTGCAGTATGTCAATTCATATCTTCAAACAGATCAACTGGGGAAAATTGTTATCTGTTGCTAGTAAAAGATTGTTAGCTAATGTTTAATCAGTTGCACTAATATAAACAAATATTCTTACAATCCTATTCAAGTGATTTTCTTTTTTAATGTTAAGGTTAGAATTATATTGATCAACTAGATATTATGTAGGAACACAAGTTTTATAAAAAAAATATGACTCATGTAGCTCCTCATGTATATAAGCAGTTATACATCCTTGACTTGTTTTAGCATCCCTGATGAGAGTTAATCCAGAAAAATACTTTGGATGCATCAAATTTATAAACTGTTATTTGCATTTTCTAGCACTGTGTCAATATGGCTGCTGATGGACTAACTAGTCACTAAGTGGATTTGACTTTTCTTTTTAGTTCCTTTTGTTCATTTAGCTACACATGTATTCAAATAGTTTTATATCCTTTGCTTTCAAACTTTTGGGTATGAGCTTTCCAGATGAAGAAACGCACTTTGGATGCACCAAATTTATATACTGTAAATTCTGAAATTATTGCGATGTTTTTATTATTGCCAAAATTGGGACAGGGTTATAATCATAATAATTTAAACTCGCATTTTGATTTTTTTATATGAATTAAACAGGGTTTTTCTCAATATTGCAAAAATTAAAATCGCATTTTAGTCTAAAATGACAAAATCGCAATAATAAATGCACGCCATTATTTCTGAATTTACAGTAGTGTTATTTTCATTGTATATGAAAAATTTCATAAAAATGACAGTTTGTATGTACTAATTAGTTCTAAACATTGTTTTATGGTGAACAATAAAACATTGCTTTTTTCTCACAAAAAGATATTTTATAATTATAACTAGAATCTTGTTTCTATGGGAATTACTGAAGTACTGATATCAAAGGGAGATAACTCATTAGCTAAATCAATGACAGAATATTGAATATTAAGCACAAATTTTCACCAGTTGATCAGTTTAAAGCAATGAAATCAATAGGTGAAAAAACAGATTTTGGCCTATTGGTATATTGAAGGACAAGCCTTTGGAATAAGCCCAGTAAATGACCAGAAACCAAGTTCATCTATAATTGGTTGGTCAAGATAACAACCTATAAGTAACTGAAATCATGTCCAGCTGTATGGATCGAAGTTTTATTTTAGGTTCAATGAGAACATATCCTGTTTGGTGATCTGGCTTCAAAGTTGAAAAACTGTGTACAACATAAAGGTTACATAGAGGACAACTTTGGACCAATATTTACAGGATCTATGTAGTATGCATACTGACCGTGCAAAAACCTCATGGATAGTCAAGGTTGTTAAAAAAAAACTTCGTCGTACTATGCATATGCATATAAGTCACATGAAATTTCTGGTCTTGGGAATGATTTTTAGAGTCATTAGTCTAGCTGAAACAATAAAAATATTTAAGACTGTATAGGGGTACTGAAATAACTTTGCTTATAACTGTTTTATTGTATACACATTTTTTTTGTCAGAAACCAGTTAGAAGAATGGTTTATGTTTTTATAGTTGATATGATAAATTCATCAATGATTATTTCACAGACAATTATCACCCCTAGATCACTTATCATTCTCTCCTTAATGGAAAATTTATCTGTAAAACTGAGATTTAGTTGGAACGTTTTACTTTGTGATTAATTTGTTATTATTGTTAGATTATGTTGTGCCTACATATCCCCTTGTGATTAAATTCTTATTATTCTAAGATTCTTAGTAAAATGTGTTTTCATTATAGTATAGATCATAATCATAGACTGATAGAGTAGTTTTCCTTGTATAACTCAGATTTAAGATAAATGAGACTAGTAAGTTATGTTTATTTTTCTGAAAGCAATTGTCTTTATGATTACATCCTTGTATCTATTCATGGCATTGTTCATTTTTTACATCCTTAATGTAGATGTTCACTTTTAGCTCACCTGATCACTCAAAAGGTCATGTGAGCTGTCATATTGCTTTAATTCCATTCTCTTTTTTTTTTTAAATATTCTTTCCTGAAATCATAGCATAGATTTGGATCAAATGTCACTTGAATTAGCTTATGCTGGTCTACTTAAGGTTTTGTAGTTTCTGTCTCCTTTGTTATTTGAAGTGTTTACCTAAATATATAGAGAAGTGATACTTATCATTCTGTGCAATACTTGATATTAAGTTTCATAAGAAAGTTTTTTTTTCAAAAGTAGCGTTTCTTTAAGATTGACAAGATTTTTATACAACATTAAAATGTTACCATGGTTACGACTTTTTATTTTTATATGTATTTTTATTATATTTTTTTAGTGTCCACCATGTAAAGCCTTTACACCAGAGTTGATAAGAATTTATGAGATGTTAAAGTCAAATGGAAAGAATATGGAGTTCGTGTTCGTCAGTTCAGACAGAAGCCAGGATTCGTTTGATGTGTTTTTTGATTCCATGCCATGGATGGCGATTCCGTTTGGGGATTCAAGGACAGAAGCACTTAAAGGCCTTTTCGGCATAGATGGTAACACAAAATATATTTCTCAGGAAGCATGTTTCCAGAGTGTTGACAAGTTTTCTGATGTTTTAATGTCATAACAGACTGTCCAGAATAGTTTTTCATGCAAACGTAGAATATCTTTCAACACTTTTTGCTGATATTTAGCAGCTTTATATTGTATCATTCCTGTTGAAAACACATCAGTTTAGTGCTACATACTGTTGATTCATTTAATTTCATTTGTACCAATTTCATGAATTGAAAATAAATTGTATTTTCATTGATACACAATGTACTTGATTTCCTGGTTTGCATTCAAGCCTAAGAGATATTTATATTCCTTCGATCATTTGAATATTGGTTGATCTTTATGTACAAAACCAACATAAATTGGTACCCAAAGAATAATAAAGAATTCACAGTTCCTCTTTCTCTAGTAACATCATTTCATCACTATGTGAAAAAGCAATCTTGATTAAAACCTGAAACCATATTTGTAATTAGAAACTCCCACATCAGAGTCCTTTTACATCCCAACAAAGATCACTTGACTTTGGTCAGGTATTTTCTTATTTCTCATTTCTTGTTACAAATTATGTTGATTGAAATAACCTTTTCCCTTTAGGACTCAGAACATTACAGTCATGACAGTTATTAAGTATAGGGTTTGGACAGGAATAAGTTTGGAAACTCCTATGGTCAAGAAATGACAGTACATTTGCTTGATAAATTTACTTTCCAAAGTTTTCTGTTGAAAATTGATGCTTGAAAAAATGTAACAATTGAAAAATCTGAAAAACTGTTTCCTGTATTTATTAAAATTTTGCATCTGCATGCTATAATATTACACAATCCTATTTGATGAAAGACTATACTGATAAAATTTCCAGATTAAAATCTTGAAATCTTGGAACATTAAATGAAGGAAGAAATTTAGATAAATCATCATTTATAAATCTTAAATTTAGATAGCATGCGTTAATGAATGGATACATTTTATAACCAAGATTATGTAATTTGCAAATATCTATTACATCAAGTTCACAGGACCTGAAAATAATATCAACTTTTTACACATTCATTTTAAAGTACATGTATACATTTCTATGTTGAATCCTTTGATTTGAGATATTACCAACAAAGTACAGAAACTGATATTTTCCCCTAACGTGAAAAATTAAACCTTCCCCTAATAGGTCAGAATTTCAATTAATAATAGTGTTTAAACTACTTTAACTAGTTGTAATACTGTAATATTTAGTATCTTGAATAACAAATATATGTTGGAAAAGATTTTGTATAACCTGTTCTTTAACCATTGTATTTTGACCTCACTACCATGGAAAGTAGGACCCCCTGCTCTTATATACTAAAGTTTTAAATTATAATAGTGTTTAAACTTCTTTAACTAGTTACAATGCTTCAATAAGTATCTTGATTGAAAAGATATGTTGGAGAAGATTTTATGTCCCTTTTTTTTAACCATGGTATTTTGACCTCCATACAATGGAAAATTGAACTCCTGTCCTTAAAATTCAGATTTTCAATTTGTAATAGTATTTTAACTTTTTCAATTAGTTATAATGCTGCAATAAGTATCTTGAAAGAAAAATATATGTTGGAAAAGATTTTATAATAATTTTTATTAACCAGGCTACTCTACATAGAAAATTGACCCCCCCCCCCCCCCCTGTGATAGGTCAAAATTTCAAATAATCATACTGTTTAAACTCTTTTACAAATGTAACTAGTTATGATGTTTGTTATTAGTATTTTGATATGAATATATGTTGGAAAGGTTTTTGATGAATTTTCTTAACCATGGTTTTTTCAACACCCTTCTATGGAAATTAGCATGATTCTGAGAGATTGGATTCTGAGTTTCTGAACAAAGATAGCAAAGCCAAAAGCTTAAAACTAGTTTTTTAATACCATTGCTGCCACCAGTTGTTGTAAATGTCTTTCTCAATAAATGCAAATTAGTCCAAATGGGTTTACATGGGTGTTCATAATAAAGTGTGTGTTTGTTCCAGACCATATGAGTATTTGGACCATACGTGTACAGTCCGGACCATATGCGTATACTCGTATGGTCTGACCATACGCGTACGGTTGGACCGTATGAGTATTGGGGTCTAGTAGAGCTGGACCATACATGTATTTGGACCATATGGGTTAATTTTAGACAAACATTTATCTTTAATTGAGTTTTACAAATTAACAATATTACAATTAGAGGAATAAAAGTGAATAAGTGAACATTCAATCAATTGAAATCTAAATCCTGTTTTGGCACTCTCGTCCTGGGTGGAACTTGTTGCCATAAGGAACGTCAGATTTTTTACATTTACATGTTTTGTTCATGCATATTACTTTGCATTTGCATCTCTTGCTAGCAACGGAAAAGCTTGCTTGTTTTGCGTCAGCATGAATTGAAATTCCTTGTTTTCCAATGTGCAGTTTCAATTTTGCATGTCAAAAGTTCTATATCACCCATATCATAACAGGAGTTTAATATGCCAAATTCACATAAAAGTTTGTACAAACTTGCATCTTTACCAATTATATCATCAATCCTACATAATTCAATTTCATGTACATGTATTACTGACATGCTAAATACAGGAGATTAACAGATTAAATTTACGTGACTTTTTATGCTCCACCTAGGGGCATTATGTTTTTCGGTCTGTGCATCCGTTCGTTCATCGGTTTGTCCATCCGTTAGTTCGTCCATCTGTCCCGCATCAGGTTAAAGATTTTGGTCAAGTTAGTTTTTGATGAAGTTGAAGTCCATTCAGCTTGAAACTTAGTACACATGTTCCCTATGATTTGATCTTTCTAATTTTAATGCCAAGTTAGAGTTTTGACCCCAATTATACGTTCCACTGAACATAGAAAATGATAGTGCGAGTACGAATTTCCATCTGTCATATGTCCATTGTCCTTGACCTCATTTCATAATCCTGTGACTGCTTGAAAAATAATTATATTTTTTTTGTCATGTGAATTTCTCACTTATTATGAGTAATAGAATAACTATATTTGGTATATGGGTTCCTTGCAAAGTCTACATGAATGTCAGACAGGGTTCACCTGACCTCGACCTCATTTCGTAGAACAGTGATCAAGGTTAAAGTTGCGTGATTAAGTCAGTTTCTCAGATACTATAAGCAGTAGGTCAATAATATGTGGTGTATAGAATGATTGTAAGGGGTACATGTCAGTCTGGCAGGTTTCATCTGACCTTGACCTCAATTTCATGGTTCACTGGTCAATGTATAGTTTTTGTGTTATGGTCTGTTTTTCAAGCGCTATAAGCAAATCAGGTCAACTATATTTGTTGTATGACATGATTGTAAGGTGAACATGTTGTTCTAGCTGGTATCATCTGATCTTGACCTCATTTTTTTAATGGTTCATTGGTCAATGTTACGTTTGGTGTTTTGGTCTGTTTTTCAAGTACTATAAGCAATAGGTCAGCTATATTTGGTGTATGGAATGATTGTAAGGTGTACATGTTGGTCCAGCCAAAATAATCTGACCTTGACCTCATTTTTATGGTCCATTGGTCAATATTATTGTTTTATGATTTGGTCTGTTTTTCAAATACTAATAGCAATAGGTCAGCTTTATTTGGTGTATGGAATAATAGTCAGGTGTATATGTCTATCTGGCAGGTATCATCTGACCTTGACCTCATCTTCATGGTCCATTGGTCAATGTTATGTTTTTTGTGTTTTGGTCTGTTTTTCAGTTACCTTAAGGTTGATGGGGTGTCTAAATTAAAATCCATAGAATTTTTTAATAATTTGTCAAAATGTAATTTATATCATGCTTTTTCCAAAAATATAATAAAAAGTATGGGTCATGGGGCTTTTTTTACACTACAGGTTGTGCAAAATTGTCAGATTTTGTATAGATTATGTATGGAAAACCCAATTTTGTGTGATAAAAAGAAAACTGCACCATAGAATTTTAAGATAAAATAGGAGAAGATAGCTCTAATAATATGCTTTCAGATAAGAAAAAGAAAAAATGGGGTCACTGGACTCGTTTTCTTGCTACGTAATAAAATAGGTATATTCACAACACATTCTATTTTAAAAATTACTTTATCTGAGTTATCTCCCCTTATGAGGCAAAGTTGAAAAAAAATGAATCAAGCTAAAATATTTTGTTTTTTGTAAAATACAGCGCCGTAAATATGATAAAACACATAATTTTTTATTTTAGCATGAAAAGTCTCACACATGAATTACATACTACTCTAGAAATTTGCACATTTAATTAAAGATCTAGACCGATTGTTATCTGCTATTTCAAAATCCAAAATGGAGGAAGACACCCTAGCTATCGTAAGCAATAGGTCAACTATATTTGGTGTATGGAATAATTGTAAGGTATACATGTCTATCTCACAGGATTTATTTGACCTTTACCTCATAGTCACAGATCTTAGAAATGTTAAGATTTTCTGATACTTTTAGTAAAAGCTTTAACTTTAAGACTTTCAACATAAAATCAATGGTCAGTAAAGCAGGTGAGACATTTCAGCGTGTGAACTCTTGTTTGCTGAATATGTACTTTCACAACACTTCCTATTGATTTTATGTTCAATATGTTAACCATCAAGGTCACAAATCCTAAAACCAGATTCAAATCATTGCAGAACAGTCTGAACTGCAGAACTCTGGAAGTGATTTGGAATTGGAACAAGACTGATGAATTTTGATTTTATTAATATTTTACAGGTATACTTATTTTGATGATGATAACTTTGTTACACGTATACCTTAATTAATGATGATTATTTTGTTAGAAGACATATTTTGTAACTGGTACACCTAGTTTAATGATGATCATTTTGTTACAGGTATACCTAGTTTAGTGATGATAGATGATAAAGGGGAGATAATTAACTTAAATGGGAGGGCAGCTGTTGTAGAAGATATTGAAGCAAAGGTATTTAGTGTGTGATATTTTTTCATATATTATTTATTGATAGGTAATAAAATTTTATAAATAGCTGTGTCCATAAACCCAACCCATCAAAACTTGCTACTACTACCAACCTTGACTTTAGTTAAACCACAACTGTCGTCTGTATATTATTTCTATTAAGACAAATTGCTGTAGTGTATAAGAAGGGTTGTAAAGGGGGGATACATGCACGGGAATAATGTTAAATAAGAATGAATTTCTACAATAAACATAACACAGAAAATGACAGTATTTAAAATGTTTTTTTCTTCCTGCATATGTTAATTCTTGCGTTTCAGTTCTCAACTGGCAACCTTTATCATATTCAAAAAATAGCAAGCATTTAAGAAGCTCCTTGAATTTTACTTGAAATAAAAGAACAGAGTTCTAATGTCCCCTGTGTTGCACATATTTTATTTATCTAAGAGCAGTAACTTTTTTTTTGTTCTTGAAAACTTTATACAAATATCTTTGAGAAATGAAGGCTTGAGAGAAAATACAATGAAACTTCCAACATGATTAATATTTTCAAGGGGCATAACTCTTAAAAATATTTGATCCGCACTGATTTTCGAACTTGTCTAAGACATTGCTTAAACAGTCTTACATCTAAACCCTTCAGAGTGAAAATTTCATATCTTTTCTCAATTATAATACAGTCTTACATCTAAACCCTTCAGAGTGAAATTTCATATCTCTTCTCAATTATAAAATGGTTAACTAGAGCTGTAAATCTGTCATCTCATGCTGATAAAGTGACATAATATTACCTAAGGATGTACACCTCTGAGGAGCCAAAAATTGCTAGAATTAAACTTTTTTTCTTAACCTGATTTTTGGGTTTATATGACTGTAAAAAAATAATTGGTGAAGAAAAAATCTTATGGTGGTGCACTTCTTTTTTTGCTACGGCCCTTTAAAAGTACCCAATTTTGATGATTTTCCCACTTTTCATCAATTTTTACCTATTTTTGGGCTATTATCGTGAAAAAAATCACAGTTCCACAATTAAACTTTTTTTCATACTTTCAATAAAGATGAAGTGGACCAATCTGAATAAATTTAACTAAAGAAAACTATAGGTAGGTGTTAATATAAGAAAGTTTTATCATATTTTGATGCTTTTTTGTGTCAAATTTACCATGCTGTCAATTTTGTAAATTTGTGATTTTAACAAAATGCCTATTATTTCAACTTTTTTGTTATATATGATTGAAAAAATACATATCTAAGAAATTTGAAAAGAAAAAAATGATATGGGATGTACATGATTCTGGTAAAATCATTTTTTGTACCCCTCACCTATTTTCTCAAAATTTTGGCTAAAAAGACTGACTTGATTGGTCGTAAAATTTGAAAAATTGATTACTCAAAAACTACTCATTGTAAATACACAATTTTTCACAGGGTTAAGTTTAATTATAACATTTTTAAAATTCATTGATATTTTCCACTTGTATCACATGTTTTGGAAATAATTCCAGAACGAGATTTCAACGAGACTGAAACGTCAGAAGAATACATCCTTAACAAACAGATGTTTAAAACAAAATAACTGAGTTTGTTAACAGTAGAGATGATAATACACAATATGTCTGAGTTTTCTGATATTACCACTCCAGGACAGGAACATTGAATTTAATTGAAATTTTGTTTATTTTAACATTTTTATAACTAATCATGGAAATTAAATATTAAAAAGGATGAAGGAAAGTTTGTGATGTCATATTTCCCTACACATTAAAAAAAAATGAAATTTTTATTTGTCTTCTTATGATTTTTAATTTGTATTACATGTTTAAATTTGTAATTAACTAAATATTCACATTTGTATTTACTATTAATTCATTCATTCAACAATTGCCACCTATTATCAAGAAAACAAAACATGAGGGTATTCATTTACTAACAAACTTTTAATTGAAGTGACAAATTTATTTGAATATTTTGTCTTTTCTAAGTGGTATGGCTGAAAAACTGATTTTCAATCCTACATCATTTTGATGTGATTTCTTGGGCATAGATATAGGACTGTATATAAACCTTTGATATAAATTTGATAAAAATCTGGCAAAAATTGTACACGTGAGAGCGCTTACAATGCAATTTTCCATACAATTAATACTTCCAAGTGGCATAACTCTTTTAAAAATATTTGAGTGGCACTGATTTTCAAAGTTGTCCGAGACATTGCTGATAAAAACATCTGATATCAATTTGATAAAATTCTGGTAAGTATTGTACACATGAGAGTGCCAACAATGCAATTTTCCATATAATTAATATTACCAAGGGACATAACTCTTTTAAAAATAATTGATCAGCACTGATTTTCGAACTTGTCTGAGGCATTGCTGATATAAACCTATAATGTATTTTTTATAAATATCTGGCAAGAATTGTACACGTGAGAGTGCTAACAAGGCCGGACGGAAGGACAGACGGACAGACGGACTGTATTTCTTTGTCCCCATAAAATTAAATTTACTGATCAGGTTGAACAGTGCCCTGTCTAGCTCGAATGAATGTCAAATACACAAATGCAAACATGTTCATCGTTAAAAAAATTACAGCGAAAATCTGGCATGAAAATACTCATTTTCTAACCCCTATTAGTTTACCATATGAATTTTATACACATCTATACGATTTATTGTTTTATAAATACTCTTACTATTGATTAAGTTATCTCACACATTGCATTCCTAGCAACAGTTTTTACAACTATTTGACATAAGTACTTTTTAATGCTTTTTATTTATTTAATAGAGGATTGCCAACATACCACCAAGTTTGTAATGATTCTTCTCAACAAAGAAGTAATAGTTATAAAGTAAAGTTATTTATGTTGAAAAATTATTTTTTTTATTAACTTTCATTAAAGAAAAAAGAAGGAAGTAGAGAAAACGTGAACTGTGGAATAATTTTTACAGACATAACATGTGATATTAGATAGCCGAGAGTTTTAGGTTATTTAATGGATTCTATAAGTGATGTATCATATTGGATAATTGAGAGTTTTAAGTCCTTAAATAGGTTCCGTAAATAGCAGACAGAATTAATTGATCAATTTCAGAAAAACTCATAACCACTTAAAAAATAAATTAATAAAAATGCATACGCCATATTCTCTATTGTGAAACATAGTAAATTTGTTTTACTTCAATAAGAAATAAATTGAAGCAATAAATTCATATTTATTTTTGTCTGGTTAAAATCTAAAAAATAGACTTTAAATAGAAATCCTATTTGTAGTACAAAGAAATAATATGGAAATGATTGTGAAGTTATCAATACACAAATGTGATAAACAATATAAAAAAAAGGGAAAAATAGGGTAAAAGTATGCTGATTTTGTTTTCTCTCATTTACTCCACCCCCCCCCCCCCCCTCCCCCTTCCAAAAGAAAAAAAAAACAAACAAAAAGCAAACAAAAAAACCTAAGCACATTAACAAATTATAAACAAATTTTCTCCAGTTTTCAATAAAACTTGATGTTTAAGTGGTCTATTTGATACTTATACAGTGTATTGACTCTGTCTGTGAAATTATTCCTTAAAGGGATCTACCACACTTCTGGGATAAGTAACTTCACATGCAAAGGATATATTTCCATTAAATTCATCCAAAAGGGGCTTGCCTCAAAGGTAAGTTGAGTCAGTTGACACATGTAATAGCAAAACATAAGGAATAGTAGAAAGAGGCACTAGCAATAATCAATTTCCTGAGGAAGGACATTAAGCTCTATAGATTGTGTCAGCTCACTTTGAGGGGAACTGCTTTTCAATGAGTTTAATGCAGATATATCCTTGCAGGCGGTGTAATACCTAGGAGCTTAACACTGAAATGTTCCTGACATACAAGCATTTATTTTTGTGATAAGATTTTATGTGAAATACGTTACTGGACATTATCACCTCAATATTTTTTTAACATTTTGTTTAGACTGCATGTATTGATCAATTTTAGTGACTTGAAGTACCCTTTCAGTTCAAATGCAGATGTTCAATTCTGTTGTTCAAGACAAGAATAGATTTGGTTTAAAAAAATTTGGCATCCATTTGTGTGAGAATATTGCATGGTATTGATGGAATAGAAAACTTCCCCTATTAAACAAATAAATTTGAAATTGATAGGGAACAGTTATATCATGATCCATGGTCACTGTTGTTTAGTTGAATATTTTCCCATTGAAAATTTCTTTTCATGCACAAGTACAGTAATGGAAGCCACCAAATTTGGTTAAATTATTGCATTTTAGAAAGAAAGCTACAATAGGACAAAAAAGCTATCATTTAGTCTTGACAAGATCTATCAGTGAGCTAAAAGAAGAAAATTATTTTTATTCTGTTTCTTTGCATTGTAGGATTATATTATCATTGATGTGTACCACAAATCCTCTTTTAGAATAAATCTAATGAAAACACTGGCGGAACAATACTTCATCTGAACCATTCCTTTTTTTTTTTTAGAGTTATTGATAAACTCAAAATTTCATTTAATTTTTTGTTTTAAATACATCATCCTGGAATATGCATGAAATAATTACCACTGAACGTTAAAGCAAGCAAAAATTAATCAATATTTTATACAAATAAAAGAATTCATTCTATTCTAATTTTCAAAAGCAAAAATAAGAAACAAAACCAAGAAAATCAGGAATGCTGTATTGTTATCAGAAAATAAGATCTGGTTTAACAAAAAAATTAATGAAAATAACATGAATGTAAAAATTATTCGATTATCGCATCGCAAAAATAGAAAAACTGTGACAAAGTATTTAGATTTCATGTTTCCAGGCTTTGTCAGATAACCTGAAAGTGTATTTGCTTTGAACTTTCAGTTTTTGCTTTGTTTTCTAACTAAAATCATATCAATCTCTTAACAAGATTTTTCTTTCGATGGTGAGTTTTTTTAGGATATGTAATGACAGAAAGTAATACTGGCAGAATTTCAAATCAAATAGGGAATGGAAACAGGGAATATGTCTAAAAAAATAACCGCCGGCCAAAGAGCAGAAATAGCCTGAGGGCACCAATGGGTCTTCAACGCAGCAAGAAAATCACACACCCAGAGGCGAGCTTCAGCTGGGCCCTGAACAATAATGTATACTAATTCAGCGAGAATGGATGCCACACTAAACTCCGAAACATATTTATATAAATGAACTAAAATTAAAAAAACACACAAGACTAACGAAGGCTAGAGGTTCCTGACTTGGGACAGAAAATGTGGCGGGGTTAAACATGTTTTGTGAGATCTCAACCCTCCTCCTATAACTTTAACCAATGTGGAATAAACATACACACAGCAATAGTATGAGTAAATTTAGATGTGTGGTATAAGTCAATTATGAGATATTGTCATCACAAAAAAAAACAAGAAGATATTTAACTGTAATTCAATTTCATGGGGTCTCAACATTGGATTTTGGGTACAGACGTGCAGCTAGTATTTTGAATACTCCCACCATTCATATATTGAAATCTTGTGGACATCACAACCCATAAATATATTTAATTACAAAGTCATTACCCATTCATAAATATATATTTCTCAGTTATCACATATACAATTTATGACATTTTAATTTGATTTAAAAGGATGAAATAGCATATATATACAGATATTTAATTGAAAGATGAAAATTACTGACCCATTGACATTTCATGTGGTGTAATTGCAACCCTTTGATATATTTGACACATAAAAAGGGCCCATTTCGGGATCTGTATTCCTTCATATTGGAAGTAACCCCCTAAGTCCAATTCATTTTCATGGATACTTTTTTTTAGAATTTATTTTTTTCTTGCAGTCTTTTCTGTGATATTCATTTTACAATTTTATGTTGATGTTTCATAGAATAGGAGATATAATTTTTTCTTTTTCACAACAGTTTATAGTCAGGATTATGTTCAAGTGAGAAAAGTCACTTAACTAAATCACTCATGCCTAATGATATGTTTACAAAGAACAGTATTACAAATAAAATGTATAAGCTATAAAATTTGCTGGGGAATTCCCAGACTCATATCCTCACTCTTGAAATCAATAACAAAAACTAACTGCTTCTTTCCATAAATAGATTGAAAATTAGACTTTATGAATTAAGTATAATAACAGTACTTTCTCAGTTGTTGTAGTACAGTAATACTATCTGATTGCAGGATTTTCCATGGTACCCAAAGCCTCTGAATGAATTAACTGGTTCAGCATCAGTCATGTTGAATGAGTCAGCTTGTTTAGTATTGTTTACAGGTAGGTAACTGGTTCAGCATCAGTCATGTTGAATGAGTCAGCTTTTTAGTGCTGTTTACAGGTAGGTAACTGGTTCAGCTTCAGTCATGTTGAAGGAGTCAGCTTGTTTAGTGCTGTTTACAGGTAGGTAATTGGTTCAGCTGGTTCAGCCTCAGTCATGTTGAATGAGTCAGCTTGTTTAGTACTGTTTACAGATAGGTAACTGGTTCAGCTTCAGTCATGTTGAATGAGTCAGCTTTTTAGTGCTGTTTACAGGTAGGTAACTGGTTCGGCTTCAGTCATGTTGAAGGAGTCAGCTTGTTTAGTGCTGTTTACAGGTAGGTAATTGGTTCAGCTGGTTCAGCCTCAGTCATGTTGAATGAGTCAGCTTGTTTAGTACTGTTTACAGGTAGGTAACTGGTTCAGCTTCAGTAATGTTGAAGGAGTCAGCTTGTTTAGTGCTGTTTACAGGTAGGTAATTGGTTCAGCCTGTTCAGCCTCAGTCATGTTGAATGAGTCAGCTTGTTTAGTACTGTTTACAGGTAGGTAACTGGTTCAGCTTCATTCATGTTGAAGGAGTCAGCTTGTTTAGTGCTGTTTACAGGTAGGTAACTGGTTCAGCTTCAGCCATGTTGAATGAGTCAGCTTGTTTAGTGCTTTTTACAGGTAGGTAACTGGTTCAGCTTCAGTCATGTTGAATGAGTCAGCTTGTTTAGTGCTGTTTACAGGTAGGTAACTGGTTCAGCTTCAGTCATGTTGAATGAGTCAGCTTGTTTAGTGCTGTTTACAGGTAGGTAACTGGTTCAGCTTCAGTCATGTTGAATGAGTCAGCTTGTTTAGTGCTGTTTACAGGTAGGTAACTGGTTCAGCTTCAGTCATGTTGAATGAGCCAGCTTGTTTAGTGCTGTTTACAGGTAGGTAATCAATCAGGGTTTATGTGCATGGAAAAAATAAAATGAATGATTTACCAATGATTTGAATATAATGTTTAGGCATAAATGTTGCATTTTAACCTATTTGCACAAAAGACAGCGAATGACAACCATCCAGCGCAAAAACATCTGAAATACATTGTGCAAATGTTCATAATAGTTCTACCACTCTATTAAATTATTGTAAAAAAACAGGCAGCTGTTGGAAATGTGAAAAAAGCTTCTGAAATTTCTATCAAATGCTTTAGTGCAGAAATTAAATTTATAATCATTAATATGAAAAAAAAGAGATGTGGTATGATTGCCATTGAGCAAAATTTCCACCAAAGGGCAAAGGATTATGATGTTAACATCTACAGGTGAAGGAATGTCCTTCAACAATGAGCAAAACATATGCCATATGGTAAGATATTGATTAAGGCTCTGAATGACATTATGTGTAACATTTCAGAAGAGAAAAACCAACAGCCTGATTTAAACCTATAAGGTTAAATAAAAAACAAATATAGCATTTTATATATTTGAGAATATTGTTTTTAAAGAAATTAGGAAAGTAGAAACTCTGAATTCATTATTATTCGTGATATACCAATTTTTTGTGGATTTTGTGGGTATAGGTAAATCACGAATTTAAATGTACAAAGAAGTGTACACCTTTAGTTATAGGCTTGAATAAATACTTTGGTAAAACAACGAAATAAAATATAATTGAAAATAAAACATTTCCGGACTCCACAAAAATTGGTTTCCATGAAAATAACTGAATCCACAGTATATAATTTGATTTGATTGTATTACAGAAGGAGAAGATAGTGATATAGATATGGCTATAGATGTACTGAGTGAGTTAGCTCAGGAAGAGAGTGAGAAAGGAGAAGATCAAGAATTGTTTTTCTTTTTTGGCGCTGATGTATGTATTATACTAAAATAAAGGGAATAAAAATAAAAATAAGTGGATGTGGTATGATTGCTAGTGAGACAACTTTCAACCAGAGACCAAATGATGTAGAATTTAGCAACTTTAGGTCACTGATGGCCAGCATGCACTTCAGGATATGATTTCACCAAATTTTGTGGTAATTACAAACTTTTATGAATGATGAAGATTCCTATTCAGTATGAATTTTAAAGTCACTAGGTATAAGATCAAGGTCATAGCTTCTTAAAATAGACTGAAATTTGTGGAGGAAAGGCGAAGGGTTCTCAGATTATGTACTAAGATAAGGTTAGTAAATGTGTGCTTTATTTTTAATACATATATGAGACTAGATATATATTGTATTTTTTAGGATGATATATGTTATAGTGTACGAGATTTTGCCAGTTTAGATGACCAGTGCCCATTACTTGTGATATTTGACTTTCCAGAACAGAAAATATATGTATGTAAAGAGACAGACATTACTAAGGACATTGCACGAGCGTTTGTCAAAAGTTATTTTAATGAAACTTTGGAATCCCGACCATTGAAGCCATCAGTATAAATTGTTATCTTTAAAGTGGCAATTTTGTAATGCAGATGTCATCATAAATACTTCTAGGAAGTTGTATTTTTTATTCAGCCTAGTGGAACTGTTGGATAATTTGTCCATTTGAGAAATATCTCAATTTTTGATTTAACTAATGGAACTGTGAGACTTTATCATCTGATCTGGATATACTTGCTGTTATTTGAACTCGGCAAAGTAAATTGAAATATCAAGATTTAACTTTTATGATGAAAATCCAGAGTAGATTTACAATGAAAACTGATATATCAAGAGTTTATTATCAATTGATAATCAAAATATTCAGAGATGATTTGTACAATGTACTGAAATATTCAGAGTTGATTTATAATGTAAATTAAAAAATCCAAAGTTGATTTATAATGAACATTGATATATCTGGAATTGATTTATTTTGTTAATCAAAATATCCAGAGTTGATATATATAATTTACATTAGAATATCCAGAGTTGATTTATAATGTACATTGAAATATCCAGAGTTGATTTATAATGTACATTGAAATATTCAGAGTTGCTTTATAATGTAAATGGAAATATCCGGAGTTGATTTACATTGTTAATAAAAATATCTAGAGTTGATTTGTATAATTTTCATTAATATATTCAGAGTTGATTTATAATCAAGGGTCCGGAAACGGTCATATTTGCCAGTCATGACCTAAACTGAAAGCTATTTGTACTAAATGACAGACTGGGATTTAGGACAATTTTATTTTTTTTACAGAAATAATTCCAGTCATCTTACTTGAGATCAGATTTCTTAATCGCCATTTTGCACTTATTTTTGTTTTGTAATCCCTTTCCTGTAATAAGACTGCCACTCCAGTATAGTATGATAATCCTGACGGCCCTCCTAATAACAATATTAATGCCTCCAGGAAATATTGACTTATGATCGCTATTCACTTATTACTTGTGTTTTTAATTCATACCTGACAGTGATCGCAAGCTCAGAACTAATATTAGAAAGAAATTAAATTTCCATGACAACTTTCTTCACTATTTAATTACTTTTCAGCAAAGACAATCTTCAATTCTGATTTAAGTAATTTTCCACAAGTCAAACTTGTGCTTTATATACAATGTAATACGCATGTGTGAAATTGTCTTCACCAGATTAGACACTTAATCGTAAAATGCAAAATGATTTTGCTAAATAAAACGAGTGCAACTTTTATCTGTTATAATCAAACACTTTCTAAGGTAATAAAATTATAAATCTGGTGATTTCCAGTCAATTTGATAAACAGAACGAATCCCGGAAATGAATCCGGAATTACTCGTACTCCAGTATTGCTGTGAAACTTCTGGTTTAAATTTCTTCTTCTAAATCGAAAGGACACTAGCGATGTCTGAGAAATTTACCATTTTGAGTCATTAAAATCATTTCAATTCTAAACTGTTGTTTTTTTTTTTTTTTTAAAAACAGTAACAAAAGTCATGAAGTAAATGTGATGAAACAGTCAATACAAGTTAGTTGATGCTATGAAAATAAAGTGTAAATAATTTTTGATAGTTTGAAAAAACACAGAAATGGTGTGAAAAATTCCGGATCCTTGTTTATAATGTATATTGAAATATCCAGAGTTGATTTATAATAGACATTGAAATATCAAGTTAATTTTTATAATATAAATTTAAATATCCAGTAGTTTTGAAAAGAAATTTGTAATGAAATTGATACTTCCTGCTGTATTTTAAGTTTAATTCTGCTTTTGTATCACTGCTGTTATATATTTTTCTTGTTTTTAAATAATTCAGAAGAACATTTTTGGGTTTGGATCCCTAAAAAACTGTATGTTCAATTACAAAACAGTATATTCAATTACAAAAAATGGGTTTTGAAGCATTTATTTGCATAGAATACATTTTTGAACTTTTAAAGTTGATAAGATTTTATATTCTCAGTACTGTGAGAGGAGTTTTATGAAGATATTGAATTTTTGTTATTAAGAAACATGTCTTTATGGTTACCATTATATTTCATTCATTGTTTATAAAATGGTGTAGTAAATTAAAATGATTTCATATTCTGTGAAAATATAGTGGTAGATTCCTCTAAAATTGATTGTGTAGAAATCATTGGTTGAGGGTATTAGATTTGTGATTTTACACTTTGTACTTACAAAATCAATGAAAATGTGCATATCAATGTTTTTATTTTAAAATTTATGATTTGATAAACCCCAAATCCACTTGATATGGAACCTTACAATAAGGTGAAATTACTGAAAGAGAGAGCAGTATAATTTAATGGGTTTTTTAAGTGCAGTTAATTATAAAGATTAATTTAAGGTTTTCAACATCATTATAGTTTTTTGTGCATTTTATAGTATTGATATTATTGTAAAAATTCCAGGATGACAACCCTCTGCTTATTAAAGCTGGGATGTATGATAATATGTTAAAATATGTCCTTCCTACCTCATTTCCCACCTATAATTCCTACTAAACCGAATACCTAACCCTTAAGGGAGGTTAATCCTACACAGCTACTTTAAAAGTACAAGCCTTCTTTGAGATGCATATAAACTGCAAGGGCTCTGTCTTAAAGGCAGTACTTTGACCTATAATTGTTAACTATTTATACATTGTGACTTGGATGGTGAGTTGTCTGTGGACTCATACCACATCTTCTTATTTATATGTACATCTGTTGAGATGCATATGAGCTGACTGCATCTGTTAAGATGTATATAATACGTACATTTTTCATATAAACTGTATATTTTTAAAGATATATATGAATTGTGTATGTACATCTTTACATATATATAGTATATATACATTTTCACTGATGTACAGTCAATATACATCTCAAGGGATGTACATTTTATATACAGCTTAACTGGGAAACAGTCTTGGTGCATCTTACTAAATGTACATCAAGATCGCTTGTACTAAAGTAGCTGTATACAAAACAACAAAAGTTTAAAGCTATGCAAAATGAAAGCATTTCATTAACACAGACTAAATATGTCAAAGCGTACATCATCTTTAGTTATACAATTGAATTTTTTTGGGAACATATTGGGATTTGGAAACTTGTTCAGCTGAGAATTTTATATGTAGTTAACTATGTACCAAATGAAAATTTAAAACATTAAATGGTATGATAAATATTTAAAAAAAAGTTTAGGTACCCTTTAAACAGTGAATTTCAATTCCTTTCCTCATCTATTAATTTGTCTGTCACACTTTTAGTATTGAGAACATACTCCACATGATTAGAGTAGCTTGGTATAAAGTCTGCAGGACGGATTGTATAAAAGTAATCTGGTGATATTCAGTCATGATCAACTTATTAGTTGCCATAAAACACTGGTAAAATTATAAATAATTATTAACAGATGTTATCACAGTTCATTGTTACTTTATTCCTACACATACTTACTGGCTGAGAGGTGTAGGTCGCTGGCCACATTTACTTGAACAGGTCACTTCAGCCTATCATTTTAGGTGCTACTAAACAGCCATGGTTTTTGGTTGATTTACATGTCCACCCACTTCATCCTATCACTATTACGGTTGGGAGCTTTTAATAGCTGTCAGAGCAGTCTAGGAACTGATAGTTGGCTGCATTATCACATACAGATCACTTCAACCTAACACTACTGATGTAGGAGCTATAAATAGCCATACATTTTGGTGGCTGAGTAGTTGAGTATTTGATCCCATTTATATGATCAGACTCTCCAGCCTGTAACTATGACAGTAAAAGTTACAACCATGAGTTAGGAGTCTAAGTAGTTAATGTACAGACACTTCAGCCTATCGCTATTAATATAAACTTGACTGTTAAAATCAAGTCAACAGATCATTACTATCATAGAAGTTCAAGTCTTGCTCTGATCATTTAAAAAAATGGCAAACAGCATCCAGTATCAATGTTTGTCAGTGACTCTTAATAGATCTGTGGTTTACCTTACACATACTGACTTGCTCCACCTATGATATTTACCATGGAGTAGGTTGTTTTATCATACAAAGAAACATTATATAATTGGATCTTATTAAGAATCATTTGAGCGGCATTGGATAGAAATCGACCTTGTGCAAGTGCATGTATACATGTACATGTATAAGACTTTGCTTGATTTTGGAACATTCAAATATGAAATAAGATAAATTTTGGTCTGTTTTGTTTGGTTTTTATATCAACTCAATTTTTAATCAGTTACAGTCTTTGCATAGAGAATTTTTCAACCCGAAATAAGTTAACAGGTGTATTAATATTGATTTGCATAAGTCGAGTTCTATCTGATGCAGCTCATTTATTGTTACTTGATTTTATCTATGATTTATTTAAATGATAATAATTGGATTACTGAAGGAAATGATTGCACTCATTTTGTATGGACTGATAATGTTTTTATCATATTGACTGATGTGATAACTTAAATATAGTTAATTTTGTGTCATTTATGGTGCAGCAATTATAGTCTGACTCGGTTAAATGTTGTATAATTGCTGAGATGGAATTTAGGCTAAAGTAGAACTTTATTTCCTGTCACGTCAAGATGCTATAACAACAAAAAGATTCCCGGCTGGTATGTGTACGAAAAAGATATATTTTAAAACCCGATACATATAAATTATAGTTAGGAATATTTCCTTGAAAAAAACTTGAGTTTTCTGAGTTAATTCAACCCAACAGAATACCTTTAACAGTTCTCTAAGTGTTTTGATAAATTGTAAATGGACATAAAAAATATATCATTTGATTAAGACAATGATTTAGAACATGACAATATATGTGATTTATTTGTGATTAAGAATATTATAGATATGTGTTGTTGTCTATGCAATTATTTTTGTATGATGAATTGCCACAATTCATTCTTTTATTTATAGATTTAAACTGATTGTGCTTTTAATTCATATCATTAAATGATTGGATTTGTTAAGTTGTCTTTTTATCATTCTCATGCGTGAAATGTTTATTATATTTATATATAGAATAACAAGTACAAACCTGTTGAGTTAGCCGATATATTTTTGCAGAACTTTAACTTGAAAATGGACGAATGAAGCACCAAAAGCCAACAGATTTATCTCATTTTTGTGCCAAAAATATACTGTGATATAAAAATAAGGAGATGTTGTATGATTGCCAATGAGACAACTATCCACCCAAGTTCAAATGAGGTGGATGTAACCAATTATAGGCAACCATACGGCCTTCAACAATGATTGATTGATTTGATTTTTGGTGTTTTAATGCCACTTTTAAGCACCTCATTTGGTCTATTTTGTGGCAGCCAGTTTTTATTGGTGGAGGAAGCCAGAGTGCCCGCAGAAAACCACGACCTTCGATAGGAAAACTGACAATCCTAGTCAATTAAAATTGGAGTTGAGTGCACCCGCACGAGCAGGGTTCAAACTCACAACCTCAGTGTTGACCGGCTAGTGATTACAGTAGTAACTACTTAGACCACTCGGCCACCGAGGCCCCTCCTTCAACAATGAGAAAAACCAATACTGTAAAAAGCGCCAACATGAAAAATATGAAACATTCAATTAAGAAAAACTAACGGCCGAATTTATAACAAAACAGTTTACGAAAAACAAATATGACAGACATGAAACGACGACAAACAAATATGACAGACATGAAACGACGAAAAACAAATATGACAGACATGAAACGACGAAAAAACAAATATGACAGGCATGAAACGACGAAAAACAAATATGACAGACATGAAACGACGAAAAACAAATATGACAGACATGAAACGACGACAACCATGTGATGTTGATTTTTATTGGATATAGTCTAGCAGGAATTCACATAAAAAAAATATTCTACTGAGCAAAACCAGGATGACGCATTTGATCTTTTCATTACTTCTGTACCAAAGAGATATACAGTACAAAATAATACAGATCAAACACAACTGATGCTGAGAATCAGCATATCTTACTTGATAGTGATGACAAAAAACAGCATATCCATACGTTTTGCTTTTTCTATGTGTTTGTTTATTCCACATTGGCTAGAGGTATAGAGAAAGGGCTGAGATCTCACAAAACATGTTTAACCCCACTGTATTTTTGCACCTGTCCCAAGTTAGGAACCTCTAGCCTTTGTTAGTCATGTTTGTTTTTTAATTTTGGTTCATTTGTATGTGTTGGAGTTAAGTGTGGTGTCCATTTCGCTGAACTAGTATCCATTGTTGATAGACTAGCTGAAGCCCATCTCTGGGTGTGGGTTTTTTCATGGCATTGTTGACCCATTGTTGACCTTGGGCTGATTCTGCTCTTTGGTCGGGTTGATGTCTCTTTGACACATTTCCGGTTTCCATTCTCTATTCTATTTAATTATTACATTAAACGATTTCTTTACAAATGTTTTATTCAAATAGCTGTTTGATCATCTTTGATGCTCCCTTTTCATGTATGAAAAGAATATAAATGTGACTAATTGTAGCAAATATCAGCTCTAGATCTACAAGCATTGGAAAAAAGTGTGACATATACCATTTTCATAAAATTTTCTAAATCGAGGGGCCATAACTCAACAGAAAAACCGTCCAATCAGATCCAAACACAAACTTAATCAGCAGGTCATCATTATACACTTATGTACAGAACCAAAAATCAAATCAAAATATCAAGGTACAATGAAAAAAGTCTGGACAACTGACTGATGCTAGAACAGACATGGGTAACACTATATGCCCCACATACTCAGTCAACCAATGGCTATGGTAGCCATTTTTGTTATGTCAGTGTGAGCATATCTGCTTTCCATAAAGCTCCAAATAAAATTTAGAATGGAAATGGGGAATGTGTTAAAGAGACAACAACCCGACCATAGATCAGACAACAGCCGAAGGCCACCAATGGGTCTTCAATGCAGCGAGAAACTCCCGCACCCGGAGGCGTCCTTCAGCTGGCCCCTAAACAAATATGTATACTAGTTCAGTGATAATGGACGTCATACTAAACTCCAAATTATACACAAGAAACTAAAATTAAAAATGATACAAGACTAACAAAGGCCAGAGGCTCCTGACTTGGGACAGGCGCAAAAATGAGGCGGGGTTAAACATGTTTTTTTGAGATCTCAACCCTCCCCCTATACCTCTAGCCAATGTAGAAAAAACAAACGTACAACAGTACGCACAGTAAAACTCAGTTCAAGAGAAGTCCGAGTCCGATGTCAGAATAGGAAACAAAAGAAAATAAACAAAATGACAATAATACATAAATAACAACAGACTACTAGCAGTTACTGACATGCCAGCTCCAGACCTCAATTAAACTGATTGAAAGATTATGTCTTCATCATATGAATATCAGGCACAATCCCTCCTGTTAGGGGTTTAGTATTATACCGTCATAAAATATATGAGAAAAACATAACCCGTGTCATGCCAACAACTGGTTTTAGAATAAATATGTTTAATTCCGATGCAAAGACCCTATAAGTGAATCAATATTAAAGCCAAAATATGCAATCTTTAATGACCTGACAACAGTATCGTAACTATATCCCTTCTTAATAAGTCTGTTTAAAGGTTTTGTTAGCTTTTGAGGTGAATACTGACATTTTTGTGCTTTGTAAAGAATATTACCATAAAAGATTGGATGTGAAATACCCGAACGTATAAGATGTCTGCATGTTGAGTTATATTTACGAATGATGTCCTTATACCGATGATAAAATTTAGTAAATGTTTTGACTAGTTTATGATATCGAAAACCCTGGTGTAATAATTTTTCAGTAATACATAAATTTCTTTCGCTAAAATCTAATACGTTGTTACATACACGAGCGAATCGTACAAGTTGAGATATATAAACACCATAAGATGGTGACAACGGAATGTCACCATCTAAAAATGGATAATTAACGATAGGAAATGAAAAATCATCTCTTTTATCATAAATTTTTGTATTAAGCTTCCCGTTAATGATATAGATATCAAGATTGAGGAAAGGACAGTGGTCATTGTTAGTATTAGCTTTATTTAAAGTAAGTTCAACAGGATAAATTTCTTTAGTATACATACTGAAGTCGTCATTATTGAGAGCCAATATATCATCCAAATATCTAAAAGTATTGTTTAATTTTTGTATCAGATGTTGTTTCGATGGGTCTTTGCTGATTTTAGTCATAAATTGTAACTCATAACAATACAAAAACAGGTCCGCAATAAGTGGTGCACAGTTAGTCCCCATTGGAATTCCGACAACTTGACGATATACGGAATCTCCAAAGCGAACAAAAATGTTATCAAGTAAAAATTCAAGGGCAGATATAGTATCAAAGCATGTCCAATTGACATAGCTATTTTGTTTGTTGCTACTGAAAAATGACCTAAAAGAGTTTGAGCATATGTATTCACATTCCGACTTTTTAAATGCCCATTTAATTAGGTGTGTGAATTTTTTCTTAATAAGAATATGAGGCAAAGTGGTATATAGGGTAGAAAAATCAAAACTTTGAACAGATTCAAAATCACCAATATATGCATGCAATTTATCAAGTACTTCCAACGAGTTTTTGACACTCCAAAAGTAGTTAATTCCACTATTTTCAAAGGCCTTATTTGAACAATTTATTATCAGGTTTTTGATTGTACCAAGTGTACTAGTAAGTAGAATAGACAATTTAGTAGTGGAACAATGACTTGAAGACGAAATAAATCTATATTTGTAAGGTGATTTGTGTAGCTTCGGAAGCCAGTACATAGTTGGGACTTTCATTGTATTTGGTTCTGCTTGTAAAGAAGTAGCTAATAGTTTATGTTTGTTACAGATATCGTTTTCTGAAAATGAAGTCAGTTGGAATGTTGGTGAATTCGAATACCAAACTATACTTCACAAAGTACCGGTATTCTTTTGAAGATTATTACAAGCAAAGAAAATTTCAACTCAAATGTACCTTTTTGCCATGTTTATTGATTTTTATAAAATCACAAATTTGTTGATATATGTATATAAAAAAAAAGATGTACAAAAATTAAATAACCTTCTGAAAATTATAAAATATGATTCAGTACAACCTAGTTTGCAACAAACATTAATTAAAGTTACATGTAATAAATGCATTTGAAATATCCTATCACCATCAGTACGATAAAATTAGATCAATAACATTTATAATAGTATCGACTAAATATGAGTTCCATTTTGTTTTCCAAAAATTATGCAGTTTCAGAATATTCTGAATTCTGGGTAATGTTTTCAAAAGTGTACTCCAAAATGTTGTAATTAGCTTACACTGTCCTAAACAATGGGAATTCCACCAATGATGCGACGTTATTTTAATTTTGAGGTACAAACAATGAAATTACCAACAACCCTTTAGATTCTAAAATGGCAAATTAAAGACAGTTCGACTCCATAAAAATCTTGTACGGTTAATAATTTTATAAAATATAAAAGTTTTGTTAAACTTCAAAAACTATCACCTTTTCAATGTGTATTATTTGTTGTTAAAACAAATGTATATTTATTTCTCTAATTCTTCGTCAATTTATCCCTTTCTGCAACCATTGTATAAAAAAAATTTAATCAACGTGTGGTTCGTTTGATCTCAGTTCTTCATTGGTTAAAATCCGATTATGACGTCGAATTTTCTTGCTTTCCTCTGAATTTCCTATTGTGACGGCATGAAAAAAGGCGACCATGCCTGATGACGTCACATAGAAAGAACACATCTTTTTGCAGATCATTCGAAAAGAAGGAATAAATTTGCCTGCGTATTGTTTGAAAATCATTAGAGAAACAGATTCCACCACCAAATCTCGTGTGATACGATATTTATCCACTCTCGTCAGTTAAATTTTACATATTTAAAACGCTCGGCGAGCCTCGCGTTTTAAATTTTAAAATTTAACTGTCTCGAGAGGATAAATATCGTATCACACTCGATGCAGTGGTAGAATCTATATATATAGAATTACAGAGAATATACCCATTTTAAAATGTGACTTGAAAGAAAAACCTTACAGTTCAGTGGGAAACATAACGAGCACAACAAGGGGAAGCACTCTTGTTAAACATATAACAATAGCATATCAAAATAAATCTCTAATGAACAAACAAATGTGTAAATGGTTTTGTAATGGACGGCCAATTGATTAAATATCAGGATATTGAGTGAATATGCACTGGTCATTTAAAACCCTGTGTTTTTCAGATATTTTTTTAATCAGGTAAAAATCCATGAAAAATAGGCTTAAAAAATATATTTTTCATTCTTATGAAAACAATGCAGTTATTTCTAAATTGATATGTGTTCCTTGCTTATACATAATTCAAACAATTCTTTAGTGGATTGATAGAAACATTCTACTCATATCACAATTTTCATAAAAAAAAAATTCATCATAAACATATTAGAAATACAGTTCTGTTTTATTCAGTTTTGCAGTGTATAAATGCATAGTTTCATATTTGAGTATAAACTATCAAGACAAGAATATTTGTCCATAGGACACTATACCCAATTCACACTTTTACATTTCCATTTAAAAGGACCATGAAATTTGGATTAAAACTCTTAGTTTGGCATATAGTTCACTCCATAATGAACATGTGAAATAAGTTTCAAATTGATGTTATCATAAACTACCTTGAATCAAAACTTTAACCTGAAAAAGCCACAAACAAACAGACAGCCACCCAGACTAATAAAAACAAGAGGCTCTCAAGAGCCTGAATCGCTCACCTGTAATTTTTTTGCTTACATCTTTCATCAATGATTATTTTTGCTTTTCAATATATATTAATGAATGACTTAAAACTTCCATTGAAATGTTCTTTGTATCTGTCATACTTTCTTCAAAATCAAAGAAATGCATTTTACCCCTATGTTTCATTTTAGCCATAGTGGCTATGTTTCTTGACGTACAAGAAAATAAAATACAAAATTTATACTAGATACTCTGAAACTCATTCAGCCCAAGTTTGGCTGAAATTGATTCAGCAGTTTCAAAGGAGAAGATTTTTTAAAGTAAGCAAACTAAATGAACAAATTGTGAAAAATTGATTTTAAAGGGCAATAACTCCTTAAGGGGACAATTGACAATTTTGGTCATCGAACTTATTTGTAGATCTTACTTTGCTTACATTCTGTTTACAGTTTATCCTTATCATTAATAATATTCAAGATAATAACCAAAATCTGCAAAATTTCCTTAAAATTACCAATTAAGTGGCAGCAATCCAACAATTGGTTGTTAGATTCATCTGAAAATTTCAGGGCTGACAGAGCTTGGCCTAATAAACATTTTTACCTGCATCAGATTATCTCTTAATGCTTTGGTTTTTGAGATATAAGCCAAAAATTGCATTTTACCCCTACATTCTATTTTTAGCCATGGCGGCCATGTTTATTTACAAAACAGAAAATAAAACACAAGCTTTATTCTAGATACCCTTAGAATGATTCAGCTTAAGTTTGGTTGGAATTGGTTCAATAGTTTTTAGAGGAGAACATTTTTTAAAGTTAGAAAACATGATAAACAAATTGTGTAAAATTGTCCTTAAAGGGCAATAACTCCTTAAGGGGTCAATTGACAATTTTGATCATCAAACTTATTTGTAGATCTTACCTTGCTGAACATTTTTGCTGTTCACAGTTTATCTTTATCATTAATAATATTCAAGATAATAACCAAAAACTGAAAAATTTCCTTAAAATTACCAATTTAGTGGCAGCAACCCAACAATGGGTTATCAGATTCAACTGAAAATTTCAGGGCTGATAGAACTTCACCTAATGAACACTTTAACCCCAGTCAGATTTGCTCTAAATGCTTTGGTTTTTGAGATATGTCAAAAACTGCATTTTACCCCTATGTTCTATTTTTCGGCATGGCGGCCATGTTATATGACAAAACAGTAAATAAAACACAAACTTTATTCTAGATACCCTAAGCATCATTCAGCTTAAGTTTGGTAGGAATTGGTTCAGTAGTTTCAGAGGAGAAGATGTTTGAAATAGTTTACACCAGACGGATGACGACGGACGCCAAGTGATGGCAAAAGCTCACTGTTCCTTTGGAACGGTGAGCTAATAATACTACTCTTCTATTGTATGTGGAAATAAAAATTTTAAATCCTAGAAAAATGTCCTTTTTCATGTTTATGCTAAATAAATCATGTATGATATGTGGACGAAACACATCCCTGTTAAACTAGCTTATATTCAGCTGTAATTATATATTATTAGTAGATTGTTTCAATCTTGTTTAGTTTAGCTGATAACAAATATTAATAGCAACTTGACTGTTTCACCATTTCTATATGTACTTGTATTGGGGTTTCATCGGTTACCTCCCCTGTTTTATTGAACTTTTTAGCCAAAACAAAATGTCCAATAATGGGAATGCAGAAAAGACCTTTAATTTCAAATTAAAATTTATGAAAATAAAATGCCCTTTTCAGTATTAAATTTGCTATCAAATTTGGCTTTATGTAAAATGGTAACTTGTGATTCTTGCTTTTAATATAAAATATCTTGATGTCATTACTGTCAATGAATTATTAAATTTTTGGTTTTGTTTTAGGTTGCTGAAATTTTTAATATATATAGACATGTATTTGAGTTGTATTTAATTTGTACAAGTAAATACATTCAAAACAAGTTCATTTAAATTCAGTTTCGAAGTAAAATTCACACAACATTAACATTAGTTCTATGTAAATTCAAATTCTGCATTTATTTCACACATTTATTGTACCAGTTTGAATTCAGACTTATTACAGATGAAATTTTTAGGGTAAACATTTTCTTTAGTGCCCGACAGATAAATAAGAATTTTGGATACAAGTTCATTTCAGGAAAAAAAAAAGAAGCAAAGAATGTTCCAGTGGGGTGAACTATCTTTTGAGAAAATTTCATGTCATACTTGTATGAAAATCTGAGAACAAAATTGCTATAAATATAACACAATTATAGCCTCTATCTGCAGTTTTCAGTCTACCGTTGAAAATACAGTTGAACATGTGACTCTTTCTGAACAAATCAAATTAGTTAGATTATACAAAATAATAATATAATGACATATAAAGTCTTTAACATTTGTATATATACAGAGGAATACATCAATATTCTTAAAATTGTTGTATACTGATGTTAAATTGAACACATGCACCTAAGTCCTTGACTATAGTTTTCTTTCTTTGGCAGATTAACAAAATAAAAAAAATACTTCTTTTTTTGTCATACCAATAATATGACATAAAATGCAAAGAGGAAAATGCATGACGAAGACCCTGGAAAACGATTATCATTTTGATATCTGCTAAATACCAATGTTATATATTCATACCCCTCTAACAAGAAATTTTTTTGCATGCACACGTATAAAAAATTGCGGTTTTTATCCGACGCAATCATAGGTTTGAACATTGTTTTCAATTTAGACTTGTATATATATATATATATATATATATATATATATATATTAAATGATGGATCATATAAATATGATACAGTACACTACAAAATATAATATATAACCAGTCTAAAAGGGTACAACATCACCAAAAAATGACAATAAGCGAACAAATGTAATATACATACATTATTGGATCCTTAGACTTTTTTATACTGTAAATTCAGAATTTAATGTGTCTATTTATTATTGCAAACCACTGATAACTGGTAACAATGTGAGATCTAATTAATGTGATTGCAAATATTTTTCGAAAGTAAATCACTACCGAAATTATGAATGCACGTTTTATCATTGTGAACCTGATACTGTTGTATTTTTCACATTAATAAAAAGCATTGCAGTAATTTCTGAATTTACAGAAGTTACCAGAACTATCAATTAAAGTAAATCAAAATTTTAAAAATTCTACAAATTATTTAATACCATAATATGATTTCTATGTCAAAAATTATAAAATTGAGAAATATCAATAAAATTACTAAACAACTACCCAGTGTAAAAAATGCAAATTGAGAGATTCTATATCTCATAGTAATTATGACTAGTTAAAAATGGCAATTATAAACTAATTTGCACTACAGATACCATGGTACCATGTATAGTCAAAGCTTTCCTATTAAGTTAAAGACTGATATACAAATTAGAGTCAATCCATTGAAAATACTGATTCATGAAGAAAATCCATGACTTTAAGTAGACATTTAAAACTAAAAACCTATCGACCAAAAACAGTGATTGAAGATGACTAATGTAATCCAATTCCCATCAGTTAAATTGAAGAGAATCAAACCTCTATAACAAAAACAAGATCAAATGTTTATAAGTGGACACAATAATACACATACTTATTTAATGTTGACCAATATATTCAAGAAACCAAAAATAAATTCTTAACAAACAATTTAACAAAGACCAAATAAGGAATCTACCAATTAAAAATATATGTACACTGTTTGGCATTTTTCAATTAATTAAGTTAATCCTTTACAGGACATTTAATTTAGATGAACTTTATATTCCAGGCTAAAGACACTGTCTAGATAATTTTCAAAAATATGTTATGGAATAATAAGTTAAAACATTAGTTTTAGTGCATTTAATATAATTTCCTGGTGTAAAATCAGTGTTTCCTTTGCATTCACCACAACCATTTATTTTATATATCTTAATACATTAATACAGAAACCATTTATCTATTAACCCTTTTTCTTGAAAAAATCAGTTATAACTGAAGAGTTTTTAAACTGATAGCTGTTGGAAAATGGATCAGGTAAATCTATGGTAAATCTGGAGTTAAGTTTCCTTAGGTAGCTCTCTCACCAAAGCATTTATGATTTCAACATTTAACATTTGTTTAGAAAGCTTCTGCAAAAATGTAAACAAATTTGATAATTTGCAAGTAAAATGTTAACAAATGATTGAACATGTTATCTATAACAGACATTTATATGCCAAAAATATAGAATATAAGATTCTGGTGTTAACTGCAGTTGATATCTGCCTAATGTTATTGATGGCACATGGAAGACAGGGTTTTTACATATCACAGCATTTTCCTAAAGGATTCTTCTTGTTTCTTCTTTCAAATACATTTTCATTGTCAACTTCTGAAAAGAAAGAAATAATAAATAAATGAAACAAAACATTGAATAGTCCATCAAGCAATTACATTTTCAAAATCAATGAACGTATAACAGCACATATTTAAAGTTAGCTTGTCATGTAATCCTGGCCTGACTAAACCCTCTCCTATTGAATCTATGTTAAGGTGATCTCCCTTTGCTGGAAGATAATAAATATATATGTAAGACATTTTTAAGATATAAGTTTTCGGCAAAAAGGAAGTAAAACAATGAAGGAACTGAAAACGTGGCACACAATACGGCATTACCAGATGAAGCTTGGTGCGATATATGAAGAAGCAAGGACTTGTAGTCCCTTAGAACTAGAGGCTCTAAAGAGCCTGTGTCGCTCACCTTGGTCTATGTGCATATTAAACAAAGGACACAGATGGATTCATGACAAAATTGTGTTTTGGTGATGGTGATGTGTTTGTAGATCTTACTTTACTGAACATTCTTGCTGCTTACAATTATCTCTATCTATAATGAACTTGGCCCAGTAGTTACAGTGGAAAATATTTTGTAAATTGTAAAAAATTGACTATAAAGGGCAATAACTCCTTAAGGGGTCAATTGACAATTTTGGTCATGCTGACTTATTTGTAGATCTTACTTTGCTGTACATTATTGCTGTTTACAGTTTATCTCTATCTATAATGAAAGAACCTTAGTGAGCGCGCTCACATACCCCACGTCCCCACATTGTCAGTGGAGAAATAAAATAAGTGTAAGAAAAAAAAATTGTATCAGAAAAAAAAATTGAATCATAATTTCCTGTCAATATGCACATCTACATAGTATGTCCTTATTATCTACACAGTTTCATGAAATTCTGTTGTGTGGTTTGAGAGGAGTTGCGATGACAAAAGGTTGCAGTAGTATATTGGGCAAATAAGTTCAAAGGGGCGTAACTGCTGGAAAAAAAATTGAATCGTAATTTCCTGTTGATATGCACATCTACGTAGTATGTCCTTATTATCTGAAAAGGTTTCATGAAATTCTGTTGTGTGGTTTGAGAGGAGTTGCGATGACAAAAGGTTGCAGTAGTATATTGGGCAAATAAGTTCAAAGGGACTTAACTCCTGGAAAAAAAATTGAATCGTAATTTCCTGTCGATATGCACAACTACATAGTATGTCCTTATTATCTGAAAAGGTTTCATGAAATTCTGTTGTGTGGTTTGAGAGGAGTTGCGATGACAAACTGTTGCAGTAGTACATTAAAGTAAATTAGTTCAAAGGGGCGTAACTCCTAGAAAAAGAATTGAATCGTAATTTCCTGTCGATATGCACAACTACATAGTATGTCCATATTATCTAAAAAGGTTCCGTGAAATTCTGTTGTGTGGTTTGAGAGGAGTTGTGATGACAAGAAACAGGACTGACAGACTGACGGACTGACGGACTGAAGGACAAACAGACGGACGAATGGATGGACGGACGGACGGGTCAAAAACATTATTCCCTCCGCAGCTCGTTGCGTGGGGTATAATAATATTCAAGATAATAACCAAAAGCTGCAAAATTTTCTTAAAATAACCAATTCAGGGGCAGCAACCCAACAACGTGTTGCCTGATTGGTCTGAAAATTTCAGGGCAGATAGATCTTGACCTAATAAACAATTTTATCCTTGTCAAATTTGCTCTAAATGCTTTAGTTTCAGAGATATGAGCCAATAACTGCATTTTACCCTATGTACTATTTTTTAGCTATGTTGGCCATCTTGGTTCGCGGGCGGGGTCATCGGACACATTTTTTAAACTAGATACCCTAATGATGATTGTGGAAAAGTTGGATTAAATTTGTCTTAGTAGTTTCAGAGGAGAAGATTTTGGTAAAAGATTACAAAAATTTACAAAAAATGGTTAAAAATTGATTATAAAGGGCAATAACTCCTTAAGGGGTCAACTGACCATTTTAGTCAAATTGACTTATTTGTAGATCTTACTTTGCTGAACATTATTGTTGTTTACAGTTTATCTCTACCTATAATAATATTCAAGATAATAACCAAAAACGGCAAAATTTCCTTAAAATTACCAATTCAGGGGCAGCAACCCAACAACGGGTTGTCAGATTCATCTGAAAATTTCAGGGCAGATAGATCTTGACCTGATAAACAATTTTACCCCTATGTCAGATTTGCTATAAATGCTTTGGTTTCAGAGATATAAGCCAAAAGCTACATTTTACCCCTATGTTCTATTTTTAGCCATGGCGGCCATCTTGGTTGGTTGGCCGGGTCACCTGACACATTTTTCAAACTAGATACCCCAATGATGATTGTGACCAAGTTTGGTCAAATTTGGCCCAGTAGTTTCAGAGGAGAAGATTTTTGTAAAAGTTTACGGACGACAGACGCAGGACACAGGACGACGGACGCCAAGTGATCAGAAAAGCTCACTTGGCCCTTTGGGCCAGGTGAGCTAAAAATGAAATAAAAAATGTCTTTTTGTTTTTACTTATTCAATTGTTTCAGTTACAATTTTTTCCTATGGCTTTTATCCGAGAGAGTAATTTTCCAATCGATCTTAGCCTTATTTAGGTCATTTAAAGTTGACAAAATTGTTTATTCTCGGATACAAGAGATTTTAGAAAATTTAGATTTCTCTTCATTTTCTTTCATCTCACTCTTTCTTTTCAAAAGAAAATACAAGATTAAAGACTCCAATTGAGTAGTTTTTAGGTGATCACCAACGGAAGTCTTAATCCCCATTTTAAACACATCCAAGCGCATCAGTGTAAATCACCATTAATTGTTTTTGTAAACATTTTAAATACTTTTTCATGAACATTAACAATGTATCACTAATTATTTATAAAATTTTTATAAAAGATAATCTTAGGTTAACACTCGTGGGAATAGCATGTCATAAATCAATACAGTGGTCAGTGACCGGAAATTTAATTACACGTGTATTGTCAGATTAACTCTTCAATCCATTTAAATCCCGGAGGTCATGTTTTGACATATGTGTATTAGTACGAGATAAATAATGAATTTTGAATGCTTTTGTTAACCTTGGGACCGTAAATTTAGTTCGACTCAACCGAAATTTCGACTCATCCAATTTCGACTCATTAGGAGTCGAAATACATACATTTATATGGAACAAAGTTCGGGACCACTTAAAACTTCGACTCATCCGAAATTTCGAGTCAACCGAGTTCGAGAAAACGAGAGTTAACTGTATCAGTTTCTAAAATCTGGTTATAGACTGGACAATTACATGGACATTAACAGACATCAAGATTAATCCAGTAGTTTCCTCAACATGGTTGTGACAACGCATAAATCAGAGACGATAAATAAAACGTTAATGTATTTATCCGATGCTTGATTTTGATCTCTTAAACCTCAGTGATTACCCCAGTATATCATATGGTTTTTGTTATATTTAAAACCTTCCAATACTTACTGATTAAATCATTACCAATCTGTTTGGTAGGTCCAGCACCAGTAGTATCTATCTCTCGTAAAATAGCAGCTTCAAATGTTAATGCTACTGCTCGGAAGAAAAACTCTTTCACATTCTCACCTAAGTAAATAAAAGCTTCCAATTTATTCATTTGTATTTTTTTGTCATTTTATTTTTGATAATTCCCCAAAATAATTCCTAAAAAATGTTGAAAAGATAATAATTTCATTAAATGTTCTTTTTAATACATGTACATTGTACTTTGTTTCTTGGTTAAGTATCAAGTCTAAACTAGTACGTTAAATGCACGTGTCTGTGAGGCAATGAATGATAAATTTTATAACTCAAGGGAAAACTAATTGCAAATCTATTGCATGTAAATACCTGTTTTGGATGAAACAGCCCAAAACTCAGCCCCTAATGAATTAGCTATTTCTACTGCATTCTGTTCAATTGATTCCAAAGCAGCTGGCGACTAGAAAAAAAGAAACATTTATTTCGGTGAATGATTTTCATATTCAACAGAAATTAATTTTTACTATATCATGCTGTGTATTCTAAAATAATAGAACACACAGCAACATTTTGGGTCTGTGACTGAATTAATTTAGTACGTTTATTTTTGGCCTATATTTCTAGTTTTCTTATTGTCATCTGATGAAGTCACACAATAAATTATGTCAACATTTTTCTCTGTTTCTAAAGCTTTCTGTCTGAACCTGTCCTTGTTTTCCTTCTTGATTTCTTGGCACACTTTTACAGATGGATAGATGTCAGACTGGAGCAGAAATCACTTGTCCTTTTGGAGAAGATCGAACCCAAATTTTGTCTTTAGTTTTATTGGGTTACATGTTTGTCACTTGTTACCCCCTTTCTTTCGAATGAAAATGTTGAGATATTGCAATGGGTATGTCTGTCCATATAATTAATAATTCCTTGTTCATTGTAGTGTACCTTCAGCAGTAGCAGGGTTATATATTAATCACTGTGTATATCTGCCTTCATCTATTATTTGCAACTCTCCTAAGCTTCAAATAATTCTTACCATGTAACACATGATGGACCTATTTTGTTTTCAAATTATGTGTTTATCATTGTTAGACTTTTCGGTTTTTTAGTGTGTCTTGGTACCTTCCTACACTCTTGGACATAAATAACTGTTCAATATTGTGGGCAAAGGTTATAAACTAAAATCTCCTTGATAAAAGACGGCAAATTGAAAATAATTCATTCAAAACTGATAAAAGCAATTACTTGATTTAATCTTGAAGATGGAGAAGCTACAAAACAAAAAACAGGTCTCCTTATTTAGTATTATAGATATTGAGTCTTTAAGCTATAAATTTTTCACAGTTTTGTAGGTACATGTATGGTAAAAATAGTGAAAATTAGTTCCCTATCAATATAAACACTTTTACAATAGTATTTTGCCCATTTCATAAAGATATAAATTGAGTATAGATTATGTTTCCAATAGGACCAAACATCACATTGTTTCTTGTTTCTGTTAAGTGGAACAAGTACATATGGACAATATAGATGTCTTACTACTAAATCTTTCTTTGTACCAACAACAAATTTGATGGGATCAGAAGAATTCCCAGCAGCATCATCCATCCAGCGTGCTACATTGGATAATGAAGATTCATCTGACAAATCAAATACAACTATTGTCACTGAAATTATAAAACAAGTCAAAGATCAAAATAGAGAAAAGAAATATCATAACAAAGTGAAAATTATCTGTAGTGTAAACAATTTATCTTTGAACTTTGTTGGTCATTGATTGTTAAAATTATAAGGAACTTGAATATTTTACTTCTGACTTAACACCTGATTGTTAAAATTATTGGTATGAGCTGTGTGTAATTTTAATATTTTTTTCTTAGAAAGTGATTTCTAATATCTCCATTTACTTGTACTTTTAACTGGTTGTAATATCACAAATTTCAGTATAACCATATCATCTTTAAAGCTAGTATTTAAATTAACAATGTTTTTGTGTAATAGTAACCGATTGGTAAAATTATTAGTAATTTCAACATTTTATCATCAATTTTTTTTTTACAAAACATATCAAGTACTTTATTTTGTTGTTTGTTTCAAAAGTAGCATGAAAACAGGCATAATAAGTAATAATAAATTCACAGTATCAAAATGTTTCTGAGGATCCTCATTAAATGCTCAGATGGCAGCCAGATTTTATTGGTGGTGGAAGCCGGAATACCAAGAGAGAAAAACTGAGCTTTAGCAGGAAAATTGGCAATCCTAACCAATGAAAAATTGGAGTGGAAGACACCTGGCCATGACAGGGCTTCTTGATCACAACCTTAGAGTAATCACTGCAGATGAACTACTTAGACTACTCGGCTATCAACGCCCAGTAAAAAGGGAATTGATGACAACATCCCTATCTTGTATCATCTTTTACAATACCTACCATTAGCACCCCTATAATAAGATGCTGCTATACATTTAAATCGTTCTTGTCCTGCTGTGTCCCATCTAAAATAAAAGAATTGTAAATATTTAAGTTATTAAATTATTAAATCAAATTTTTTGAAGTGTAAGTTTTACAAATGTAAAATTCAAGTAAACAAATATAAAATCATCAGTACTAAAACCTATCCATTTCAATGTCTTTTCTCAATATGTAATTTTAGATTAAAGATTTGTACCTTTAAGCCTAAAAAAATTATATGCAAGAACACATGGCTAGGTAAAGTATTTATCATTAACTATTTCAAAAAGTTTAGTGCCTTGATAATGCGAACAGGTTAAAAAACATTGGGAAGCTGGTAAAGGTTACTTCTGGCTTGTTTTATATACCATACTATATGTTTATATACCATACTATATGTTTTTATACCATACTATATGTTTATATACCATACTATATGTTTATATACCATATTATATGAAACAAATTATAGGCTAAATAGCAAACATGATTTTTTTTCATCTTACACACAGTTTACTGTAATTCAGAAATTATTATTTTGCTCTCTTGATTGAAATTTTCCTTGAAAGGTTCACACTTCTATTTATACATACTTACATTTGTAAAGTGAAAGGTACATTTAACAGACTAAATTTTTCTACTTCAAAATCTACACCTATAGTGGCTTTGTAATCTCTGTCAAATACATCATGGCAAAATCTGAAATATAGAAATTTTCCATTCTATGTTTTAAATTTAGTTATTTTGGTCACTTCGTCTTCATGAATATTTCATTATAATGATATGATATACTAGTAGATAAAGTCCAAGGAAATATTTGATTAATTACCTTAGAAAGCAAAGGATTGGGTATGATTTTAACCACCCCTTTATGATCTGAGGTAGTTCAACTTTAACTGACTTACAAACCATAAAATATCCCTGCAAAAAAATTCTTCTATTATTCCATTTTCATGTTACAGCTTACTCGACGTTGTGGTTTTTCCCCTTTACTCACAGCTAGCTTGTTCAACTATATATTTACAGCAAACCTGACATGAACAATGCAGTTTTCTTACTGGATAATGTTCTTTCAACTTAAAACATATTTAAAAATACTCAAAAATATATAAAACATGTAATTAGCCACTTCAATAAGATTAAGTTTATCTAGTACTATTTAGGGCATTGTTAGTTATTGAAATCATAAACTGTTGACCCAGAGATATGTCTCGCCTGTCTGCATAAAATTCAGATAAGGACAATCTGATGGACAGCAACATTGCTAATTAATTCAAAGTCCCTGGACTAACTAGTGGGTAGGGCCTCGAAATGGTTGACAAACTGAGATGTACAGACAGCAATGTAACTTTATAGAAAATATTGTCTATTGTAAGTAGTTCCTATCAAACTAACATAATCAGAAAACTTAACATTGAAAATTGCTTATTAATTCAAAGTCACTGGACCATGACTTAGGGGGCAGGGCCTCGATATAGTCGTCAAACTGATATGTACTGATAGTAATGCAACTTCATACTAAATATCAATGATCTATCACAAGTAGTTCCTATCAAACTAACTTACGCAGAAAACTTAATAATTGTTGATGCCGGAATCAGAGCCGTCGTCATCGCCGGAAAAGCAATCCCTGTCTTGCTTTCCGCAAATTCGTCACAGGCGTGACAAAAACAGCTCAGGTGAATATTTTTTTTAAACCTAAGTCAATTTAGTGTTTATGGCAGGTCTTTGATAGTCTGTTAAATTTATTAATAACTTGTCTAGACTCTGAAGTGCTTTAATGTTAGACATACTGTGGATTCATTTATTTTCGTGGGTACCAATTTTCGTGGATTGCGGAAACCTTGCATATTTCGTGGATATGTGATTTCGTGGTTCTGCAAAAGTCTGGATACAACTTTATAGAAATTTGTATTTCGTTGAACATTTAAATTCGTGGTTCACCTGTACCCACGAAAATTGGTATCCAACGAATAATAATGAATTAACAGTATTTAATAGATAGACACTTGACTGTTGTTAAAGATCCTATGTTTACCTCTTGATTTCTTTTAGTTTTTGTTTCATTTGGTTACTAGGTTATTGATGCATACTCCATCCTTTTATTTATTTTAAGAAATTTCTGACAGTACTTTTTTCAGGTCCATGTGATTTCTATTCTCCCAAAAATTCATATTATGAATCTTGCTATCCATACTTTTATCTTTGAGGATAACTTTTGAAATTTAAAATGCATTAAATCTGTCATTTGAAACAAACAAGGTGTTTAGACTCTTGAATACTGATTTATACCTGTTCACTAGGCTAGTCTTTCCTACTGACACGTCCCCAACTAACACAGCTTTACAAATTTTTAACCTGCAAATAAGTGAAAATAATTTACATATATTCTTTCAAACTGAGACATACAACATAATGACCTATAATCGTTAACTTTTACGTCATTTGGTCTGGTGGAGAGTTGTCTCATTAGCAATCATACCACATCTCTTTCCTTATTTTCATATAAATAAATTTGTCGATGTTGTTAGCGGGAAATGAATCTGATTTTAAAATGTCTTGATAAACAGACAAATAATGAGATGATATTTGATATATTTCCCCCATTGTTTTTAATCATGTAGATTAATCATACAGAAAATATACAAGTTCAGAGTAATTCTTAGTCAATAATTTTAATAGAGTGAGTGACCTTTGTGACCTCTACAATAATTGTGATCATGACATAATTACCCAACTCTGCCTGTCTTGTTATCAGTACATGCAGCCTTGACCTTAGGGTGAAAGTTCATCTTCTGATAAGGTGTAGCATCTGGATGGAAAGCCTGAAAGGGAAGCAATACAAAATATATATATATATATATATATATATAAAACAGATTACTACTAAATTGAATGTTAACAATCAAACATCTGAACAGTACAAAGTCATTACTTTTCTCATTCAATTTTACAGCATAAAAACAGAAATACAGATGTACATATAGTTTCTACCACTTCAATGAGATATAATATTTTTCTCTTTCAAATTTGAAGTGTGGCAATTATAATATTTAAAAAAAATTCATAAAATTTATAATGAATGATAATAATATATTCCAAGTTATTCAGTAATACTGTTTGTTCTCTTGACATTTGTATGTTAAATATGACAAAATATTGATTTCCTTTCACTCTTTTATATGTGAATGTGCATAAATATGTATTATTATTGTTCAACCATCAAAAGTTATCTATTAATGATAGAGGTTGTTTTAATTGTAAAGATAATACAATTGAAGATGAGAAACATGAAATTTTGAGTTGTCCATTATATGCAGATTTACATGCTGTTTTGTCTAGTTATGCTAATTCTTTTTGTCATGATTTGTATAGTATGTCAGGTGACAATAAATTTGTAATTTTATCTAGGGATGAAAATGTTTATGCTTACCCTGCCAAGATCTGCTATGATATTTTGTTGAAAATAAAATATTTATCATTCTTAAAATGTATATTTTTATCATGTTTTATGTTTATTAGTCTCTCATAACTCTTTTTAGAGTGGCTCTTGTTTTATATGTAAATTTATAATTTGTAAATGTTTTGTAAGAGGTGAGACTTAAATAAAAGATACTTATAAAATTTTGTGATGATAAAAGAAAAGACATACCTGTGGGAATTTTGTAACGATTCTATCCTTTGCCACATTTTGTGACATCATTGTCCTTGTTGCAGACATGGTTATTTTCAACTTTAATCAAAGCTTTTTATACTGTATGTTCATCTGAAAAGCCAAATTAACATGTTAAAAGACAGCTTCTTACCCACCCTGATGGGTAATAGAGAGAAAATACGGACATAGAGGTCTCTAAACACAACAGCCTCAATGGAGCTTTTGTTAGTTGAAGCCATATTGGTGTATAAGCGGAAATAAATTTATCGATTTCCTTTAATGATTAACTATCAGACACCATATAAATAGAGTGCCACTATCAATCAATCAATCATTACATAGATATAAAGGCACTGTTATGGATAGGGATTTTATCAAATATACCATTGTGTCATATTTATTGGTAAGAAATAAAGATATGTATATAAGGTTGCTAATTTAATTCCTATTTGTAATAAAATTATCACTTCTAGACTCAGCTAATAGAATCTTGATCGTGTTGATAGTGCAACTGCCTCATTTCAATCAATAACCTCAGTTATAAACTTTATTACTGGATCACTGAGGCTGATTGTCTAAGGAAGCAAGTCGATTCGTACCACGTCAACTCGTACCACTAAAAGTCATCTTGGTCATACCATTGCAAACTCGTACCACCGCAAACTTGGACCATTAAAAATTCGTAAAGGTTCCGCGGAACCCGGTGTCCCGCCTACTTTTGCTGTTAATCGCAGGCTCAACAAAAATGAGGAAAAAAACTAATAAAAATATTCCTCTCTATACTATCTTTTGATTGTAAGTAGCTTCTGTGCAAGTCTGGTAAAAATCCAGGATAGTTTATGAATCTTATAAATGTTTTAAAAACTTAAACTGCAGACTGTATGTAATGTTAACTGGAAGAAAAACTAAGTCCATTTATAAGTAAAATACGGAAAAAATGGAACAAAATTTTAACAAAATTTCCTTCTAGATTCTAGCTTTTGATCATAAACAAGCCTCTGTCCTAGTTTGGTAGATATCCAGGATATTTTAAGAAAGCTTTTAAAATTTTTAAAAACTTTAACCACAGAGTGAATGTAAAGTTAACTGGCAGAAAAGCTAAGTCCATTTATAAGTAAAATACGGAAAAAAAGGATTTTTTTTTTACAAAATTTACTTCTGGATACTATCTTATGATCATAAACAAGCTTCTTTCCAAGTTTGGTAGAAATCCAGGATAGTTTAAGAAAGCTATTAAAATTTCAAAAACTTTAACCACAGAGTGAATGTAATGTTTCCTGGCAGAAAAACTAAGTCCATTTATAAGTAAAATACGGAAAAAATGGATTTTTTTTTTTTTACAAAATTTACTTTTGAATATTATCTTATGATCATAAACAAGCTTCTGTCCAAGTTTGTTAGAAATCCAGGACAGTTTCAGAAAGTTATTAAAATTTCAAAAACTTTAACCACAGAGTGAATATTTGTGGACGCCTCCGATGCCGACGGAATGTAGGATCGCTATGTCTCGCTTTTTTCGACAAAAGTTGAAGGCTTTACAAAAATATACAATATATATGCATTGTTTTTGCAAATCTTTATAAAATATTAGTTGATTTTCCTGAATTTTTTTGAATTTTAGATTGAAAAAATCTAAAATATACGATATACGAATGTTTTATTAATTGCTTTTGCAAATCTTTATAAAAAACTTTTTTTTAAATTTCTTAAAGGAGCATTAGCTACGAGATATAAAAAATAAAATGCTGCACCGAGTGCAGCCTGATACGACCGCAGAGGTTGAACCCTGAACAGTTGGTGCAAGTTTGGACACAATATTCTGTCGTGATACTGTCTGAATTTGGATTGTGATAAACATTTTGACATAATATAGGTTTCTGACACAAACTAAATGTGGTCAAAGATCTTAAGAATTTGAAATGGGTATTAATTTACCTAGTATGGTCTGATATCCAAAATCTAACAACATGGTTAGATTCAGCATATAAAAAAAACACCTAAAATTTTGGACCCTTTAAACCTTAATATGGACTTATTGGAAAACAGGGCCCAAAATAAAAAATCTAAATGCACAATAAGATTCAGTATATCATAGAGCCGCTATAATTTATTTTTTGATGAAATCAAACAAAGTTTAATTTTGGACCCTTTGGACCTCAATGTAGACTAATTTAAAAATGGGGCCCAATATCCAAAATAGTAATACAAGATTAGAACCCCAAAAATTAAAGACTTTTAATTAATCCCACTGAAGTTAGTTAAAAGATTTGTATTTATTTTCAAGATTTCTTGCTATTCCACAATACTGTGCTATTGTGCAATACTGTGCTGTTGCACAATACTTATATAATAATTTACACATCCTGTTTAGTGTGTATCTACTGCCATATCAGTATTTGTTGCTTATATAAATCAGAAATAATCAATGTAAAAAAGGAAATTTTTTGTCCCCCCCAAGATTTTTTTTTGAAAAATCTTGAAGAAAAAAGTATGACCCCCCTCCCAAAAAAAATTGAAAAATAAAATTTTGAAGAAAAAAAATATGAACCCCCCCCAAAAAAAATTTGAAACCCACTTTTATGCCCCTAATTCCTGAACGTTTGGGGCAATTACCCCAAAACTCAATCCCAGCCTTTCCTTTCTTGTATGGACACTTGTGGTACAATTTCAGAGAGATCCATACACTTACACACTAGTTATTGTCCAGAAATTAGAAAAATGCTTGTTTTTGGCCCCTAATTCCTAAACTGTTGGTACCATAACCCCCTTAATCAATCCCAACCTTCCTTTTGTGGTATTGAACCTTCTGGGAAAATTTCATAGAGATCCATTCACTTAAACTAAAGTTATTGTCCGGAAACCAAATGTGTCTTCAGACGACGACGACATCATAGCATTATAGGAACTCAAATTTTTTGCAGTTGTATAAAAATTAGAATATGATTTTTTTTGTTCAATCATTAATGAAAGTGAAATGATAATTCGCTTTTAGCAGCCAGTTTAGTTCAATTTTGTCAAAATAAGCTAAGAAACATCGCTGATGAATTATTCATTTGTAAGTGAATAATTCGTCCTCATTGAATCCGTATTCATGTGACTTTCAATTTAATCCATTAGCTAGAGATTGGTTATTCATGTATTAGTCGTGTTCATCCATTAAAAGGAAAAGAATGTCAAAATTGAAAGTGAAACAAAAGTAAACAATTTCGTTGACTGATTCGATCCCCAAAAAATCATTCTTATACAGGTAAAAACGATGATTAACTTATTTTTTCAACCTATAACATGAAATCAAACAGACCTAGAAAAGTCCAATTACACGAGGTCGCTACCTATTTATGTTTATGTTTATATCCGATTATGTGACCGTCTGCAGTCTTAGGAGGTCATCTCGATGGTTAATTAGATGGCGTCTAGATTAAAATACACACAAAATGTTGATATATAGTATTGAGTCTATGCATTGTTAATTGTTTATTTCAGACTTATTGTAATTTGGATATAAGTTTTAGTATGTTATAAATCAAATATGAGAATTTGAGTCAATTCGGTGAACATGAATTTGACAGCTAATGCCCTTTTAATTACTAGTATCATAGACTTGTATTGCATTTTGTATCATTACTTTATATACTTACCATTCTAATTAATAAATTAAATTCCTTTGATTGTGTGATTATACCTGTAGTCATCAATCAACTTGTTTAATCCAATTATTGAATTATGATTGGTGTTATATAATTTATTTAAGTTTTAACGTGTAACACATGCAAAGTTTATGGTAGGTGATCAAAATAGTGTTTTCCTTTTTTTTGTAAGTCATTTATCCATCTTATGATTATACATGTACATAACCATATCCAAATGACTGATCATTTAACCATAGGGGAATTTTCACCAGGACAAAACCCTGTGTGTTGTATAAAAAATCATTTCATTCCTTCATTTTGTGGTGAGGAAAAGGGAATAGACTGATGTTTATTAATTTCATTATAGAATAACCAGTTTTATCATTAATTGTCATTTGGAACAATTCTAATAATAAGCCTGGCTTCTCTTAGACAAGAATGATCACAATTTAGTTGTGGTCCTATTAATGGGTCTTATCTGGTTATTTTTGTATCTGATGCACAAATGATAAGCTGATTTGGTATTTTCGTCGTTTAAGTTATCAATTATTACATCTTTAATTAAATAATACTTCAAAATGATAAAAGAAAGTTACCTGAAGATAGCATTTCTTTGCTAATTGCTTACATTGAAATGGACTTCATTTATAAAATTTCTAACATCTAAGGACCAAAATCGGATATCTTTTCGTATAACAGTTACTTTTTCAATAGAAAATATGCTAAGAATGAATTGTTTTCATTTGGTAAAGAGGTATTTATTGTCAAGCCCTCAATCATGAGCCAATGATGAAGGGTATTTCAAAAGTTACAGATGGTTTTTAACAGGGTAGCACCTGTCTCATATTAAGGTATGTAGGTTTTTTTCAGAGACAAGTGCCTGTGTGTTGCTCAAAACAAACTCCAGTCAAGGGAATTACTGAAATAAGTGATTTATAAATCACTCATTTAAGTAGCAAAAATTAGAAATTCTGTGATTTTGTAGTTTTACCAAAATTTTAATCATACATGTACAGGTTTAGATTATATCTAATTATTAGTAAAATTGAAACAAATGAACCTTTTGCTTCTTTTAAGTAGCAAGGTTTATGCCTTTGATGCAATCATTCATCTGTTAATTCTATATTTGTTGAAAAAAATGCTATAATGAAGGCTTTACATAATGAACTGACATGACCGCTCATCCTATAAACATAGATGTTGGTTCTGATAATTTTAGCAACATAATTAGTCCCTGGATCATTTGTATTATATATTTAAAGCTACAATAAAATTGAATTATTTAGTCTAGTGATTTATTTGTACTACTTAAATAGGTAATTATTATAGAAAGACAACTCTTACTTCCAGCATTTCTGGAAAAATGTTACTTGAATCAGTGATTTAAGAAATCACTCATTTAAGTAATTCCCCTGACTGATGGACACTGCCATGTTATAAGTCATATGATTTTCTGCAAATTTGTATAACTGATTACCAAAAAGAATAATGAGGCAGTCTGCACAAAAATCTTTTCCAGCTACTAGTCTGAAGACCAATATTCTGACATTTTTCTTATGTGTTTCAACAAATTTTGCAAATACTTACTAGTCCGAATACAACTTTTTATGTCATAGTCTAGTCTAGTCTGTAGCATTAAACTATTGACTAAAGGTGCAGACTTATGAGGACAAACATTTAAATTTTTTTCCTTTCGAGGGAGTCTAGAGCTTAAACAACATACTATTTTATGGCAAACAAAATGAGTTCTCTGGGTAAACTCAACTCAGATCAATCAAGCAGATTTGTGTACATGTATCTGTACAAAGATTAGTAATAAACTGACTTTGTAAATTCATTGTTTTTAGGTATAAATTATTATGTTTTAATCACTAAAAATTATGTTGGGAATTTTTTTTTTTACAATAAATGTTTATATAGGGACAAAGTCCCGAATTACAGTAAGAAAATAAAAAAATTGAAGAAAAAAAAAAAAAAAAAAAACTTATGAACTTAAAATCAGTAACTTTTTTTGTCTAACTTTTTTAGTTCCCCGCATTTGCACATAAATCTCTTTCTTTCTTCCGGTCTCGTTTGTCACGAGACTTTGAGAAAAATATATACTGTTTCCTGCAAATTTGTTGTTTTTGATTACCGAAAGAATACTGCCAGTTAAACAATTAAAATAAATTCCTTACATTTTAAAATGAGTCTGGAGCTTATTCAACATAAGATTTTATAGCAAACAAAATGTGTTCTCTTGACATGTAAGAAACTTACCTGATCTGACAGATCAACTTCAGATTTCAGTATCTGATAAGAATAACAAGCCGACTTGGTATCTTCATTGTTTAAAGATATAAATTATAACAATTTTATTTTAAAAATTCTTTGATATGAAACATAAACTGTTAACACAGAGATATGTCTCGCCTATTTGTTATTTTAATAATGCATATGTTGAAATTAAAATAGCAATACTTTAACATGTAAGTTATGCAAATATTCAAAGTCAATGAACCATGACTGAAGGTACAGGGCTAAACAATGGAAATCAGATGTGCCAATGCTAATACAACTGCATACCAAGTACCATTGACTTATCATAAGTCATTCCCTTTAAACAAATCTAAACACAACCAATAACTTGTAAACTATGTAAAAGTTTCAAAGTCAATGAACCATAATGAGGGGGTGGGGTTATATAATTTTCATTGAAATGAAACTTGCAAATGCCAATACATTTGCATACAAAATATCATTGGCTTAACATTAGTGGTTCACCTTAAACGGACCTAATCACAAACTAATACATATGTAAACTAAGCAAAAGTTTCAAAGTCAATAGACCATGACTGATGGGGCGGAGCCAAATATTCTCCATGGAAATGAGATGTGCTAATGCTTATACAACTGCAATTAACATTGGCGTACCACTAACGGTCCCCCTTAAACTAACCTAATCACAAACTTATACATAAAAACTAAGCAAAAGTTTCAGAGTCAATAGACCATGACCAAGGGGGCCAGACTAAACAATCTCCATGGAAATGAGATATGCCAATGCTTATACAACTGCATACCAAATATCATTGACCTACCACTTGTGGTTCATCATAAACTGACATAATCACAAACTAATACATGTAAACTAAGCAAAGTTTAGAAGTAAATAGACCATGACTGAGGGGGCAGGGCCAAATAATCTCCATGGTAATGGGATGTGCCAATGCTGATACAACTGCATACCAAATATCATTGACCTACCACTAGTGGTTCACCATAAACTAGACCTAATCACAAACTAATACATTGTTGACGCCGACGCCGGAAACAGCATACCTATGTTTCGCTTTTTGACAACGTCAAGGCGAGACAAAAAAACCTTTACCTGAATGGTGATAGCGTTTCTTTGTTTACATTAAAAATGATGTCACAACTAAAATCCCTAACAACAGGACCAACATCGGAAACGTTTCAGTATTACCGTTTCTGTTTCAACAGATTCTGAAGTTAAAATATGGTTGAATTCCGAAAATAAATTATAGGGACTTCGTCCTCTTTCAAAGGTAACACCTGCCTCATATTAACTTTAAATATGTAAATCTGCTGTTAATGGGATATCGTCAAGTATTCTAAAGGTTTGCTGACTTCGACCCCTTTCACAGGTAACACATGCCTCATATTACATTTTTGTTAAGCTGTGAACCATTTGACATTTTGAAAGTGAAAGAAAAGGAATAGACGTTGTAGCTGTTTGAATGAGCGTTTACTTTGAGGTCAGCAATTTGAAAATAGAATTTCCGGGTTTTCTCACCACGAAATGAATTAAGCTTGTGTGTTCTTAAAGCGTCCTATTTGACCCTGTATAATTTGTTCATGTAGATTGTCTTCTGATTCAGTCTTTAAATTTCCGGAAGTGCAACTATGTACGCGAAAATTTTGCAATGTTTCTAGACGTTTCTTGCTCAACAATAAAAAGTCCAAAATATTCCGAACGAAAGGAAATATATTTTAATTGGCGCTTGCGCAAATGCGATATTGACCACGTGGGAACATCGTTACTTCCTTTTTAAGTTCAATATGGCACCCAAAGACAAGAAGAAGGGTGATAGTGAGCAAGAATATAGTTTTAATGATGAATAATAAAAGCTATAGCATTTACATATTTTCAGCTGACATATCATTTACATTTCTAATAGCTTACACGCATAATAAACGAAATCATCGACTCATAAATCGTGAAATACGAATCAAAATAGATGCAATAAAAGGGGGAATCTCGTACACGTGCTTATGGCTATGCATTTTTTCGACATCTGTAGGTTTGGACCAAAATCAATAATTTTCAATTTTCTCTATGGTAATTATTATGTCAAAGTGATTGAATGACAACTTTATTTCTGTATTTCAAGAGTACCAAAAAGTATTGTAGTCATTCAAACGGGTTTCAGACTTCATTAATTGCTAATTTTTAGGTTAACAGTAACAACTTTTGTCATTACCAGTAAATTACTATGGGAATAAATGACCTTCAACTATGAGGGTGTGGGGTTATGATTATTTCCTTAAAATATTTTGATCCCTATAATTTTAATAAAAAAATAATTTTTAAATTGCTTATAATCTGAAGACGTGAAGTGTATTTCTGATTGAGAGTTTTGCCTCTAATGTTCTTGAGAACATATTAGTGCATTGCAAGACAGAAAAAAAAGACAAATTGATGCTTGCATGGTAAATTTTTTTTAGAATAAAAGCTTGATAAATATACAAAATGAGCTACAATGTAATGTACTTCTAATTGGGGTTTATGCATTGGTGAATTTTTGGGGCAAAAATTGTAATCCATCAAATTGAATAATTAATTGATACACATGCATTAAATTTGTATAAAGCACTGTCACTGCAGATTATGCAATCATTTCTTTATTGAAAATAACATCTTTTTGTGCTACTAATTGTTCGTATAAAATTTAGAAAAAGTTTGATCTTTCATCTTAATCGTGTTTTGTAATTTCTAAATAAATGTACATGTAATGATAGTGTCATCATTGTGTATATAGAAAAAAATCAATCATGTTGCTTATCATATGACAAGATTGCAGTTCCTAGCATTAACTTAATCAAGTCCACCTTAAATGCAGGTTAAGAGGTGTTTTGAGACAACATGGTTTATTATGCAATATCCAGATTTTATTCTGCATGTTTGAGTGATTGAACATGTATTTTTCTTGGAAGACACTCACTTCATCATGTATAATAAAATATTTGAACTAACCTTTTATTTAATTGTAGAACCAAAAAAAGAGGGCAAAAAGGATGCCCCAGCTAAAGTGGCCCCAGCAGGCAAATCAAAGGCTAAGGATAAAGCCATGAAAACCAGAAAGAATGTGGTGAAGGGTATTCATTCAAAACGTAGTAGGAAAATTAGGACATCAGTACATTTCTACAGACCTAAGACACTGTCACTTCCTAGACAGCCAAAATATCCAAGGACGAGTATACCTAGGACTGATAGGTATTGTTCAATTTTACCATCTTAATATTTTTTAACGTTATAAAAATAAGGTTTATTTTTATGCCCTGCCTTCAAATGAAGACAAATGGAGGAGTAACGTGTACGCTTAATACAACATCAACTTTTCTTGCCACCTGATTATAAACCTGTAACCATCTCATTAATTGTTTTGTCTTTTGAAATTTAGTGCTGGTATTTGGCCAGTAGTGCCAGTGGTATAGTGAATAGAAATTTAAAGTGCTGAAGATGTATGTGTTAGGAGTACTTATGTTGTTCTCCGACTCATTGACCTCTGACTCTTCATCCTCCTTTGCTGAACAATTATTTTTCAGACTAAAGTTAAAAATCCAACTTTAAATAAATATTTTGGAGTGCTTAAAATTAATATGTATTAAACTGGCATGGTTCATGTCTGTCATATTTGTTTTTCGTAAATTATTTTGTTTTGAATTAGGCTGTTAGTTTTCTCAATTGAATTATTTCATATTTTTCATATCGTGCCCTTGCATAGCGACTATACGGTATGGGTTATTCTCATTGATGAAGGCTGTACAGTTGCCTTTAATTGCTAACATCCACTTTATTTGAACTTTAGTGGATAGTTGTCTCATTTGCAACCATACCACATCTTATTTTTATATATGCACATTTAAAAAAATTCAAAGCAAACATTTATTTATAGAATGTCAGCTTACCTTAGTTACCTGGTTGACAAAACCATACAAAATTGAAATAGGAATAAAACATAAGGTAGTTTATTGTTCCTATGCTTTGATTTTCAGAATACTATACGACAGGTAATTTTGTAGAAGATGTCTTCAAAAGATTAACTCACTTTTGCTTGTCTATAAAAGCTTGCTGTTAAGCATATATATCTGAAGCCTTAAATGTTGAATTAAGTGACTTTTGAGAAGACGTTAAAAGACATTTCCCTATTATATGCTTTCCACTTAGATTAATTTTCAACTGCTTATTTGATACCTTATCAAACATTTTCCTTCCAAATTTGGGGGGAAGGGGGGAATAGCAACTTTTAAGAAAGAAAGAAATGCAGTAACTGCACTAGAACCCAAGTCAAGTGTTTCATGCTGTGAAAAACATACCTTGTCCTTGCTTAGAATTCTTTCAGTATAATCATGTCTAAAATTTAGGATTTATCGAAAGTGCTTGTCAGCACTGAAGGGTAAAGATTTACTTTCATTTTGCAATTTATATTGAATTGCATTTTGCTAGACAAGTTAAACATTTGATTTGGAGTTATCTTCATTTGTTTATGATTGTACATTTGTGGTTGAACCTATTTTTATAACAGATTAATACACCATGCATTACTTATGTAATTTTTAATAAAAAAATGTTTTCTTGACAAGTATGGGAATTTAAATACACATTAAAATAATATGTACGACATTGACTGGATAGGATCCAAAGAATGATCATTTCAGTGCACTATTTTGTTTGAACTAGCAAAGGTAGTGATCAACCTTGGAAAATATAGATATCAAGTCAATACCATAGGATTTTTATTGCATTTGATGTAATCTTTACCCCAAAAAAATAGATAAAAATTTATTGTGTTGTTTAAAACTTTACATTTAAAACACACCTCAGTAGTAGAACATAATATCACTTCTGTTTTGGGAAAATGTTAAGTCTTACATGTAATTGTTAAATAATAATGTTTTTGGCAAATTTGCAATGAACAGGTACTGATTCTTGGGAAAGGTTTCATCCTTCGCAATATTTGAAGTAGGCATGAAAACCACAAAAATTTGAATTTCATAGGCAGAATTGAAAAATAAATTGGATCTGACATACTGTATATGTAAAGGGAAATTTAATAGACAATAGTAAGAAACTAAAAAAAAAAAGGAAAATGTATAGTCTATTACAGCTCTTTTCATAATGCTAGCAAGACAAAGATTTGTTTGGCTTGCTTGCTTTGTTTGTATCAATGTTTGCTCAAGCATTGTAAATAAGATTGACATCTGAAAACAACATAAAAAGGCAGATATAAACTTGTATACATTATATTTAAATTTGATTGGACATTGTCAAATAATCAAATTTACCTATGCACAGGTTTAACTCCGCCCTTATATTGTTTGCAGATGTCAATCTTAATTACAATGCTTGAGCAAACATTTATACAAACAAAGCAAGCAAGGCAAACAAACTTTGTCTTGCTAGCATTATGAAAAGAGCTGTAAATAATTTATTGTGTGTGATTACAAAATTTGTTATATGAACCACATAATAAGTGTATTTTGTTTTAATAGATTAGACAAATACAGAATTGTGAAATTTCCACTGACCACTGAGTCTGCCATGAAAAAGATTGAAGACAACAATACACTGGTCTTCATTGTTGACAAACGAGCAAACAAACCACAGATTAAACTAGCAGTGAAAAAATTATATGATATTGATGTAGCTAAAGTTAACACATTGATCAGGTGGGTAATGTATTTAAACATTGATCAGGTGGGTAATGTATTTAAGGCTTGTGGTCACCAAAGTAGCTTTTACCTGTCAAACTTTGTTTTCACACAGTAGCCCTAGTTGTTCTGAAGTAAAAACAAAGCAGTCACTGATATTCCTTTAATGCAAGAAGGCCGCTATTGGATAGATTTCTTACTAAGAGCTTTTGCAGACAAGTCCAGAGACTTGCAATTTTTGTCCAAGGCAAGTCCAAAGAGAGACCATTTTTGCAAAGGCGAGTCAAATAGTGAGAATAAAACAATGTTCTTGCTATAATTTATCATTTAAGTCTCCAATACATGAGTAGGGCTAAATGAAACAAACTGTAGTGAAATTTGATATGTTAAATATGGTTGAATATTGGCCATTATTGACAATGGGCATAGACTGCCGTATTAGGGATACAGACTCTTATAAAGCATGTACAGTCGAACTGGGTTGTGTCGAAAACTTGGATGAGTCAAAGTAATTTCTCGGTCCTGGTAAAATTCCAGTTTGATCAATGCATAATTACCTCTGATGAGTCGAACTCAGTTGATTCGAATACTCGGTTAAGTCAAGTAAATTTTATAGTCCCGTCGAAGTAAAATTAATGTAAATTGACCCCGATGTCTCGAAGTTCAAAAGTAAGAATTTTCAAAAGATGCAGACCTAATGATAAAAAATCAATTCGGATGTATTTCTTATGTAACCTTATCATTTTCAAAAGAGATTAAAGCTGAGTAAACATACTTGTTTGTATAACAGTTAAAATTACATGTTTATAGTGACCGATAATTAACACCTTTGTTGATCGTTCAAGCGGAATGTTAGTGTGTTGAACATTTTTCACCCGAGATAAAAACGAATCGAATTTAAATGACCCAAGCCGAGATTAAATGAATCTTTAGATTTAAAACTCATTAATTACAATACATAAAAGGATTAGGACAATTATAATAAATTCATGATAATTTAATGTAAAGCAGACGACCTCATCAGAGACCATTCAGAACTTATTTCGTACCGCGAGTGATTTCATAATTTATAGTGACTGACCTTTGTAAATATTTGTGTAGATTATTGATTATTTTTGTGCATGATTTGTATCTGTACTTTTGTGTTTAATTACTACGAAGGACCAAAAATGGAGATTGAATACACAATCCTAAAGTGTCATATCGAAAAAAGGCACACTGTTCATTGTATCTAGTTTACATAAATCTCATACCGTATTTCATGCATTCAAAATTTATGACGGCACACTTGACCTCGGATGAGTTGAATACTTTGGTCCGGTCCCTTTGACTTCGACACAACAAGGTTCGACTGTAGTTCCATTAGTTAGCTTTAGGTTATTAAGTTGGTGCACCATGTCTGAAATTGGATATATTATACATTGTACATGTATTACTGGAGAAAACCACAAATAAACTAATGCATAATATGTTCCTGTAAACAAAAATAAGGAAGAATACAGACGGCAAATAGTTTTGTAGCGAAATGTTAATGATGTTTATGTAGGCAAAGAAACAAGATCCCAAATGAAGATATACATGATTAATTTTTTATTCATCATTCAAATCTTGCCATTTCTCGGTTAGGCTTAGAAAGGTTAATTTTTATGCCTCTGATTCAGAAGTTGTGTGATACCAGATATATGTATGAAGTTAATAAAACCATTTGAATTACAACTGAACATGACTTACCTATTAAAGGAATAATTCACAAATCTTAACCTCAACATAATATGGCAATCATATATAGCAAATGTTTTAACAAACACATTTTTGTTAAGGGTTATCTCATTGGAACATAGATGGTATACAGGGAAGGCACTGACAAAATGGGGTAGCCACCTATAGAAGCAAATTTATAATTCACCTGCATTTTCACTGTATTTGACACCCATCAATAGTTTTGGAAGTTGCCTTCTGTGTTTTCAATGTATGCTTCTAAATATGCATTGATTGTTTCCTTTTCATATTGTGTTACAGTCTAATATAATGGTATTACCCTTGTTGGTGATGCTGTGACTACAGGTAATTGTCTTATAATCTTATTCAAGGAATAGCTTTCCATCTTGGTCCAAGGCAGTTAAAAGGTAAAGAAAAATACTGAATCTAAACCTAGAAAACACACTATAAAATGACGTTAAACCATACAACACACAGAAAACACACTATTAAATGACGTTAAACCATACAACACACAATCTCACAGAATTTAATAATAAATTAGATGATTTCTATTGTAGACCCGATGGAGAAAAGAAAGCTTACGTCAGACTGGCCCCAGATTATGATGCATTGGATGTTGCCAACAAGGTAAGAAGCTAATAAGTTCTGAATTATTGTAAAAATGTTTGTTGAATCTTTCTTAGTTCAAATAAAAGGCAACATACACTCAATTACATAAAAATGAAAGGATTTATACATTTTAAGTTGTTTGCATCTTGTCACTTGCTCAGAATTATTTCAACAATGATCTGCAAATCGAACATTTCACATAATTTATTATCTAAATAGAGCCATGGTGTTTACAAGGAAAAAAAATTGTGTTTTCATCAATATTCACTGATAAAAGAATATGAAAACAAATTCCCATCATCCATTGATGTCTCTGTGCTATACATCAGAAAAAGATTTCATGTGGATTAAGTATCATTGAGATAATCTAACGAAGCCAGGTGTCAAAAATAAGGTTTCTAGAAACCATTATACGGTCCTCAGTGTTGAACAAGACCCAGCATGATGTGGCAATAGATATTGTGTAGCCCACATCTTAAAGTGAATGAATTCCGTCATGCCCACTGAATAGAATATCAGTAAATGTATAACATTTAAAATTAAGATTTTTTTTTTTAACATTCTACCTGATTATTATATGAAATGTGAACAAATTTTTATACGACCGCAAAAAAATTTTTGTGGTCGTATATTGGTATGACGTTGGCGTCGTCGTCGTCCGGCGTCGTCGTCTTCGTCGTCGTCGTCCGAAGACACATTGGTTTTCGCACTCTAACTTTAGTTTAAGTGAATGGATCTTTATGAAATTTTACCACAAGGTTCAATACCACAAAAGGAAGGTTGGGATTGATTTTGGGGGTTATGGTAATAACAGTAAAGGAATTAGGGGCCAAAAAGGGGCCAAAAATAAGCATTTTTGTAACTTCCAGACATAACTTGTGTGTTAGTGTATGGATCTCTCTGACATTGTACCACAAGGTTCCATATCACTAAAGGAATGCTGGGATTGATTTTGGGGGTAATTGCCTCCAAATTTTAGGAATTAGGGGCCAAAAAAGGGGCAAAAAACAAGCATTTTTCTAGTTTCATGACAATAACTTGTGTGTAAGTGTATGGATCTTTCTGAAATTGTACTACAAGGTTCCATATCACAAAGGGAAAGCTGGGTTTGAGTTTGGGGGTAATTGCCCTAAACGTTTAGGAATTTGGGGCCAAAAAGGGGCCAAAAAACACATTTTTTTCTAGTTTCCAGACAATAACTTGTGTTCAAGTGTATGGATCTCTCTGAAATTGTACTGCAAGGTACCATACCACAAAGGGAAGACTGGGATTGAGTTTGGGGGTGATGAATCATAATGGGGGTTCAAAAAATTTTGGGGGGGGATTTATTTTTTTTTCCTTTTTTTAGCTCACCTGGCCCGAAGGGCCAAGTGAGCTTTTCTCATCACTTGGCGTCCGTCGTCCGGCGTCGTCCGTCGTAGGCGTTAACTTTTTACATTTTGAACTTCTTCTAGAGAACCACTGAATGGAATGAAACCAAACATGGCATGAATGTTCCTTATGAGGTGCTGACCAAGTGTTGTTACTTTGTAGCCGATCCATCATCCAAGATGGCCGCCAGCGGGGGACTAAGTTTAACATAGGACCCTATGGGAAATGCATACAAATGACTTCTTTTAGAGAACCACTGAATGGAATAAAACATAACATGGCATGAATGTCCCTTATGAGGTGCTCACCAAGTGTTGTTACTTTGTAGCCGATCCATCATCCAAGATGGCCGCCAGCGGGGGACTTAGTTTAACATAGGACCCTATGGGAAATGCATACAAATGACTTCTTTTAGAGAACCACTGAATGGAATAAAACCAAACATGGCATGAATGTTCCTTATGAGGTGTTGACCATGTGATGTTACTTTGTAGCCGATCCATCATCTAAGATGGCTGCCATCGGGGAACTTAGTTTAACATAGGACCCTATGGGAAATACATACAAATGTCTTCTTTTAGAGAACCACTGAATGGAATGAAACCAAACATGGCATGAATGTTCCTTATGAGGTGCTGACCAAGTGTTGTTACTTTGTAGCCGATCCATCATCCAAGATGGCCGCCAGCGGGGGACTTAGTTTAACATAGGACCCTATGGGAAATACATAAAAATGTCTTCTTTTAGAGAACCACTGAATGGAATGGAACCAAACATGGCATGAATGTTCCGTATGAGATGCTGACCAAGTGTTGTTACTTTGCAGTCGGTCCATCATCCAAGATGGCCCCCAGCGGGGGACTTAGTTTTACATAGGACCCTATGGGAAATACATACAAATGTCTTCTTTTAGAGAACCACTGAATGGAATGAAACCAAACATGGCATGAATGTTCCTTATGAGGTTCTGACCAAGTGTTGTTACTTTGTAGCCGATCCATCATCCAAGATGGCCGCCAGCGGGGGACTTAGTTGAACATAGGACCCTATGGGAAATACATACAAATGTCTTCTTTTAGTGAACCACTGAATGGAATGAAACCAAACATGGCATGAATCTTCCTTATGAGATGCTGACCAAGTGTTGTTACTTTGTAGCTGATCCATCATCCAAGATGGCCCCCAGCGGGGGACTTAGTTTTACATAGGACCCTTTGGGAAATACATAAAAATGTCTTCTTTTAGAGAACCAATAAATGGAATGGAACCAAACATGGCATGAATGTTCCTTATGAGATGTTGACCAAGTGTTGTTACTTTGTAGCCGATCCATCATCCAAGATGGCCGACAGCGGGGGACTTAGTTTAACATAGGACCCTATGGGAAATACATACAATTGTCTTCTTTTAGAGAACCACTGAATGGAATTGAACCAAACATGGCATGAATGTTCCTTATGAGTTGCTGACCAAGTGTTGTTACTTTGCAGTCGATCCATCATCCAAGATAGCCGCTAGGGGGGGGGGGGGGCTTAGTTTAACATAGGACCCTATGGGAAATACATACAAATGTCTTCTTTTAGAGTACCACTGAATGGAATGAAACCAAAACCAAACATGGCATGAATGTTCCTTATGAAGTGCTGACCAAGTGTTGCTACTTTGTTGCCGATTTACTGTTCAAGATGGCCACCAGGATATTTTATTAAATAACGGGACCAATATTAATCAAAATTTGGCCTCAATCATTATTTGGGTATCTGTTATGATTTTTATCTATCTTTACATGATTTCTAAAACCAAAGTAGAGTCAGGTGAGCGACACAGGCTCTTGAGAGCCTCTAGTTTCTTTTTTTCCTTTTTCGTTTCTTTTAAAATTTTCCATTTTAAGTTGGTTATTTCTGATTTATATTTAAAATCAAATAATAATGATATGGTAGGAGATACACACCAAACAGGATGTGTAAATTATTATATAATAAGTATTGTGCAATAGCAAGAAATTTTCAATTGCACAGTATTGCACAATAGCAAGAAATCTTCAATTGCACAGTATTGCGCAATAGCAAGAAATCTTCAATTGCACAGTATTGCGCAATAGCAAGAAATATCCAATAGCACAATATTGCGCAATAGCAAGAAATTGTCAATTGTACAGTATTGCGCAATAGCAAGAAATATTTAATAGCACAGGATTGTGCAAAAGAAGATACTTCCTATAAATTGCTTATTTCTTGACCAATTTCAATGGGGTTTTATTCTTGATTTCATGGGGTTCTTTAATATGCTGAATCTAACCGTGTATTTAGTTTTTGGATTTTAAGCCCTGTTTTTAAATTGGTCCACATTGAGGTCCAAAGGTTCCAAAATTAAACTTTGTTTGATTTCATCAAAAATTGAATTATTGGGGTTCTTTGATATGCCGAATCTAACTGTGTATTTAGATTCTTAAATTTTGGTTCCGTTTTCAAATTGGTCTACATTAAGGTCCAAAGGGTCCAAAATTAAACTTAGTTTGATTTTAACAAAAATTGAATTCTTAGGGTTCTTTGATATGCTGAATCTAAACATGTATTTAGATTTTTGATTATGGGCCCAGTTTTCAAGTTGGTCCAAATCGGGGTCCAAAATTAAACTTTGTTTGATTTCAACAAAAATTGAATATATGGGGTTCTTTGATATGCTGAATCTAACCATGTATTTAGATTTTTGATTTTTGGGCCCCGTTATCAACTTTGTCCACATTGAGGTCAAAAGGGTCCAAAATTAAACTTTGTTTGATTTCATCAAAAATTGAATTATTGGGGTTCTTTGATAAGTCGAATCTAACCGTGTATTTAGATTCTTAATTTTTGGTTCCGTTTTCAAATTGGTCTACATTAAGGTCCAAAGGGTCCAAAATTAAACTTAGTTTGATTTTAACAAAAATTGAATTCTTAGGGTTCTTTGATATGCTGAATCTAAACATGTATTTAGATTTTTGATTATGGGCCCAGTTTTCAAGTTGGTCCAAATCGGGGTCCAAAATTAAACTTTGTTTGATTTCAACAAAAATTGAATATATGGGGTTCTTTGATATGCTGAATCTAACCATGTATTTAGATTTTTGATTTTTGGGCCCCGTTATCAACTTTGTCCACATTGAGGTCAAAAGGGTCCAAAATCAAACTTTGTTTGATTTCATCAAAAATTGAATTCTTGGGGTTCTTTGATATGCTGAATCTAACCATGTATTTAGATTTTGGATATTGGACCATAATAGGTGAATGTCCAATTTAAAATTTTTAAGTTCTTAGACCACATTCAATCTGTGTTAGAAACCTATGCTGTGTCAAATATTTAATCACAATCCAAATCCAAAGCTGTATCAAGCTTGAATGTTGTGTCCATACTTCCCCCAACTGTTCAGGGTTCGACCTCTGCGGTCGTATCAAGCTGCGCCCTGCGGAGCATTTTATTACTAATTGCCCAGGGCTGTTTCAAAATTTATCCGGTAGGGGAATAGAAGGTAACTAAATTAATTAAACAGATGGGGTTTCATTTTCCTCACGATTTGTAAGAATTAATATAACTAAAATGAAAATTTTATCTGTGGTAGTGTATTTAATACTGGAACAGCCCTTACATATACTTGTGCTTTAATATATTTTCTTTCTTTTTCAGATTGGTATCATCTAAAAAGGACCTCATTTTATTTGGGACTGAAATAAAAAAAACAATCTGTATTTTTGTGTATGTTGTATTATGATACATTTGTCCTTGTTTATACTCCTGCAAACATTTTAAGAGTGCATATAAATTGCCATGTCTGTCTGTCCTTCAATTTATAATGGTGTCATATCTTGTGAGTTACTTAGTACATGGATACATCATACCTCGCACAGTTGTAGCATGTCTTGGCAGTGACTCCATGGCCATATCTTGAAGGCCAAGGTCACAAAATACACATATTAAAATGGTATACAAATATTAAAGGAGATGTGGTATACTTGCCTTTGACACAACTATCCATCAGAGTGTGATGTTTATGGTAATAAATGTATGATATAGGACATCCAGGTTTGCTAGCAATTTGTTGGTCGCTTAACATCCAGTGGCAAATATTTCATGCATGTTCAGGACGAGAACAAACGCAATAAAAACAAAAGGTAGGTCCTGTATTAAAGGCCATTTGGGATGAAGGTTAGGGTAAACTAGATTGCCACTGTAAAATAAGTATATATTGGATAGGGATAGTTATTTTGCCTTCCAAAGGCCATCTATGTACCACTAAAGAGTTGTTTGACATTAAGGTTTGCTCCATCTATGTACCACTAAAGAGTTGTTGGACATTCAGGTTTGCTAGCCATGGGTTTTGTAAAGGATGTATACGACAACCATCACTCTGCAGTTGTATCAAGCTCCGCCCCACAGAGCATTTAATTAAAGAATGGACATGAATACGAGATTACTTATTGCGATTTCAGGACGAGGTGCACACAGATATATGCATCAGATATCACAATGCAAGTTATTATTGTGATACTCGCCCAGTCACATTATTACAGTATACAACACCCAAGTTTGCTGGGCATGAATCATATGTATGGTGTACTTGATGGCAATACAAATGATATAGGATATTCAGTATTTTGTAACAGGTGCATTGTGATTGTGGATATAGAACATTTAGGTTTTCTGGTCATTAATTTTGTATGGCAATAAGTGATTGATCAAGGACACCCAGCCTTTCTAGCAATGAATTTTGTAAGGAGTACATTATGGGAATAAATATCTGCTACAGAAGACATGCAGTATAAAAATAAGATGTATGATTGCCAATGAAACAACTCTCCACCAGAAACCAAATGACAAAGGTTAGCAACTAGAGGTCACAGTACGGCAGTCAACAATGAGCAAAACCAATATGGCATAGCAAGCTGTAAAAGGCCCCAAAATGACAAATGTAAAACAGTTCAAAAAAAAACTTGCTGCCTGATTTATGTACAAAACAAACTAAAAACAATTATGATATACTGCAACAAAAATGACAATAACAGACTCTAAACTTTGGACCTGCACATACAGAGTGTGGCTGGATTTGCTAGCCATGAATATTGTGAAGGGCACAATATGGTTATAAATATATAATATAGGACATCCTGGTTTGCTAGCCATGAATTTTATAAAGGGTACAACATGGTAATACATATCTGATATAGAACATCCCGGTTTTCTAGCCATGAATTTTATAAAGGGTGCAACATGGTAATACATATCTGATATAGAACATCCAGGTTTGCAAGCCATGAACTTCATAAAGGGTGCAACATGGCAATACATATCTGATATAGAACATCCAGGTTTGCAAGCCATGAACTTTATAAAGGGTACATTATGGTAATACATATCTGATATAGAACATCCCGGTTTGCAAGCCATGAACTTCATAAAGGGTGCAACATGGTAATACATATCTGATATAGAACATCCAGGTTTGCAAGCCATGAACTTCAGAAAGGGTGCAACATGGTAATACATATCTGATATAGAACATCCCGGTTTGCTAGCCAAAAACTTTATAAAGGGTACATTATGGTAATACATATCTGATATAGAACATCCCGGTTTGCTAGCCATGAACTTTATAAAGGGTACATTATGGTAATACATATCTGATATAGAACATCCCGGTTTGCAAGCCATGAACTTCATAAAGGGTACATTATGGTAATACATATCTGATATAGAACATCCCGCTTTTCTAGCCATGAATTTTATAAAGGGTACATTATGGTAATACATATCTGATATAGAACATCCCGGTTTGCAAGCCATGAACTTTATAAAGGGTACATTATGGTAATACATATCTGATATAGAACATCCCGGTTTGCAAGCCATGAACTTCATAAAGGGTACATTATGGTAATACATATCTGATATAGAACATCCTGCTTTACTAGCCATGAATTTTATAAAGGGTACATTATGGTAATACATATCTGATATAGAACATCCCGGTTTGCAAGCCATGAACTTTATAAAGGGTACATTATGGTAATACATATCTGATATAGAACATCCCGGTTTGCAAGCCATGAACTTCATAAAGGGTGCAACATGGTAATACATATCTGATATAGAACATCCAGGTTTGCAAGCCATGAACTTCAGAAAGGGTGCAACATGGTAATACATATCTGATATAGAACATCCCGGTTTGCTAGCCAAAAACTTTATAAAGGGTACATTATGGTAATACATATCTGATATAGAACATCCCGGTTTGCTAGCCATGAACTTTATAAAGGGTACATTATGGTAATACATATCTGATATAGAACATCCCGGTTTGCTAGCCATGAACTTTATAAAGGGTACATTATGGTAATACATATCTGATATAGAACATCCTGGTTTGCTAGCCATGAACTTTATAAAGGGTACATTATGGTAATACATATCTGATATAGAACATCCCGGTTTGCAAGCCATGAACTTATAAAGGGTACATTAAGGTAATACATATCTGATATAGAACATCCTGTTTCCTAGCCATGAACTTTATAAAGGGTACATTATGGTAATACATATCTGATATAGAACATCCCGCTTTTTTAGCCATGAATTTTATAAAGGGTACATTATGGTAATACATATCTGATATAGAACATCCCGCTTTTCTAGCCATGAATTTTATAAAGGGTACATTATGGTAATGAGAAGTACCAATGCTCATACAGCTGACTATCCATTGACTTCCTCCCCTTTACTGACCTAATCACAAACTTTAATTTGTTAACTATTAAAAAATTCCAAAGTCAATGAACCATGACCAATGGGACGGGGCCATATAATCGCCATGGAAATGAGATGTGCTATTACTAATTACAACTAAATACCAAATGTCATTGACTTACTATTAGAGGTTCCCCAAAAACTGACCTAATCACACTTTAATATGTAAACTATGCAAAAGTTTCAAAGTCAATAGACCATGCATGACTGAGGATGGCTGGGCCAATTAATCTGCATGGATATGAGATGTGCTCATGCAGGTGAACTTAATCATACTGTACTATACATTGACTGACATTAGTGGTTCCCCTCAAACACACCTATTCACACACACTAACATTTAAAATAAGCAAAAGGTTCAAGTCAATAGCCCATGACTGAGGGTATGGGCCAAGTTATCTTCATTGAAATGAGATGTGCCAATGCTAATACAATAGTTTCCAAATATCATTGACTTACCATGAGTTGTTTCCCTTAAGCTGACCTGATCACAAAGTTTAACAAATTGATGAGGCAGACAGAAACAGAACACCTCACTAAGTCTCGCCTAAGCCACTTCGTCGAGGTAACACAAGTCTGTAATATGAAGATCTTACTACAAGTATCACATAAACTAAACATCATTGTTCTATGAAAATGAAGTCACTGTAAGATGAACCATGCCAGACCGACATGTACACCTGACAATCATTCCCTTCACCAAATATTGTGATCCTATCACTAATAGTACCTGAGGCACAGAATAAACCACAAATCTTAATATTGACCAATGAACCATGGAAATGAGGTCAAGGTCATATGAACCTTGCCAGACAGACATGTACACCTTACAATCATTCCATACACCGAATAAAGTTGACCAAATGCTTATAGTATCTGAGATATGGACTTGACCATTAACTTTAACCCTGATCACAGATCCATAAGATGAGGTTGAGGTAAGGTGAACCCTACCTGACGAATATGTAGATGTTGCAAGGAAGCCATATACAAAATATAGTTATCCTATTACTCTTAATTAATATTACACCTGACAAAAAAACTAATTAATTTTCAAGCAGTCACTTAAGGGGACGACCATTTGATATTCTGGGGGGGGGGGGGGGCCAGGAGGATTTGTTTTGGATCGGTTATTTATTTTTGTAACCTAAGAGGACAGATTATCTATTTTCTGCACTATTGAAGCAAGATTTTTCATTTTCATTAAAGCAAGGGACTGATTATTTATTTTCACAACTATATTTATAATATTCGAAAACATACAATTTTTAAATTATTTGTTTATTATAAATAATTCATGTATAGTCAAGTCATTATGTACCATTTAATCAGAATTAATTATTATCCTCTGCAGAAATGAATCTTCTATATTCCCCAATGCATATACATGTATTGCATACATACACAGTATTAAAGTTTGGTTGTAACTAAGGCTCTTTTAAAAGTATTGGCACACATGTTTTGCCGAGCAGAACGAGGTAAAAAAATTTTTGTAGGGTTTTTGAACAGCTGAAGGCCCAAGAAGCTATAGAACAAATGATGCAAAATCATGCCTTCTGGGTGTTCCCCAGACCCTTTCTTAAACTGAAAATGCAAGTTCTGTTTTAATAATTTTATGACAATATTTTGGTCTCAAAGCAAAATCACGTTATAGATTCAGTGTTAGACTTAAGTTTCTAGGGACAACATCAAAAGACAAATATGCATGATAAAGCAAAAATGTAATTCACATAGTTAAGTCTGTGGCTGCTGTGTTTTTTTAAACTCATGATCAAGTTAATAATAAAATTACTAAATTACAAAATGAATGCAACACTAACAGAATACAGAAGGGCAATCAATGAACAAAAGACAAATAAATAAGAAACATTGATCCCGAAAAATCAGGGGCTACATCTGAGGGAGAACAGAACTTGCTTCTTGCAAGGCACTCACGGTGAACACAATTTGATATGGAGACAAGCGTTTGGTTTTGAAATTTCCTACATGAGGCATTTGTCTCAATGTAGTTACGGCCCTGATTTAATAAAAGTGAGGTAAGTGTTCCTGAGACAATTAACCTCAAGTTAAATGAAACCAATTTTCTGACATTTCAAGTATATTTAAATAATATTTATACTTTTATTATTAAAAGATATGGGAAGTGTTTCCCGATTTTTTTTTTGGAAAAAAGATGAATTTATGAAGAATCTGGTGCCATCTCATACTTTCGATTAGACCTGCTGAGTTATTTATTTTCAATACATTGCAAGTCAGGTAATTTATTTTCAAACTACCACAGAACAAACCATTTATTTTTGTGATTATCAAGGCTGAGTTATTTATTTTCAAAATCCTCCTGGCCCCCCCCCCCCCAGAATATCAAATGGTCGTCCCCTAACCATGAAAATGAGGTCAAGGACAATGGACATATATGACAGATGGAAACATAAGGTATCTGTATATAAGGTATGAAGAAGGTATGAAGCATCCTGTCTTCTACCTTCTGAAATAAAAAGCTAAATACAAATAGATTATAATGCAGCCAGATTGTAATCCCTATGTCTCGCATTCTGAGACTTTCTTTGCAGGCGAGACAAAAATTGTACAAAAAATATTCTTGCATAACTAAGCTTGATGTCCTGTTACATAAAACCAGTGATTTATGTACTTGTTTTCAAATTAACTATTAAAATCAGTGAAAGATACATCTTTTCCCAGAATGTTGTATTTTGACTTTGATGTTATAACCTTCCCTGTATCAGTATTATATGCCCTTATTAATAGGGATTGTCATAGAATTTTTTTTTTTGTCTCATCTACTAATACTGATGAATCAGTTGAAGTTTGAACCCAATTGGAACAGCAGTTTCAGAGTTTTAAGTTTTTAAAAAAAATATTTTCCTATGGACAATAGATACCAAGCAACAAGAAGGCTAACATGATCCTGTGATTCAGGTTGTTTAAAAACAAATCAAGTAAGTTTTTTTCAAATATTTTTATTTTGTACATGATATTTTATCACAGATGAATTGCACTTGACATTTTTAGCATAAATACACATATCTCATAACTCATTCCTCAAGTACCTGTCATACCAGTCAGACTATCAAATAAAACAGTATGCAATGAAGGTCTGTTGTTGTTTTCTTAAAGTTGAATGTTTGATTGTTGTTTGTTTAACATTTTCTTAAGTGAAATGAAATGTATTCTGCTGATTCATGTTATTAAAAGCAGTTAACTTATGAGGTTGAACATGAAAGAACATTTTTCAGAGGCAGATCCAGCCTTACAGTCAAAAACATTTCCAGCATGATTATCGTACTCAGATTCAAAAATCAACCAATCAAAATGCTGGATTTCGTGTTTCAAGCACAAGTTTTATGACAGAGATCCCATGAATTTTTAAATATTGTGCCTGAAGTGACCCCAAAGAAAAATAAAGGTGGGCACTCGGAGTCAAAAATAAAAAAGAACTATTAAAAGAACACAATTTTTTGGCTATAAAGGAAGAGAAAATTCAGGTTGCACTGGCTGTCAAAAAATAAAACTACAAAATTTTTTTTTTTGCCAGATGGGTGAGCCCCCCTCTCTGTTTTTCCTTTGATTTTAACGCATTTAAATTTTAGATGGTGAGCCCCTCTCTGTTTTTCCTTTGATTTTAATGCATTTAGATTTTAAAACTTGACAGTGCTTAGGTTGAATAAGTCACATAAGTTAAACATCATTTAAATTCTGATAATAATATGCAACAAACTTTGGTTTTGCATTAAATTAATCAAAATTAAAGAATTTTCTGATCATATTAGTAACTAGTTGTGTTTCATTCTGGTTATAATGGTCAAATATTGTATACATAACATACACAGAGTAGAGCAACAAATATGGTAACAATAATTCTAAATCTGTTTTGATAACCTGTACAAACTAATTCTATCTTTTAACAATAAGCTTTACAGATTTACAAAGGAACAGATTAACCCTCTTGCAAAAAATTATACTGTATCACAACAATTGCCATAACTTGTACATAGCCATTTTTTTTTCAAATTTTCAAATGTGTTATTAAATCCATATTGATGCTAAAATACAGCAAGATACTGGAAATTGTAGACAATTCAGGCTTGAGAAAAATCCAATGTTTACATGTTGTATGATAAAAAGGTCAGCTTCATTGAAAACAGTAGGCATGAATTGATATTAAATTAAAAAGTAGACATTTTAACATAGCATTACAAAAAATTCTACTGATTAAAAATATGATGACGACTAATGTTCTGTGTACAAAATTAATAATACTATTTACATTTTCAAAGCTCTAAAGACAGGAAAATAATAAAATTATACCATTAAAGTTTCTGATATTTTGATATCACAATATAATAATTGGACTGTTTTGGCACGTATTTTAAAAACAAATTATCAAAAATCATATTTATTATGTTTCAAAATGTATGATAGTGAATAATGCAACAGCTTAATTTAAGCTATAAAGCATGAATTGCAATCAACAATTTAGAATACAAATAACTGTCAATAGAAAATCAATATTTCTAGTGCATTTTCTGAAAATGCGATAATGATAGTCTACAATTAATTAATTTCCTGCTTATTTATCTACTACACAGTTGCATTAATGTGAACAATGACAGATATTGGAAAATATCTTTTTATTGCATCTTTGTACAATGGTTGATTATTGGATCAGTAAAATATTCATAAGCAAGAAATAGACAAAGAGTCTGTAAAGAATTCCATTGTGATTTATAATTAGATTTAGTCTGTAAAATGTGTAAAGAATAAAAGCAATTGTTCTAATACTTAAATACTAAGTAATTATTATGCTCTCAGTGTAATACCAGAACTTTCACCTTCATCCTAACAAGTTTCACCTTTCACCTGACGTCTTTGTTTTAAAATATAGAAATTTAACAATTTACAACAAGCAATTACTATTCCAATGCTCCCTTATTACAACAAATATAAATAAACAATAAAAAACAAGGTAAAATTAACAATTATCTATCTTTTTTCCTTCCTCGTCTAGATATGGGTGATGGTGTATTACCAGAAGCACCAACTATTACTTTACCGTCTTGTATTTCTTCTTGTGATATTTCTGTAGCACTAGATAATTTTTGTTGAGCTTCTAAGTAAAACATGACATCTCGTAACTGTTCTCTCAACTCATTTATTTCCTGTAATATAATTACAATTAAATCAGTCATAAACATATGTGCTTTAATTAGTGATTTTTCTCAATAAAGAAGACACTATCTATAAATATGAATAAAGGAAAATGTGGATAATCTGCCACTAAGGCAGCAAACTGATTTTAGAAAAAAAAATTATTGGTACAATACCCTTTCATTTCACTTTAGCTTAACCCTAACTGTCAATGTATACGTACAAATGTATGTTTGTTCATAAAGATGATTTATGTCATATTTTTTTGTATTTGCAGATCATATCTATGGTCTACCTATGTAATGCACAGGTATTATGAGATATGTCTATTCTGTTTTTAAAAGTGATGTTTGCTTGATTTACTGTTAATTTATTTATTAATTTTTTTCTTAATAGCGACGTCCAGAAAAGTGACCCAAGTCATGCTGAACTAACCTATCAGACTTACTTATAATGCATTTATAATTGGAGATGGAAGATACTTTGCCAATCCATCATGGAACATAAAAAAATACATTTGATTAAATTCTATTCTGGTACATGGGATATAATCTACTTTGAAAATCTTCCATAGCCACAACAAATTTACTATAATTCAGACACTAACGTTATGTATAAATAAGGTTATGTCATATGACATCTCAAATAAGCCATTTTTAACCAGTGATATATTTAAGAATTGAAGGCTTCTTTTTGTAAATTTATTGGGGTGTAAAAGTGTTGACTGAAGTACATTTTGTATGAAGTGCTGAAGCGCAATTCAATATTTATAATTACATTTTTATGCAAGGATCACGAAATCTATCAAATGCAAGTTTTTCTTTATTAACCTGTGCACTTTATTGTGGAAGCTCGAAATTTTGAAATGAAGGTTAATTTCAGAATGTCGCAAGATTGCTGTTAGCCAATCAAAATAAAGTATTATAAAAAAACATACATGTAATGTAATTATTTAGTTTTAAAGAATTTTGTTATAATCATAAATATCATTTCCTTAAGTAAATTTTTTTTTTTTGCATATGCTGAAAGTTAAAAATAGCAGACATACATTTTTGTTTCCTTTCATTCATTTTTTTTTGAACATCTTTTTAAACATCTTTTAAATGTCTCAATTCTAAAACTCACAGGTTATTAATGCAGACCCCACTATAATTTTTTGCCAAAAAAATGAACAGTAATATATCTGATGTTCTTCAATTAAAACGGAACATTTAGATAACATTATAATATAAATATTTGTTTTTAACTGCAAATTTGTACCTTTTCCTTTGTACATGTTAGATCTTTGACTTGAGATTCTAGATTCTGAACTTTTTTCTGCCACACTTGTTGGTTTTCCAGTAAACATTTATTCATCTGTTTTTCCTCTTGTAACTCTGATAAAACTTTTGTAAGCCTTGAATGCAGCTAAAGGAGAAAACAGAAATATTTGAATACATTACAAAATTCTGCTGTTAATAATAACTGCTACATATGCTAATTGAATCAAGGACCACATAAAAAAAGCTGTAAGCTCATATAAGAGTGCGTATGTGTATTTTGTGTAGTAATCAGATGCTTATTTTTTGACATGAAGGAAAATAACTAACTTTTTTGTATTCATGAGGAAAGAATTCATATTTTGAATACATGTAGTTAAAAATCTTGTGTACATGATATAAATATTTATTGATTATCCATGCTTCTTCAAACAAGAGGGAGTTTCTCTGCCATAATCTCATCAAAGGGCGATAGCCCTCAGATGAGATGTAGCCTAGAAACATCCCTGAGTTTGTCAGACCACTGATAATTGATTTATTGTTATTATCCTAGGCAACACCAATGACGTAGGCTTAGAAATCATATATATTCTCTTTCTACATGGCTGAGAAAAATCGAGTTACATGATATGGAAAATTATCATACAGAAAGATCAAAGAAAAATTTGCCATAAGAGTGAATAAACTGTTATCACAGAGATATGTCTCGCCTTTTTGTTATTTTGATAATGCAAATGTTGAAATTAAAATAGCAATACTTTAACATGTAAGTTATGCAAATATTCAAAGTCGATGAACCATGACTGAAGGTACATGGCTAAACAATCTCCATGGAATGAGATGTGCCAATGCTAATACAACTGCACACCAAATAGCATTGACTTATCATAAGTTGTTCCCTTTAAACAAACCTAAACACAAACATTAACTTGTAAACTATGTAAAAGTTTCAAAGTCAATGAACCATGATCAGGGGTGGTGCTATATAATCTCCATGGAAACGATACTTGCAAATACCAATAAATTTGCATACCGAATATCATTGACTTAACATTAGCAGTTCATCTTAAACTGATCTAATCACAAACTAATACATGTAAACTAAGCAAAAGTTTCAAAGTAAATAGACCATGACTGAGGGGGCGGGGCCAAATATTCTCCATGGAAATGAGATGTGCTAATGCTTATACAACTGAACACCAATTAACATTGGCCTACCACTAATGGTTCCCCTTGAACTGACCTAATCACAAACTAATACATGTTAACTTAGCAAAATTTTCAAAGTCTTTAGACCATGACTAAGGGGGCGGAGCCAAATAATCTCCATGGAAATGAGATATGCCCATGCTTATACAACTGCATACCAAATATCATTGACCTACCACTAGTGGTTCCCCATAAATTGACCTAATCACAAACTAATACATGTAAACTATGAAAAGTTTCAAAGTCAATAGACCTTGACTGAGGGGGCGGGGCCAAATAATCTCCATGGTAATGAGATGTGCCAATGCTAATACAACTGCATACCAAATATCATTGACCTACCACTAGTGGTTCACCATGAACTAGACCTAATCACAAACTAATACATTGTTGACACCGCCGCCGCCGGAAACAGCATACCTATGTCTCGCTTTTTGACTCCGTCAAGGCGAGACAAAAACTACAGTATTATCAAGAATTATTATTAAATCGGCAACATTGACTTGAACAATCACTCTGATAACTTGGGCAAGCCTATAGTAATGCAGCATTTTTGACCTATGGGCCGATTTTGAAGAAAGATGTCCAATAATAAGTCAAGAAAATGCTGTTCCACTGCCTTATAAAGAGGTGATAATAAAGTGCCACATATACCAAAGATTACTTCTTACAGATCTCATTTAAATAAAAGTACATGAACACTGTTTTGAAAATTCTGATTAGAACACTAAGTAAATTAGTTCTATTCTATACATTTATACAATGTCATGGTAGCCCTTTTTGTTGGTAGAAGATATTTGGAATACCTAGGATAATGTAACGATTTAACAAAAATATCCTTAATATGCTGGAATGATCTGTTACAGATTAGAAAATACATTATACACGATTTGTACCTGCAAATTCTCCAACTAATATACATGACTTAACATGAAATGAAAACCAAGTTTTCAAGACAAAAATGCTGAAATCAAGCATTTTGCCTCACTCAGAGGGTGACAAAAAATCTCTTTCAAGTTATTTAAAGCTTATGAAGTGTAACCATATCACAATGCTTAGACATCTTAAAAAATCTTTGTCTATAGTTAGAAACAAGTAAAAATATAATTTGACCTACATGATTACATTTCTTGTCCATGCTGTGTTTATCTTTTTCTGTTTCCCGAAGTTTTAATTGTATATCCTCATTAACTTCCCTTTCCTTCTGTAATCTGTGATCTAACTCTTGTGCCTGTAAAATTTATATTAAATAAAATCTTCATTAAAAATTTAAACAAGAAATGAGCTGTCAAATTGAAAGCAAACCAGGTTTTCTGTATTTTGAAGGTAACCATTGGTGGTCAGTAGGAATGAAATTGATGTATGATGGTTTCAGGCTTGTTTGATCTGCAATGTTCTGGGCCTATTTTCCATTCTATCAAGGACCATAGCTCCTGAATGGTAAAAGTAAAAATTGTCAATATTAAACTTGACCTACATTTTGTCTACAGTAACAAAATATTTAAATTTGAAAAGCATTGGCGTAATAGTTCATAAGTTATTGCACAGAAAGGAAATGGTGCTATTTTTCAAATCCATCAAGGACCATAACTCCTGAACACCAAAAGTGAAAATAGTCAATATTGAACTTGATCTCTATTTTGTCATGAGTAACAACATATCAAAAATTGAAAAAAAAATTGCTGCTGGTTAATAAGTTACAGCATAAAAACAACAGAAAATGCCATTTTCCAATCTATCATGGACCATAACTACTGTAAAAGTGAAAATCTTTGATATCAAACTTTACCTCAGCTTAAATGTCCATTTATACTGTATTAAATTAATTTTTTTTTATATTATAGTCAGTGAATTTGCTTACACTCAAATTTAACTGACTGTATTACGTCAAAAATATGGCATTCAAAGATTTCTATCTTATTCAATTATTTCCCAATTACTAAAACTTTTTAATTATGATACATCATTGAGTTATTCCTTCTCTGACATATATCCTCACCGTCAGTTTTCCATTTTCTTCTATCTGATTCATTTTTTCTTCAAAGTAAAGTCGTTGTGATTCTAGCTGACTTGTCAGCAGGTAGGTGTACTGAAATCATCATCAAAGTAATTTTTGACCAAAAAATACAGACATAAAAATTTAAGTAAATAAAGAAGAAATTTTTAATCATAAAACATAAAAACACTGCAGACAACTTCTAAACCCATTATGGTAATTAGGTTTTTGGCTTTATAAACCTTCCCTTTGGAGATTTTTAATCTTTCAGTTCATTCTGTTTAAAATTTAGAATATTTTCTTAAATCAGTTTATCTGGAGTTATTTCACTTTTAACATGTTTAAAAAAAGATTTGACCATGAAAAATAGTTTATCCTTCATTTGCTAAATTATATGATTGTTTGCCAAATAGTAACTGAACCTGAACAGGGATGTTAAACTTAACCTAATTCAATGAAGTATGAAATGTAGGTCAGATTAACTTAACTTAGGGGAAACGCTTTTGATCTCCACTAGAAACAGCCTTAATGTCATTTTTATGATTGTAGGCCACTTAGTTCACCTGAATTAGACCAACTTTACCCAGTTATCTTAATTAACGAAAGTAAATAATTCACCCACATATTTTTCATATCTTGCTTTTAAATTTATTTGAAAACACCTGAGTTACATATGATTGTAGACCATTCAATATCTGAGCATTTTACTTGTATGTACTTTCATGAAGTGTTAAATGAGTCAGAATGGCATATTATTGAGAGGGAAGTGGCCAGACATACTTGTATACATTCATACATTAAATTATTGACCATTTGTCACTCTGTGTTAAAGTACTGAACATTGAACATCACAGGAATATTGACCATGAAATATAGGTTATGTAGGCCTAATCATTTTAAATTCTCCTAATATTTATATTTGTACAGTTTATATAATTGTATCAAATCAAGATATAGCTGTGGTTACACAAGCACTCTGTAAATACATTTGTTTTTTACTCTATTTAATCAATTTCAAAACAAAATGCCATTTGGCAAGTATGGGATTTCAATCTCTGATTGTGTATGTAAGCTCACTTAAATTTACCTCTAAAGCTAGAGAATCTATTTTCTCTTCATGTACTACCCGCCCTCCTTCATCTACCTCGACAAGTTTACCATCTCCTTTGTTTTGTACTAATCTATGGACATAGTTATCTCCAGCATAATCCCACACACGATTGTTACCAAGCTGCATGGAATAAGTATGCTGTGTTTCTACGAAATGACTGCAACAAGAATTTTGAGTGTGTGAAAATACAGTAATCCCATCTCCCTTCCATATCAAGAAATGTGGCATAGTTATAGGGATAACCTCTATTATAATGAAAATTGGGCTGTTTTATTAAATAAGACGCAAAATAAGAGAAATGGCACCTGTTTTAACATTTTTTTTTAATCTCATTTAGGTAGGTTTATTGTATTTATAGAACTATTCGTATGTTACAAGCCTCCATATAAAAAGAGTTTTACCTGTGTGCATGTTGTCCAGTATATCTACCACAGCCAATATTTCCACAAATCAAACATATCCATAAACTCTTAAAAAAAAATAACCTTGAACTGTAAAAACAAACTCTTACAATAATTATCAAACTAAACAGAAACACTATTAAATACTGTCGATTCATTTATTTTCCTCTATTGAGGAAAAATTGTATTTTTTGTGGAAATTTCATTTTATGGTTTTGCCAAAATATGCATTCAAGTCTATTGAAAATTTATATTTCTTTCAGCATTTAAATTTAAGTTTTACCTTTATCCACAGAATCGAAAGAAATTGGCACAACATGTTTATATTATAAGCAATCCACTGTACGTATTTTTTAGAATAAAGCCTGTTTTTCTGTCTACTTAAGTTCATTTGACATCTGTATACATCAATTAGTATTATTTTTAGCAAGCGAAAAATTTGACCATGTGATTTTATGTGTCATTCGTCCCAAACATGCAGAACCCTCTGGACTTTGTGTGCAGAGCTTAAAATGCTTTCCCTTCTGCTGCACCTGGGTCATTTAAGGTTTTTATATGAGGAATAAAATTTGTAATCAAATTTTCAAGAGAATAATACTTAATACTATATTTTCCTTTAAAATTAAGAAGGATATCATGTATACCATTATACATGTGGTGATTACAGATATACAAAAAGCACAAGGACTATTCACATTGATTAAATTATTATATAAGCCTTGTACTTAAGACATTTCTTAAAGTCATATGAAACTTCAAATTAAAAAACTAGAGGCTCTAAGGAGCCTGTGTCGCTCACCTTGGTCTATGTGCATATTAAACAAAGGACATAGATGGATTCATGACAAAATTGTGTTTTGGTGATGGTGATGTGTTTGTAGATCTTACTTTACTGAACTTTCTTGCTGCTTACAATTATCTCTATCTATAATGAACTTGGCCCAGTAGTTACAGTGGAAAATATTTTGTAAAAATTTACAAAAATTTACAAAATTTATGAAAATTGTAAAAAATTGACTATAAAGGGCTATAACTCCTTAAAGGGTCAATTGACAATTTTGGTCATGTTGACTTATTTGTAGATCTTACTTCGCTGTACATTATTGCTGTTTACAGTTTATCTCTATCTATAATAATATTCAAGATAATAACCAAAAGCTGCAAAATTTTCTTAAAATTACCAATTCAGGCGCAGCAACCCAACAACGTGTTGCCTGATTGGTCTGAAAATTTCAGGGCAGATAGATCTTGACCTAATGAACAATTTTATCCTGTCAGATTTGCTCTAAATGCTTTGGTTTCAGAGATATGAGCCAAAAACTGCATTTTACCCTATGTACTATTTTTAGCCATGTCGGGGTCATTGGACACATATTTTATACTAGATACCCTAATGATGATTGTGGACAAGTTTGGTTAAATTTGTCTTAGTAGTTTCAGAGGAGAAGATTTTTGTAAAAGATTACAAAAATTTACGAAAAATGGTTAAAAATTGACTATAAAGGGCAATAACTCCTTAAGGGGTCAACTGACCATTTTGGTCAAGTTGACTTATTTGTAGATCTTACTTTGCTGAACATTATTGCTGCTTACAGTTTATCTCTATCTATAATAATATTCAGATAATAACCAAAAACGGCAAAATTTCCTTAAAATTACCAATTCAGGGGCAGCAACCCAACAACAGGTTGTCAGATTCATCTTCAAATTTCAGGGCAGATAGATCTTGACCTGATAAACAATTTTACCCCATGTCAGATTTGCTCTAAATGCTTTGGTTTCAGAGATATAAGCCAAAATCTACATTTTACCCCTATGTTCTATTTTTAGCCATGGCGGCCATCTTGGTTGGTTGGCCAGGTCACCGGACACATTTTTTAAACTAGATACCCCAATGATGATTATGGCCAAGTTTGGTCAAATTTGGCCCAGTAGTTTCAGAGGAGAAGATTTTTGTAAAAGTTTACGGACGACGGACGCAGGACGACGGATGACGGACGCCAAGTGAGCTAAAAAAGTTGAAAATGTTTTATATACTTGAATGGCTAAGTTTTACAATAAAACTAGTGTATGTGAACTTTCTTGTAAAAGCCAATCATTCATTGATTAATTTACCAGAACATATAATTTATATTTCCAGTGATGATTCCGAGGAAAAGTTTCATTCCTTTCACAATAAATGTTACAATTTGTCAAACTGTTGCCTAAAGATTGCAAACGATAGATTTCAACTACCAGTATTTTATCAAATAAACCAGACCTCTTGTGATCCACAAGTCATACATCTGTTGTCTACTACTTCTTCAGGTGTCTGTAGATATCTACATACAGGACAACTAAAACAGAACAAAGACCACATTAAAATGGTGCCTTCAGAGCTACATAGATTCACAAGCTATTTATACAGTGTATGGTACATCTGCTACTGTCTGTAGAAATGAACATAAAATAGCAACTTAAACAGAAACAAGATATAGTATAATAGCACTATCAGACCTCCAGAGAACCACAGGTCATATATCTGTTAATATAACAACAATGCACATGTATACAGCAACGTTGTGTAAGAAATCTTTAAGTAAAAGGTAAATAATATAAATTCTACAGATAATTCATTTTAAAAAGTAAAATTCTTAAAGACATCACCATACTGGTCTTTGCATTGTTTTTTCATGTCATCAGAGCATTTTAAGACCAAAAGAAAAGACAGGAAAATCCTGCTCTCAGAAAAACTGTGCACTGCAGTAAAATATAAAGGTAACCCCGATAAATATCATATTTTGAATCTAAAAAGTCACTTATATAAAATCTAGTGTATAACCTCACTGTGCCAGACATCTCAAATCATTACAATAAAATCTTACCTGGTATCACCCCATTTGGCCAAACATTTGATATGGAGTTCATCACTATAATGAAATCTTACCTTGTATCACCCCACTGTGCCAAACATTTCATATGGAAAGCATGGTTACACAGGATTGTTAATATTCCATCCACAGATTCATCCTGTTTATAGATAAATAAAAGTGTTATTTTTTTTTGTGCCTCGGTAAAGAATCTGAAAAGTTTTTCTTACTTTTATGAATACATGTATATATCATTAGCATACATAAATACAAAAAGCCAATAAAGCAACATTATTTACATCTTATCTATATCTTTTTGTAAGATTGCAATAGTGAAAATTGAGCTTTGTATTTATAAAACTCTTAAATTCTTGCTCATTCATAAGGGCAAACATTTGGAAAAGAAAAAGATCATATTTGTGTATTAATAAACTAAAGAATTCAAGTTTACATTTTTGCCAAATACTGAAGAAACCTGTAATTTTTTATAGGGTTAAAATTTGTTTTTTTGTTGTTGATAAAATTGATTTCATAAGGACTAATTTTCTAGGTTTCCAATTGAAAAAATATTCTGTATGGGTAAATTTGTCATTGGGGTTTTGATTTGTAGATATGCAACTATGAAATAAACCAAATAAAAAATGTCTGCTATTACAGTATATCCTAATTAATCAACTGTTATATTTACCATTCTTTCTAAGCATACAGGACAGTTGGGTAATTCTGTTAGCCCTGGCACAGGTAAGCTAACATCCTAAAACAGTCAACTCATTAATTTAATTATCTTGCTTTGCTAACTTTTCCTGTAAAAATTGCCTTGCAACATTTTCAAACACTTTGACTCTGAAGCATTACACAATAAATGGAGAATGTGTCCATGGGACACAGATTATTACCCCGCTAGCATATAATGGTATAAGGAGCCATAACTCAAGAACGGTAAAAGTGACGCCACCCAAATTCTTACTTGATCTGAGTTTTGTGGTAATAAGCATTGTGTATAAGTTTCATAACATTTGGTTGAGGCAAACTTATGTTAAGAACGGAAACGAAAAATTCAGCAATTTTTCCATTTGTAAATGGGCACAACTCTAGAAAGGTAAATGTGACGTCACCCAAATTCAAAAGTGATCTGTGTTTTGTGGTAATAAGCATTGTGTATAAGTTTCAGAACGGAAACCAATTTCGGGACTTACGAATGTATGGACGTACAGACAAACAAGGGTAACACTTAATGCCCCCTCCGCTGCGGAGTATAAGCCATAAGATAGAGTAGTATTAACCAATCAAAATCTGGCATTTTAACTTGAAGTATAATAAATTTTATAATCTCAAGGCTTTTGCATATGGCATATTTTTACCTAAGATTTTTAAATAGCTGACTTACAATAGAACATGGGTTTTATGATGACCATAAAGTGACCTGTAGTAATTAAGTGGTCATTGGTGGATATTTGTCTCAAAGGCAATCATACCACATATCCTCATTTCTATAATAACCACCAGCAAAACTAGAATGAGGATACATTTGTTAAGTCTTAAACTTATAGCTTAAATAATAATTCTATATTTACCTCTTCTTCTTTTAAAGTTTCCATTTTAGCAACATAAGTCAATAAACAAATATCTGGTTCTATTGAGTTGTATGTTACATTGTTATAGGTGTTGAAGAATTCATCTGCTAGTTTCTGGAAGATGCAAAAGATAAAATAACTTACAAAGAAATAACATTAAATCACAAAGAAATATCATTAAATCACAAAGAAATAATACAAACATAGGTAGTGTTTGAATAAATCAAAAGCTAAATAGCATGATTCTGGCTATTCCTTTCACCTCCTTATAGGTTATAAACCTCCCAATGTTCTTTTCCTCTTTGGGTGTCTCAAAGTTTGGCGAGTGGCCCTGATATAGTTTAATCCAGACTATTGCAATGGATGCGGAAAATTATTCCACTGTTTATAAATATTGATAGTTTAATCAATATTTGATTGGTTGAGACTATCCCACGTGTCATTGAACATATCTTCATATTCCCCTCTGAAATTTCTGGACTACATCGTGCGACGTTACGGGCGGTTAATGTACATAATGTTTTGAATTTCTTTTTTTTAAATTGCAATAGCAAAAAACGTTATCATGTTCAAATTTATTTCAGACGTTAAAACAAAAAGACTAATAATTAACTTTTGATCCGTATTGTTTATCAATGTGTTTGTCGTGTTTAGTTATAAAAACAAGGGGATAAGAAAACAAATGTATGCAAACTAATATTTTATGTTCAGATAGTAAACAAAGCATAGGCAGTGGAATAAAACATTCATTTCCCTTAGCTTTGGGAGATATGAAGATTTGCTCACCCTCTAAAAAACATATTTCCTTGGGCAAAGCCCTCGTGAAATATGAATATTCTTGGGTGAACAAATCTTCATATCTCCCTCAGGCACGGGAAATAAATGTATAATATTGTTTTATTTTGATATATCAGATTTATCTTCTGTAACATAAATGCATTTCCCAGCATTAATATTTGATTGTAATCTGCTGCAAAGAAAGAGGAATTGAAGCATAAAAAGGTAAAATTGAGAATGGAAACGGGGAATGTGTCAAAGAGACAACAACCCGACCAAAGAGCAGAAAACAGCCAAAATTGCATTTCAATGTGAGTTATTAACATTCTCAATGCTACATTACCAAAGATATAACCCCAGTGTTAAGTTTGACAAAAGTAAGTAAAAAATGATAAAAAAAGATGAAACTGACCAAGTTAGTGATTCACTCCATTACTCTTTCATATATTTTTCTAGATATCAAGTTTTTACAAAATATGAAATACATATAATTCCACTTGACAAATCACTTGTGATTAGTTTGCAAATTTATCTTAGTCCATTTACAAATAATTAGTTTGATCTATAAAATAGGTCAATATTTAGTTACCTGTGTCCTGAATTTCACTAACACCATATACTGATTTGGAGTACTGTCTCTGACTATTCTTAGGTATTCTATTCCTTCACTGAAAAAGGTGTTTTTAAAAACTAAATAGCTCATTTAAATTGTAAAACAAGAGTAAACAGTGCACAGACTCAAAATTAGCAGAAATTAAAACACTCGTGAACATTTGTCACCTTACAGTATACAAAAATATTGTACACCAAGCACTTTAGAGTATTGTATGGTAAAACATAGTCCCCTACCAGTTGAAAATTCATTGTACTGGAACAAAATGCTAACTTGATCTATAACTTGTCATGGTTAAATCATATAACAAATATCAAATCAATATCTTCAAGCATGACGAAAAAAAGTGTGAAAAACTGACTATTTGCATGCATTTTTTAAGTCAGAGGACCATAACTCTGCAAAAAAATCTTGTAAACCGAACAAAATTCAAAATTGATTGGTAATTTGTCATGATAAAACTATATACCAAATATCAAACCAATACTTTCAAAATCGAAGAAAAAAGTGTGGTAAACTGATTTGCCGTGACAGACCGATGGACAGACGGACAGAGTGCAAACCTAAAGTCCCCTTCCACTTTGCCGGTATGGGACTTAAAATACTTACTGAACTGCTGCTGTGAAGTTGAGTAAATCATGAATGGTATAAGCAGCTGGGACAGCTACCATGCAAATCAACTCACTTCTTGGTACTCCAGACTTCAGGGATGTAATCTGACTATAAAATAAATAAAACATTTATCTCTTAATGTGTCAGTACAGCTACCATGAAGATCAACTCACTTCTTAGTACTCCAGACTTCAGGGATGTTATTTGACTATAAAATAAATAAAACATTAATCCCTTAATGTGCTAGTTCAAGCAACATACATGATAAGTCCGTTAATCCATTTCTTTCTAATAATGCCTTTTGATGCCTTCCACTTTCCTTCATTATGAAGCCCCTTGATACCTCTCCCTTTCCTCCATAATAATCCCTTTAGATGCCTACCACTTTTATCCATAATGACACCTTTTGACTCCTCCCCGTAACTCCATAATATCAACTTTTGATTGAAAAATCATGATGGACTGGTTTTGCAAAAATAAAAACTCAAATTTTAGGTGTTGAAAGTATTATTTTTCAACTGTTCAACATTTGCAATAATAAATGCAAAGAAGTTTATTCTATTTTACAGAGTCATTATTCACATGGACAAAAATCAATGGAAGTTTTACATATCTGCACTGAAATAGGAGGAATTAGACATAAATATTTACCAAAGCCAAGTCAAGTCAAGTCAAGTATGCAACATTACATATGGTCTATTTCTTAGATATGAAATCTTCTCATGCAGTTTAGATAATCCTTATTCTTAGAATAGAGAATAAATGAATCCATGACAAATCGCCCCACTGGCAAATCGGCCCACACATAATCGCCCCACCTTTTCACCAACTCGCCCCACTTTTGTTTACCAACTCGCCCCACTTATGAAAAGGATAAAATCCCATTGAAAATAGGTTGGATATATTGCTCCATTTATGAAAAGGGGAAAAAATCCCTCTGATATAAGGTCTGCCAACTCGCCCCACTTGTGAAAAATAGATAAATCCTGATGAATTAGTAATGCCAACTCGCCCCACTTATGAAAGATGCAATCCCGTTGTATATATATGTTCCTGCCCCACTTATAAATAAAATCAATACCTATTAAAACCTTAGATACACATGTTTTTCCCGTTTGAATGGTTCTACACTAGTCATTTTTGGGGCCCTTTAGAGCTTACTGTTCGATGAGAGCCAAGCTAGGCTCCGTGTTGAAGACAGTACTTTGACCTATACATAATGGTTTTTCTTTAACAAATTGTGACTTGGATGGAGAGTTGTCTCATTGGCACTCATACCACATCTTCTTTTATCTATTTTTTAGTTCTTTTCTTTTTGTTGAAATAAAGCATAAAGAAGTGAGTATCAGTATTTTCTGTGACGTGAATGCCAACTAGCCCAACCAGTGAAAAATAGAAAAATCCTGATGAATTGAGTAATGCCAACTCGACCCACTTATGAAAAATAGAAAATACCTGATGAATCAAGTTGAGTCATGCCAACTCAATGTCAATAATAATGATTTAGTAAATTTTCGTTTTTTTTGTATTCTGTGTAAAAGATTTTTTTGGTTAAGTTGGGCGAGTTGGCAGACCTGAAATTATATATTCATCTAGGTTTACATTATTTCATTAAGTGGGGCGAGTTGGCAGGAGAAAAATTAACGGGATTTAACCCTTTTCAGAAGTGGGGCGATTTTTTTAAAAGTGGGGCGAGTTGGTAAACCAGTTTGGGGCGATTTTTTAAAAGTGGGGCGAGTTGGTGAAAAAGTGGGGCGATTTGGTGTGGGGCGATTTGCCAGTGGGGCGATTTGTCCTGCTTCCGAATAAATGAACTTTGATGTAAATTTGACCAAAATGAATTAATAAGAAACAGGTTACCTATCCCCTTGAGAACTGTTGAAAATATCTATTGATGTTGTTTTGTAATATGGGCATTGCTTCTTTTCTATAAAATATACTACAGACTAAAACTTTGAACTGGACTTTTAACATGATAGTTCAAACGGTAACAAAAGTCCACAGGAAGACATGACAACCTAGCCAAACACATTATTCTGACTTCAAGCTGCCCATCTTTGCTCTTACTCCTAAATGCAGGGCCCTTAGCAGAGAAGCAGCAAATGCCACTTTCAAAGTTTTTGGTTTGACCTGACTCAATGGTTCGAACCAATGACCTCCTGCACCCAAGGAGAGCATGATACCATGAAACTACAAAGGTGATTGTTATGGTGAATGACTATAATAAATAATCTGAACCTTATTTAAACAAGAAACTTGCACTAGTGGATCTTCTAACCGCCTCTGTACAGCTTCTAATTCTATACTATAATTTTTTCGCGTTTTAGGGAGCACATGTCAAGTGCACCCCACCTCGAATCTACCTCAGCAGACAAACTATAGGCAAACTGTAAAGGTACCTGTTATACATTAAAATGATGTAAACCTTATGCTAGTGAAAATTAAAATAAAACATTTACTCGTCTTTATAAAGATGAAGTATTCCCCTGGTCTTTTCCACCATTGGATTTCCAGAATAAAAGTGTATCATATGTGGGGATTTCAGTGGTGGTGTATGACTCTTAGGCCTTGTACTCTGACTGCTGCCAGGTCTGTGGTCATCTGATGATGGACCAGGAGACTGGCCATCTTTAATTGGTTTAAAGTCTTCAGTATGCCTGTCGGTCTTGTCTTCAGCTGCTTTCATTTCAGATTTGGTTTCAAAATTTACTACAATGTAGAAATGATTGGTAAGTGATAATTGCTGGTTTAAAAAGAAAGGTGAAAGATACCAAAGGGATAGCCAAACTCAAAGGTCGAAAACAAACTGACAATGCCCTGGTAAATAAATGAAAAATGACGAAAAGACAAACAACAGTCCACAGAACACAACCTAGAAAACTAAAGACTGAGCAACATGAACCTTACCAAAAACTGGTGGTGAATTCAGATGCTCTTTAAGGGTAGGCAAATCTTGCTCCCCATGTGGCACCTGTTGTGTTGCTCATGTTAGTACAAACCCAGTAATAAGTCTAATTCAGTAGGTCACATTCAAGCAAAAGAGGACAGGACTTTGGTTATGACAATTGGAGCATATCCATCATCATCTGTTAAAGAGATATTCCTACGGTCAACTAACACATGATGTTGTCTGTTAAGATCTTCTTCACATATTGCAGTAAATCTATAGGTCTGTAAAACATTAGTTAGTCAGGTACTGTGGATTCATTTATTTTCGTGGGTACCAATTTTCGTGGATTGAGGAAAACTTGCATTTACCTGGATATTAAAATTCTGTGGCTTTGTCAAAGTCTGCATACATTCCTTTAGAAAATATGTCATTCGTTGAGCATTTAAATTCCTGGTTCCCCTGTTCCAACGAAAATTGGTATCCAACGAATATTAATGAATCCACAGTATATGATACAAGAATCTGGAATGGCATGGGTAAACCACATGTGTATTTTAGATAAACATTGACAGACAAATTATGATAGTACTTGTTAGATAACAGCAACCTAACAACATTTGTTGAAAACAAAAAATACATATAAAGGTTATAAGTATTCCCTTAAAATTGTCCAAGTACAATAATGAGCTTATTAGGAACTATATGAATAAATTTCATCCAAATAAGATTTAAAAATATATGTACATTGTACATGTACCTGTTTGTAATAATCCCATTTTCAACCACTCTTACCATTTATAGCTCGGAAACAAAGAGCTACCACTAACCTGATTAAAACTTAAAGACAAGTTTTTATAAGGAATTCAAAGAAAATGGTGAATCATAATCTACACTGAAAATAATCAGAAAATTTTGGGACGTGACTAATATAGGGCTCCTTAGCTTATTACTGGGGAACTGAATCTGTTAATTTACAAAAAAAGGGATTTTTTTAAAGCGGATTAAACATTATTAATGGTAAATATAAACTAGTAAAAACTCTTTAAACCTCTTTTGCCCTTTTTCCAAGAAACAGGTAGAGCCACAATTCTAAACATCAATATCAATTGTCATAAATGGTAGACATAGCAGATAACTTTACAATGAAGATGACAACAAACAATAAACCATTTCCATTATATGTCCTTACAAATTTGTGGTTGTGTAAAAATGTATTACATTAATTTTGGTCTTATTTGAGAAACAAAATACTACTAAATAAATAATATATCATGAAATTTCATGTGAAATCTATTTCTAATCACATCATTTATGGTAACTAACACTGTTCCCTGCACAATAAAATACATTTAAAAATTTGTAATTTACAAGTATCCGATAAAATAGAATTTAATGTGACTTCTCAGAACAGTCAATTTTCCCTACAACTATGCAAGTAAAATTCATTTTATACTTACCCGAGAAATAAGATTCTATTGTGAAGTCACCAAACCCACGCTGTCCTCTGCAAGTGAGGTTCAACTCTACAGGAGACTTTTCTACACTAGAATTTGGTCCGGATGTATTAACAACTGAAGCATACGATGCTCTATCCCTAGATTCTATGTTAGCAGTATGGAGGTCTGATGCTGAAATACAAATATCAGATTGAATTCTAACCCTAGATTCTATGTTAGCAGTATGGAGGTCTGATGCTGAAATAAAAATATCAGAATGAATTCTATCCCTAGATTCTATGTGAGCAGTATGGAGGTCTGATGCTGAAATAAAAATATCAGAATGAATTCTATCCCTAGATTGTATGTTAGCAGGATGGAGGTCTGATGCTGAAATACAAATATCAGATTGAATTCTATCCCTAGATTGTATGTTAGCAGTATGGAGGTCTGATGCTGAAATACAAATATCAGAATGAATTCTATCTCTAGATTCTATGTTAGCAGTATGGAGGTCTGATGCTGAAATACAAATATCAGATTGAATTCTATCCCTAGATTCTATATTACATGTAGCAGTATGGAGGTCTGATGCTGAAATACAAATATCAGATTGAATTCTATCCCTAGATTGTATGTTAGTAGTATGGAGGTCTGATGCTGAAATACAAATATCAGAATGAATTCTATCCCTAGATTCTATGTTAGCAGTATGGAGGTCTGATGCTGAAATACAAATATCAGATTGAATTCTAACCCTAGATTCTATGTTAGCAGTATGGAGGTCTGATGCTGAAATACAAATATCAGATTAAGTTCTATCCCTAGATTGTATGTTAGCAGTATGGAGGTCTGATGCTGAAATACAAATATCAGATTGAATTCTATCCCTAGATTGTATGTTAGCAGTATGGAGGTCTGATGCTGAAATATAAATATCAGATTCTGTATCTACTATATGGAAATCCTGTGCTTAAATACAAATACTATAAAAACAATATAAAACTACCTTGACCAAAAACTTTAACCTGAAGCAGGACAGACAGACGCACAGACCGAAAAACATAATGCCCCTCTACTATCGTAGGTGGGGCATAAAAACAATTTATAAATATCTATCTCCAACAAGCATGACAAGGGAATTAGGTGATATATAAAACATTGACAACTAAGAAACAAATAAAAAATGTTCACTAAAAACCAAAATTTATATTAATGGTAAAGAATTAACTCATTAGGCAGATCTTATTGAAACAAGGAATTAATTGAATCTGGAGTAATTTTGAATTCTGGGAAAATGTTTAAGAAATGTATGATAAAACTAAACCAATTAAGGAGGGTTAGCCATGTATGCATGCCTAAAGTTCATGTTACATTCACTGATATTTCAGCATGAACTAACTAAAATAACCACCCTTCTATCAGGTAATTTGTTTAACGAAACTAGAAATAAAGTTGTTACATGAATACAATTCTTCAAAAGGAAATTTTTATGGGGTACGACCCAACCCCCTTAAAAAAAATAGCAATAACAAATCAAGGATCTTCTTTAGCGACTCACATCAAAGATCATTCAGGTAAAGGTACATTTTTCACCATATGGAGGAATACTGTGATATGTTTGAGTTAATACTATTTCCTCTGGAAGTCTTTGAGTGTTGCTGGAAGTTAAACATAATTGAAACTATCTGTCTTCCAGGAATCTATGTTCACTTGAATGAAAATTTGGAAGACTTTCTGGAAATCATATATTTTCCCACAATTACATAAATATAGATATACATGTCTTACAACCAATAAACATAAGTTAGTTTCTCATCAGAAAATGAATTTTTGATAACAATCGACAAATAGGTAAAGTTCTCCTACTACATATGCATGTACATATTTAATTGTCAAAAATCTTTCATTAACATGTTCACAGCCCAAAATGCCTGTCTGTGAGCCCTTATATTCTAGCTAGAACTCTCCTACATTATTATTAAATGTGATAAGGGGCAAACTCACATGGGGGTGGAGGTGTAATTTCATTCTGGTCTGAAGAACTTCCAACTACTTACATAAAGAGCACTCACATATTGCTTCTTTTCACTAGTGTGTTTATGTCATCGGAAATGAAACCCGTAAGAATATATGCCAGAGAAGTTTTACACAGGTGTATTTCTTTCAAAAGGAAAGAGAGCAGATGAATAGGCTACTTCACGGTTAGTTTGGCCATATTGAATAGGGGGCAGATTTTTTGGATAGAGGTGAAAATAGTATGATAGTACATGTAGTACGGGAAATCCTTTGCATGTTTTAAGCAACTGTCGTCTTTTAATGATGTTTTCCCGTATTTTTCAAACCATTTTTACTTCCATTATGAAAATCTGCCCCCTATTCAACATGGCTGCACTAACTGTGAAGGGGCCTATAATTTGCTGGAAAAGATTCAATATTGACGACATAAATACATTGCCATTGGACAGAAAGACATGGAAACCTACAGTCAATTTCATATCAAATTTGGAACTGATTTGTGGACTTCTTTAAATATTGAGTTATTCTATGAACATAACAGCATAAGCCATAACATACCACAGTAATTGAAAGATTTTGGGATTTCGTGATCATTCTCTATTTCTAGCCTCAGAATACACAAAGAGATTGATTCAGACATGTGAAATTCATCAGAGTCTAAATGTTAGAAACATGGATTTTTATAGTAGGACTAACAAAATCCTTGCCAGAACGAATCCAATTTTTTTCCTTCTTATTTTTTCCAGTTTTTTCCAAGAATATTACATTTCTATCTTCAAAAAAAAGAGCTCCCTAAAGAAAATCAATGACGGAAAATATATTTCCGGATATTTAATACATATGGTTGTAAAGTTTTTTGGTCATACTTGATCATATATGGGACTAGAAATTTTAATTCATACACCTATAAATGTTTGTATCTCTATGATACCAATAACCAAGACGTAACATTTGTGTATACGATAAATCAACTTGATTTTGACCAAAACAAGGATTTGAAAACGTCACTTCCTGTTGGCGGAACTTTCAAAAACGAAAAATAATATCAGAAATGTAAAGTTCAGTCTGGGCGCAAAGACTTTTGCTAAAACTTGTTTTAATTAACCAGACATATTAATCCTTAAACTTAACGCAACATCTATAGAGTAAGCACCTTTATGACTGTTGTCATTCACCCATTTGTCTAAAAAAGTTAATATTAATAATAATAAAACAGATAAAATGAGTTGAGAGACATTTTACTAAATGGGGAATTACATCTTTTTGACTTATTTCCTTATTAAAATGACCCAGAACATTAGTTCATTTATTCACTATTTGTGCATATGAGAGAATGATTCACCAAAATAGTTATGCCCCAATACGGGCAATAGACATGTCAGATAGACGACTTTTTCGAATTTGTGCACTTTCCTGTAAATTTTCTGCGTCAAAATGCTTGTGATATTATGTCAAAGTAAGAACCTATGTTCAATGATGTTGTTTACGCCAATTGACCTTCGGGTAAAGCTGTGTAACTCATTCATGAAAAAAAACACTCCCTATCTGCCTATGGGAATGGCTGTTATATAAAAATAAGGAGATGTAGTAATAAACTAGTATAATTGCAATGCCCATGACTCATGAGACAACTATCATCCAAAGTTCAAATGAATTGGAAGTAAACTATTATAGACAACTGTACGGCCTTCAACAATGAGAAAAACCCATACCGTTTTGTCGGCTATAAAAGGCTCTGACTTGAAAAGTATGAAACAATTCAATTGAGAAAACTAAAGGCCTACTTTATAACAAAACAATTTATGAAAAACAAACATGACAGACCTGAACAAACAACAACCACTGAACTATAGGCTCCTGACTTGGGACAGGCACATTAAGAATGCAGAAAAACGTCAAACAAAAATACAGACTGGACATGGCAGGGTATTTATCCATCCCTCATCCCTAACAACAAAAAAGACATTAAGTACAGATCTTAGAGTACTCACAGTTTCTGACAGCTAGTCAAAGCAATAACAATAACAAAAAAAATTATGTATCTAAGACTATGTCCATTAATGGTGGACAAATGGTGATAAGGTTTATTATCTAGATATGCCAGAAAAAAGAAAAAAAATTGCACTACAAATTAATGTGAAATTATATTATAAAAGAGTGTATTAAATGTGTTCATGTTATCCACTTCACAGTTAAAGCCTTGCCAGAGTTAAAGTTTGCTTTTACATGATCAACCTATATTAAAATTTCTAGTGTTCAATACTGTCATTTGCCTGTATTTTCCTGAAAAGTTGAAAACTAAAATAAATGATTTATTTAAGACTATAATAACCATATTACATAACCTTTATTCATCATACCACATGTGTACTAAACAAATGTCTCAACATTAAACGTGAATCTTTGATATTTTAGAATAATGGACAAGGATGTACAAGAAACTGGGGATGGCTTATCAAGAGTATCAATATCACATGAAACTAAAGGTAGTTTAACATGTATTCTCTGTCTGTACATGATTAGCCAGGTCAGGATTTAAAATTGTTTCATCTTTGTTTTCCACATAAATGTAACCCTACCCTCTATGTTTTTGAAAGGTAAGTAGTTAAATGTTTTTCTAAAAATCAAGTATTTTCAGAATTGGCTTTCAATACTTCCAAACTGCTCATTTCAGCAATACATACTATAATTTAACCCTATAACACTAACATGTCTGTGTTCAGATAATAAGCATGAACAAAACCACATTTACCATTTTATATGTTTTATGTACTATTTCTCAAATATTCCCCCAACAGATTATATATTTTTATAATCAGTGTGTGAAGAACAGATGCAGGGTTTATCACAATAAGACAACAACCCAGAAACACAAAAAAACAAAAAGATATCTAGAGGTCAACTAGGTTCATCAGCAATACACAATTGTCTATACCAAGAGTGGTGAAGGATACAAAAGAGACATTCAAACTCATAAGTGGAAAATAAACTGACAACGCCATGGCTAAAAAAGAAAAAGACAAACAAACAATAGTACACAAAACACAACATGGAAAACTAAAGACTGAGCAACACAAACACCACCAAAAACTGGGGATAATCTCAGGTGCTCCGGAAGGGTAAGCAGATCCTGCTCCACATGTGGCACCTGTTTGTCAAGCTCTAAATCACTTCAGTCTTGACAGGTTGTGAATACATTTAAGAAAGACTACCAAAGGTTTACTATAAACACAAAATTTCTTGAAGGACAGAAAAACCAAAAAGAATCCGCTGACAAGGTTCCTGACTAAGGAAAGGCACATTAATATGTGTCCTGGTTAACCTTGCTTTTTATCGACTCAACTCTCCCCTTTAGTAAATTCACTTGAATAACAAGAGGTTCATAAAAGAACATACATTTACAAAAATAAGTCCCAAAAAAGCACTAAACTCTATACTTGTCAAAATCATGGGAACAAATGAAATCCAGGTTTTTTCATTTTCCAGAAATGACTGAAGAAGAACAGGAAATATTTACTGAGTTGATCACAAATGCTAAACAATTAACAACAGAAGGGAAAATAAAGGATGCATTAGATTTGTACAGACAGGCACTAAAGATGCATTACCATGAAAAACTAGCCAAAAAGATAGGAAAGATGGAGGTATGTGTTGAACAGATTTGTGTTTCTGAGAAGTTATACGAAGCTGGAAGTAATTCTGATTTACATTCCTTGAAAATAGTAAATTATTTATCAGCTAAAAACTTTGATATGTTATTTTTCTTTGATGTTATTTCTGGTTCTGGGAATAGAATCAATTATATCTGAAAGTGCAAATTGATACATTTTGAGCCTTCCTAAAGTAAATAACATTAACACTTGTGTTACATATAACCCTGATAGGTTATTAGGAGCCAATGATAGTTGTATGTTTAGCTATGTCTAAGCTTTAAGATATATCCTTCAATAAAATTAAAAAACACCATACTATTAGTGTTGTTTGATATGTATAATCTAGAGACAAGGCAAAATAGTTTTCAGATTTATAGAAAATTTTGATTTGCACAAGCCAAGGTATTACTAAATGTATCATGAAGCCAAAATAAATATGCAGAATGATTTAATCTTACCAGTTTGGTGGGTTCTTTCATCATATTCATTCTAGTTCAAATGGAAAAAGGGAATATTTTCCATGCATGGTTAAACCTGTCTTTTATCGTATTTAATGAAGTGGAATAGATGGAAAATTAATAAAAAAAAAATCACTTACTTGGCAGATATCCTGATCCTTAGTTTTGGAGGAATGTCAGAACCTTTTGTTCCATTAAAGCTAACTTGTATACTTCAAATGCATAAAAATTACCAGAAAACCATGATTTTTGGAGGTACAAAAATATGATATTGCATATTTATTATGATTACAACTTTATTGTCAGAGAATTTTTTATGTGTAACTGAATGTTAACCAATCAGACATCACATTTGCCTGACCTTAGATTCTGGTAGTTATCTCCCTCTATGAAAGTAACCTTTGCCCTCAAACTTTGCTACCAGATCAATTTTCTGTATGTCAGCAGCCGGTTGTACAAAGGTGTCATCATTCTAATGAGTCATTAAGTCTTCATTAGCCTAATGCATCATAAAGGCTTAATGAAGACTTAATGACTCATTAGGCTAATGCCACGTTCGTACAACCGGCTGCAGAAATCTTCTTACAAATGTATAATGAAGAGCAAAAGATAATTGAATAATACGTTTTTTTTTTCAGGCATACCTTAAAGAAACAGGTGAAGATGGAGATACTGGTAACTATAATATAAGAAAAACCTTCTACCTATGTGCACCTTGACCTTTAAAATAAATTATTGGTTTCAGAAAAATCTACCACTTGCCCACATTTATTATAAGCAATATCTGTATCTGAAATTCTTCCAGTTCATTATGAATTTAAAACAACAATCATGAGTAATTAAAGAGGAAACAATATTATTATTTTGTCAGATTATTTATGAATATAACCAAATAATAAAGTTATGAATGCATTGCTGTTGTCCATTTATTTGTCCATTAATTTAGACCATGATGTTTTGATGAATCTAATAATATAAAAATAAGAAGATGTGGTATGATTGCCAATGAGACAACTCTCCACCAGAGACCAAATGATATAGAAGTTAACAACTACAGGTCACTGTATGGCCTTCAACAATGAGCAAAACCCATACCTCATAGTCAGCTATAAGTTTGCATTTACAAAGTTGAGGCAAAAATACTATAGCATGGCTGCTACTATGAATTAAGCAAGATTAAAACCAAAAAAAATCACAACACTTAATAATTTTTATTAAACAATGGTGTATTTAAATAAAGCTTAAATAGAATGCAAATGTATACAACATCTTCATGCAATAAACATAGTACACAGTTACAATTAGTTTTGCTCTGACATTGATTGACTTGTTAATTGTATTTGAAGGAGACAGATCTGGGTCAAGTTCTACGGACCCGCTAGATGAGAACCTTTCTGAAGAGGACCAGGAGATCTACAATCAGATGATATCTGGTGCTAGAAATCTGGTGGAGCAGGGCAACATTAAAGAGGCTTTGGACTTAAACAAGGAAGCTTTAAAGATATATCACAGTGAAAAACTTGCCAGGAAAATTACTAAAATGGAGGTATTTTTATAAAGTCCTATCAGATGTTATTAGATGTATCACTTTTAGCCCCCAAAAAAATGAAATTAGAACAGAAGTCCTTGTGAGTCATTCAAATTGCATTAAGTAACTAATGAGTTACACAGAAATGGTAACACACATTTTGGGCTTAATAAAGGATCCTGAAAATTATTTTCTGGGAATGACCCATTGTAGTTGTTTGAAGTATAGAAATACGTTTCTTTTGGTCAGGTAAATTTAGTTATTTTCAACCAAGAATAATATCTGTTTAACATGTTAAATGATGTCTTATGTTGAAACTGTAGTATAAGGTTATTCAAATGTACCACAAATTGAAATAATATTGTCCCAAATGACAGCACTCAAGATCACATGCAGTTACTCACTATATTGTATGACAAAATTTTGACAAGACAAGACAAAGTTGTTTTACTTTATGATAGGATCATGATTTTAAGGGATACATGCAATACTACTGATTATCACATATTTTGTACTGATATGTACGTTTTTGCATGGCCAATAATAGCCGGAAGTCAAGGTTGGTTATCAGCCCTCGGGGCCAATATCGATATCAGCCCTTGAAATCCATATCGAGCCCCCGAGTTTAACTTCCGGTAACCTGTCAATCAAAAACTATTTGTAAACAAGTTGTCATCCAAAGCAGTTAGACGATCAAGAGAGATCAAATGACGATGTATGTAAATTCATACAAGAAATGAAAAATGAGAACACAATGAAAAGAAATTTAGAAATTTACGAATCTGCTGTAGTAGAAAAAATGTAAAAAATCAACAGTGGAAATCACAAAAGTTCCCGTAAAATTTGGACGTCATAAAGAATTTAGAAAATATATGACGTCACAATGAAAAAGCGATTGTTGTATGACATCGAAAGTTCAAGCGGAACATATTTCCAAATCATAGTAGCGATATGGTGTATTCTTCGTCAGCATTAATTGGAAATGTAACACTTTTTAAAGTCGTTTAATAATTACAATTCTGGGAATTAATATATTTATTGTTAATTATTTGTTAAACTTTTCACAAAACTTTGTTTACTCACTGGGATTCGAACTTTGTTAACTCACTGTGATACATTTTTTAAATTTTTTTCGTTAAATGTTTTTTTGAATTTTTGTTGAAAATATCAAACATAATTTGGTATATGCTATCTTTTTTCTCTTGCTTGAAAATATGTGATAAATAGATTATTACATGTCATTTTTCATATGGTCCGTGGTATCAGCCCACGACCCATATCAAGCCCTCGGGCTAAAGCCCTCTGGCTTGATATGGGAGTCTAGGGCTGATACCAGGGCCAATATGGAAAATGCCATGTAATAATCTATAAATATCATTAATCTTTTTTTTCTCAATATTGTCTGATACATTTGTACTAAATCGTTTGCTTTATGACATTACATGTCCCTGAAAATAGATTTTGAATACTGTAAATTTAGAAATTATTTGCGAGGTTTTTATTAATGCGACTGGGTGGATTTCGCAATAATAAGAACTCGCATTCTGACATCTGATACATTTATCTGTATGCCGAATTTCCTGAAATCGCAATAATTGATCTCGCATTTTTATACAGTCTTCAAAAATCACAAAAATAAATGCACGCAATAATATCTGAATTTACAGTAGCCTATTGTTTGATCATAAAGTCTTTACATACTGACTTTCAGTGAAGTTTATAGACTATTAATGATAAAGTTTCTTCCATACAATACAAGTGAGAACGATATTTTTTAATGAATCATTTTATCTTGAGATTTTTGTTTGTTTTTAGATGTTTTTAAAGACCAGTGGTAATCAAGGTACAGGGAATATTAAGAGTCAAGGTCAGTCTGGATATACTGTTCAGGTTATAAAGAGTTGTTGTTATAAATCTTATATGTAGAATGGAAATATAGATAAATATTCATTAGTTTCATGTTTGATCTTCAGAAGTATTAAACATAATGCATGTTCAGGAAGTTTCGCTGTGAAAGATTTCTATTAATGTCCAATCAAAGTCAGCTCATCTGAAAATAGGATTCGTACGACTTTTCAAGTTTATCTTTATGGAACAACAGTTGGAATTTGAAAGTAAGGTATGGATTGAATATACATGTATAAGTGATCAATGATTAACTTAAAAGTTTATTAATTTTGAGTTTTGAAAAGTTTAAGTAAAATTTTTGTAATAACCATGTATTGTGTAATTGATTTTAGTACATATTGATTACTAGTTTTAAACACAGGTACACCAAAGGCAGAAACTGCTCAGAAAGAGAGCATTTCAGATGGAAATAATGAAATATTCAGCCAGCTTATTCAAACAGCCAAGCAATACACTGAAGAAGGCAAAATAAAAGCGGCATTAGAACTTTATAGAGAAGCTTTAAAGATTAATCCCGATCATGACAAACTTGCTAAGAGAATAGCCAAGATAGAGGTTATTTATATTTTAAGTTTAATTTGATAATATTTTTTTTTATGTGAATTTAGGATTTTTTTTATGTGAATTTAGGATTTTGTTTTAAACTCAATCTATTGATTATTCAATGAAAATAATTTATTGGAGATTGGAATTTTCTAAAGGTTCTGAAATGAATAAACATGATTGATGAGAACTATATTAAAAATAATAATCTATAAACGTAAATAAAAAAATCAGGAAACAATGTTTTTCATTATAAAATAAAAAATAAAAACTTTATGGCTGACTTTAAAAAATTAAGAAAATAAAATTAACTGTGTTAAAATCTAAAGAAAACTTATTGCCAAACAGATGATGACCAGAGAATTTATTTCATTAAATTAATATGTTGAAGCCCTTTCAATTGACAAGCATTTTGATTTGACACAATCGGTTTATAAATGAAAAGCTATCAAAAATATACTAAAATAAATGTGGGAACTTTCCCAAATTTTTTTTTCACATTTTAAAGAATTAGAAACTCTTATGGAAGTGACAGTTTGCTTGTAAAGCCAGCTTATCTAGGGATGTTGCAGATAATTCCATGGTAATTTCGACTGTTTTTAAGATCATACTACTAAATAATAATTTAAGTCATCTGTTCACAAATAGCTAGCAGCATGTGTGTTAAAATGTTTGTCAAGATTTCTTGTGAAGCACTCTTATTGGTTAACTTTTAATGATTTTGTTTTTAATATTCCAGGTATATTTAAAACAAAATGAGGAGCAAACAAATCATAGAACTGATGATGATGTTGATGCAACAAAAGAAGGTAAGAATAATAGATTTAAGTGGTGTATTACATTGACATGCATTACAATTACATTTTCACACATCTTTTTGTTACATTGGCCACAATCATTCAGTCAAAAAAGCACCAAATCCTGGAAATATAAAAACTAGTCATATGAAACCTTAAATCTTACAGGTTTCCTTATTACTTTGTAATATTAAATGACTGGGATTTATGTCCTCATTATGAAAAATATTAAACATAATTCATTCAATATTCAAAATTTTAAAAATTGACTTATTTGTTATGAATAATCTATATACCTGTATTTACCTGTGTTACCTGTAAAATGGATATGCACAAATGTGATAAAATACTACGCACAATCTTAATTTTTTTATCACCAAATATGCACAAATATAATTTACGGCTGTTTAAGAATCTGACATAACAAAATTTAATTGAGTAATTAAATATTGTTATAAATCAAGTTCAGTTTTTATGGCTGCTGTGATAACTATTTTTAGCAATACTTTTTTAGAATTTAATATGCATTAAAAATGTGTACATAGATTGGTTTACCAAATAGATTATTTTTTTATATTTTTAGAAACAAAACCAGAGTCAATAGGAGGAACTCCATTTAAAGAAAACATTTCAGAAGATAATAAAGAAATATTCGACCAGCTTGTTCAGACTGCCAAGCTGTACACAGATGAGGGCAAAATAAAAGATGCTTTAGAACTGTATAGAGAAGCTTTGAAAATAAACCCAAACCATGACAAACTGGCTAAGAAAATAGCCAAGATTGAAGTAATTTAGTTAACAAACTGTTAAAATTCTTTTACTTTACTATCATTCTTTAACTTGTTATCAGGATGAAAATAGAGACAATGGGCTTCTGTTTAACTCATTTAGATAATTTTAAAAATGTGGAATTTCATGGGAACTTGAAGTTTGAGAACAGTTTTTTGAAAGAATTAAAACCACCTTTATGGATTTTGCATAGGGACATCAGAATGGACATCACTTTTATAAAATAACCATCTGTCATGGCCAGCAGTAAGTGAAAATGTCAGTAAGTGATTTTTATCCCACCTCAACAAAATTGAAAGAGCGAGACTTAGGCATGCTGTTTCCAGAGGTGTCGTTGGAGGCTGTGGAGTCAACAATGTATTAGTTTGTGATAAGGTCAATGATATTTGATATGCCTTTGTATTTGCATTGGCACATCTTACTGTATTTCCATTAAGATATTTTGGTCCAGCTGCCTCATCATGGTTCATTGACTTTGAAATTTTTGCATAGTTTATTGTTAGTTTGTGTTAAGGTCTGTTTAAATGGAACCTCTTATGATAAGTCAATGTTATTTGGTATGTAGTTATATAAACATTCAATTTGGCATTTCTCATTTTCACAGAGTTTTTTTTGCCTTGCCCATTCAGTCATGGTGCATTGACTTGGAATGTTTTGCAAAGTTTACATGTTCAAGTGTTTGTACTTTAATTTCAATTATTGCATTATATTATCAAAATCACATAAAGGTGAGACATAGAATTGAGAATGGAAATGGGGAATATTTATTTACTTCAGATTTCTTTTTGTAAAATGGAAACTTGAAAAACACCACCTGGATAAAGCTGGAAAGATGGAAAGAATGGATAAATACTTTATATGCATATATTCTTTATCACTTACATGTACCTTAAATATATTATACTCTTAAACTTCATCTGTGTTTTTAACTTTCATATCCAGATGACTTTCAGATTTATGTTTGTCAAAAGTGTTTCTCTTATTTTCTGTCTGAAGTACATTGACACATATGTTCTCTATTACAGATTTATTTAAAGGAAACAGAAGGAGAGACATTTTTAAGTGAACAAAAGGTTACTGAAGGTATTGTACACATTTACACTTTAATATAATATACTTCATGGAATATGAAATCAATATATAGGTTTTTATGATGTTGGTCCAAATTTTTAGTGTGACAGTAAGTCTATATTTTTTTTCCATTTTTCACCAGAAGTTTTATATGTGCAATTTATTCATGAAAGGACTGCTTTTTGCAATATCCTGATTAACAAAAACAATACCCCAAAACTGGACAATGACACAGCAGTCAAAAATAAACATTTTTCTGCTTTATAAAAACACATTTAGTCTTAGACATGTTAATAATAGCAAATTTAGATTTATATTCATTTTCAGATTTACGGGGGGCACAGGGGGCATGCATGTCGGGGCAATAAATTTTTTTAATGTAAATTTATTATTTTTTAAAATTACTAAATACACTGAATTACAAGTTGTTTATTTTGTTTCAGAACACAAGCCATCAAATAAAGAAAAATCCAATGTTCCTTCAGAGACACCAAAGAAAAAATCTGTTTCCCAGGAGGATCAAGAGAATTTCAATCAACTTGTTCAAACAGCAAAACTATACACTGACGAAGGCAACTTAAAAGGTGCTCTAGAATTATATCGAGAGGCAGTAAAAATCTATAGCAGTGAAAAGTTGACAAAGAAAATATCAAAGATTGAGGTACTGATTTAAAAGTGGTTGGAAGTGATATCACTGTATTATTTTGTAAATTAGTCTATTTGTGTATCTGTGTGTTGCAGATAAATAAAATACTAAAAGCCCAACACCATGAAACTTTAATGTGAGGTACCCAATTGCACCCATTTTGACAGTTTTTCTCCTTCATTTATTTAAGAAACAGACAAAAGTTTACATCCTGTGTATTTTGGTAGATGTATCCTCATTTTCTATTTTGTTTCACAAATTTAGTTTTGAATCCATACTGCATCATAGAAAAATTGGTTTGAACTGACCTTCATAAGATCCAAAATTGTCTAATTAGGAATACCTAAATTGAACCCATGCTTAACTACAAACCTGTAAAAATCGAAAAAGTGATGTTTTGTTTTATTTCTCCGCATATTTTGAACAATTTGACAATAGTCCATGCTTGTTATGCATTTTATAGAGATGGATGTCTCTGTCATATTTTGATTTCTTATTTTTAATAGTCTACTTTTTTCACATTCTTTTTTCTGTAATTTTTTTTTTCACTCGAGACTTCATCTTGATATATAGTGTGACCGTTTTGTGTATCTTTAGAATATTTAGCTGTGTATAATGATAAATAATAAAAATATGAAATGTTTATTCTCTAAGAAAACCAATAAAACATCTGAAACTTTTTATGGAAAATGGATACTGTTAAGTTACACTTACAGGCATACTGCCTAAATGAAATAAAGAAATGATATAATTTGTGGCTCCAGAGGTGAGTATCATTGGATATCTGGTTTTGAAATATTTACAGTTTGATACACTGATAAGGATTTGAGCAAGTATTTGCATATGATCACAATAAAACACCTATCATATTCGTATTATGGCTGATTTATTCATATCATTTAATAAATAATTATATATACTTTTTATTTCCTAGTTTTTTAGATTACTACATGTACATAGGATCTATCTAGAACAAGGAAAATACACATTTTGATTATTTTTTTATTTTATATACATGTATTGTAGAAGTGTGAATTCTTATTGTCACATGTATGTAATACATATATAAAATTTTTCTTTTGGTGAAGGGTCTAAAAATTACAAGTGTTTCTCAATAAATGTAAATGGAAAGCAGTTTTAAATAGAATAAAGAATGGAAATGCTGAATGTATCAAAGAGACAACAACCCGACCAAAGAACAGTAAAAAGCCCAAGGCCACCAGTAGGTCTTCAACGCATGGAGAAAATCCTGCACCCATAGACTGGCTTCAGCTGGCCCCTAAACAATAATGTATATTGATATGTAGAGTAAATGGGCTATTGGATGTAAAACAATAAATTTAATAATACTTTCTAAAAACACCAGTATACATATACATTTTAAAATCATTAACATACTTTAATTTCCAGGCATATATCAAAGAAAACTATGAAAATGAAGCAGAAGTAAATAACACAGGTAAGCCATTAAGTGATAAATAAAATGAATAAAAGATCACATGATCTTGTTAGAGATACATCACATGATCTTGTTAGAGATACATCACATGATCTTGTTTGAGATACATCCCATGATCTTGTTTGAAATACATCACATGATCTTGTTTGAGATACATCACATGATCTTTTTGATATACATCACATGATCTTGTTTGAAATACTGTTATGGATCAAACTTATTGACTGCTATTTCTACTTTGTATCGATCTGATAAGTTAAGCCCTTTTCAACTGATTTTTATAGTTTGTTCTTATGTTGTACTGTTACACCACTGTCCCAGGTTAGAGGGAGGGTTAGCACGCCTTCAAACTAGTTTAACCCCGCCACATTCTGTATGTGCCTGTCCTAAGTCAGGAGCCTGTAATTCAGTGGTTGTCGTTTGTTTTTTGTGTCATGTTTGTTTTTCATTCATTATTTTGTACATAAATCAGGCCGTTAGTTTTCACGTTTGAATTGTTTTACATTTGTCATTTCGGGGCCTTTTATAGCTGACTATGTGGTATGGGTTTTACTCATTGTCGAAGGCAGTACAGTGACCTATAGTTGTTAATTTTTGTGTCATTTGGTCTCTTGTGGAGAGTTGTCTCATTGGCAATCATACCACACATCTTCTTATTTTTATATATCTTTTATGAACATGCATGCACATTGTCATAAAAGGATTTATTATAGCCCCCACTTTTTATATTCCTACTCTAAAAGTGGGGCTATAATGCAATCACCTTGTTCATCCCTCTTTTTATCCTACACCTATTTCTGTCACACTTTTCATAGGAAATGCTATACAAATACTTTCATATTTGGTCACCATCTTGACAATGTTGAGTTATAAAGTGTGAACACTTTTGGGATCTGTCAGACACAAACTTTTTATTTGTCAATACTTTATATATTTCAATATGTTGAATGAACTTAAAAATTTAGGTTACACATTTCTCCAGTATTACTGAACAGAATGACTTATCAGCTTGCCAATGACGTGTAGTAATATGTGAGAGTATTTTGGATCTGTGGGACACCTACTTATTGTTTGTAGATATTTTGATTTAACATGACTTGAATGAAAACAAATATTTTTCTCACAATTTTTTTAAAAATTACCAAAGAAAATGACTGACTTCATATTAGGGTCAGTAGCTTGATAGTAATGAGTTGTAATGTGTAGGTGCTTTTATCAGACACCTACTTCCTGTTTCCAATACTTAGAATTACGAGTGGATGTACATGTATGCTTATCATGACAACATGTGCATTCTTGTCGCATTTAGAATTTTGGGGAAAATTATGATATATTGTTGATTTACATAAGATAGAAGGTTTACAAGATATAGTGGGAATTATTAATCCATTCTCAAGATAATAATGTCTGATTGTAGAACAAAGTTCAAATGGAGACATCAAACCAAGTGTCACAAAGACACCAGGAAAATCACAGAATAATCAGAATGAACAGGACAAATTTAACAAGCTTGTTCTGGAGGCCAAACAGCTCATTGGTGACGGAAAAGTCAAAGCTGCTCTGGATTTAAATAGACAAGCATTAACCATCTGCCACAGTGAAAAATTAGCAAAGAAAGTTGCTAAAATGGAAGTAAGATTGAATTAAGAAATTTTCGTAAGAGTTAAGTAAATATGTCATGCCTAAAAATTCACCATATTATAAGATTGATAATGCTGAAGTTTTCAGACAGGCTATGACAGGATTTTAAGAAAATAAACAACTGAAAACATGATTTGTTCGAATTATAACTTCTAATATAATTTTTCTCAGAACTACAATATAAAAATTAGACAATGCAGTATGATTGCCAATGAAACAACTATCCACCAGAGACCAAATGACATAGATGAATGCAACTATAGGTCACAGTACAACCTTCAACAAATAGTAAAACCCATACTGTATAGTAAGCTTTTAAATGCCCTGCCATTTACAAGACAACAAACGAAAAAACAAATGTGATACACAGTAACCAACAGCACCTACCAAATTACAGGTTCCTGACTATGGACAGGCATATACTAAATGTGGTAGGTTTTGTGAGCTCTGAATGCCTATATAAATACACATATGAGTAATAAGCATTGAACTTGTTAAAATTTTCTTAACCCATTTTAGAAATCATGATGATTACACAAGGGATTTTAAATTTCCTTGCAATAAACATGATAAACAAAGATCTTTTTCTGCAAGAAAAAGCTGTGAAGACAACACTTTTTACATCATATTTTTTTTCGTAAAATTGGAACTGTTTGGTGATTGAAAAAAGTAGAGAAAAGTAATTATATTGGTAAATACATGATTGTTAAATATTGCAATAAGTCAGTTAATAGTTTTTTTACACTGACCAAAAATTTGATAAGTTGAAACACATTTTTTTTTCTTTCAGCAATACCTGAAAGAACATGGAAATGAAGAAGAAGGCAATGACGAGGAGAATAATGGAATGGTGCATGTTGGGAATGGTTATTTCATGTACAAAGAGTTGTTTGAAAAGTTATATGATCATCAGAAAGAGGCTGTTTTATGGATGTGGGGTTTACACAAGAAGCGAAAGGGAGGAATTCTTGGTGATGATATGGGGTAAATTTGTTTTGAGATTATTCATATAGAAAATAGTTTCTAATAGAATGAGATTATTACTCTGGAGCAGGCAATTAGAGTTACTGGTAAAACAATATCTTGTTCCTTTTCTGAGGAGATATTTTTTTTATTATTTATAGCACCACTGGGTTATTCACTTTGTCTGTCAGTTCATTTATCCATTCTTCCAAAAAATGGAATGAATGATTTCTTCTTTGGTCAGGAGATTGACAGTGATATGGTCATCAATCTTTACTGCCCCTGTAGTTGTGTGTTAATCTCAAGTGTAGGAATTAGTGGGTCAAACCAAAGACTTCAAATTGGTATTTAACTTCTCATCAATCAAGCTAACAGTATTTAGAGGAAAACAAAGTTGGTCAGCTCAGAGCTTGGTTAAATTGTTCAAAAATATCTTCCTGTATACCATTTCCTTGTAATCTATCACTTTAAAAAAACTGACTCAGCATGTAGATCTAAAGATGCATGTTATATTTACCACTGGACATTTAAAATCAACCAATTTATTAATCTCATCAACTATTCATAAAAGATAGGGCTCACCTTCATTAATTTTATTTGTTATGTTTTAAGAATTTCATGTATTGCTTAGAATGAACTTATTTAAATGTTGACTCTATTCTTTGATTTTAGCTGAGATTATTTGTTGAATAGCTACTTATAATCATGACTATGTAAAGCAACAATTTTTCACTGTTTTGATAAACTAATGTAATGGGAAGCAATGCAGATTTTTTTCAAATAGATAACAGTAAAAGAGATGTGGTTAAACTACAAATTAACATATTAAGGCTTAATATTTGATGTGTTTTGCAGAAAAATAAGTTTTTGTCTGGATTTAGAAAAATGCCTTATGACAGTATTACCATGATTACCAGATAGATTTGAAAATTGTACAAATGTGAGGAGTATTTTCAGCAATGTTTGCAACACAGAGTCTTCATGCAGTATTTAATATTGTGAAAGATATTTTATTTGCCTATTCCAATGTTATAAAAATCATTGGTTCAATGAAAATTATTTCATTTGGAACTAACCAACAACCGAATATATACATAGGGTTAACCGTTACGACACACTATCCACTAATTGATATTCCACTGATAGACATACTTTCACAGTGTAAAGAATGATTGTTGGTTTATTTTTTAGACTTGGTAAGCCTTTACAGGTATTATCATTCCTGTCAGGATTGTGAGTTTATTTTTCAGACTTGGTAAGACTATAAGGTAATATCATTCCTGTCAGGATTGTTGGTTTAATTTTTCAGACTTGGTAAGCCTTTACAGGTAATATCATTCCTGTCAGGATTGTTGATTTATTTTTCAGACTTGGTAAGACTATACAGGTAATATCATTCCTGTCAGGATTGTTGGTTTATTTTTCAGACTTGGTAAGACAATACAGGTAATATCATTCCTGTCAGGTTTGTTGGTTTATTTTTCAGACTTGGTAAGACTATACAGGTAATAATATCATTCCTGTCAGGATTGTTGGTTTATTTTTCAGACTTGGTAAGACTATACAGGTAATATCATTCCTGTCAGGATTGTTGGTTTATTTTTCAGACTTGGTAAGACAATACAGGTAATAATATCATTCCTGTCAGGATTGTTGGTTTATTTTTCAGACTTGGTAAGACTATAAGGTAATATTATTCCTGTGAGGATTGTTGGTTTATTTTTCAGACTTGGTAAGACTATACAGGTAATATCATTCCTGTCAGGATTGTTTGATATGGACAAAGTCAAGTCGGTACTCATTGTTATGCCAGTCTCTCTTATTGTTAACTGGGAAAAAGAATTCCAAAAATGGTAATATTTTATTTATTGTATGCATACCCTTAAAGAACAGTTCACTATTTACACTTATAATCAAATTGTATGGAAAAACAAAACTATTTTCAATATTTTTAAACAAATAAAATTTTACTCACTTATATATATGTTATGCAGAACATGGGAACTATAAAAATAAGAAAATGTGTTATGGTTGCCATTGAGACAACTCTCCACCAGCAACCAAATGATGTAGAAGGTCAGCAACTATAGGTCACCATATGGTCTATTGTAATGAGCAAAACCTATACTGCATAGCAAGCTGTGTTCTTTTATGAATATGGAATCAAGTAGAATTTATTGCTTTGTTAGGGGCAATTTATTTAAGAATGTCTCACCCTTTACACATCATCCTTGCTACATATATGTTTTTCCTTCAACATTTAGAAAAAAAAATGTGCCTCATACATGCATGGTTAAACCAGGTACATAAATAACATGTCAAAATTTTGCCTGAATGATTGATTTAGTGATTTTCCCCCTTAAACTTGGAAAAAACATTCTGTGAACCTTTTTGTGTAGTATTTACAGAAATTTTAAACTATAAAGCACCTCACACAAATGAGAATTAGTGCTCATAAATTAGCTATTGACATGGTTGTTATATAGAAAGATTGACAAAGATAAAAAAAAATTGTAAATTTTGTTCTTGAAATTCAATTGAAGATGAAATCCTTTTCTGATGCAATGTCCTGTATTCGAACAACAATGACAAGTTATGATAAATTCTGCTTTAAAAATGTGTAATGATTTCAAAATCTAAATACAGAAAACAGATTTATTTGGCTTCTTTCTTGTGAACATGAAGGAATATTCAGCACTGTGGCTTTGATTTGTTATAAATGTTTTACAATAAGAAAACAACTGCAATATTTAAATCCCTATTATCATAAGCCACATCATTGTTGTTTCTTTACTTATGTCTATTTGTAATCATTATATGTAACATACCCTTTATGGGAGACAATTGGTTTGATAAAGTATTCATATTGGTATTCGTACTTCAAAGCCCTTTTAACTGCCAATATATGATGACTTTTGTAATCTATGAAAAGCCCTAATATTATGAATAAATGGCAGATAGTTGATAGAAAGTTATTGAAGCCTTTTGTTCCATCAATATGTATATTCATTTTCTACACTTTGGACGACTTAAGAGGTGGACATATTGTTGAAGATATTATGTTGACTTCTAGATGTCTATTGATTTTTCTGTTGTTGGGTTTCTGGCTATGACATTTATATCTCCTTTTATTCTTGTAATAACTGTTTTAGGGCACCAGGTATAAGAGTAGAAGCTTACCATGGTAGTAGTAAGAAGGAAAAGGAAAGAGCTCTTGGTAAAGTACAAAGACGGGGAGGAGTTCTCCTGACATCTTATGGACTGGTAGTCACTAGCTCAGAAGTTATTGGAAAACAAGATGGAAGAGAGTTTGTATGGGTAAATATTGATCTTTTGTTGATATTCTAAGACATTTTGTCTTGTCATCTGAAGGTGATTTAATCAAAATTCAGATAGCTTTGAACTCTTGTTTAGGTACACTTATGACCACCATTGTTTACAACTTATAACTAGAATTTTGGATTGTCAGTTATCAGGATATTTAGATATTTTTTTTATTACTAATTTGAAAAATATAAAGCATAAGAAAAACAAATTAGTCAGCTACATCTGTGAAATATGAGTTGATTGTAGTTGAAGAATAGGATAAAAAACTAATGTAATGAAACCTCATGGTAGTATCAAAATGTCATAGTTAAAAATCACTTATAACAACAGAAAACAAACTTATTACCGACTAACCTGTATGTTAACCTCTATAATAAAATTGAGAATGGAAACGGGGAATGTGTCAAAGAGACAACAACCCAACCAAAGAGCAGAAAACATCCGAAGGCCACCAATGGGTCTTCAACACAGAGAGAATACCCGCACCCGGTAGGCAGGCTTCAATCGCCCCTAAATAAAAATGTGTACTAGTTCAGAGAAAATGGACGTCACACTAAACTCCGAAACAAATAGATGAACCAACATTAAAAAACTTACAAGACTAACAAAGGCCATAGGTTCCTGACTTGGGACAGGCGCAAACATGCAGCTGGGTTAAACATGTTTTGTGAGATCTCAACCCTTCCCCTATACCTCTAGCCAATGTAGAATAAACAAAAAATTTTTTTTTTTGCTGTTGGTGAAATTAGGTTACTGTTTCCTTTTATTTATTGTCCTGATAATGCATGAAATATTTGCAAGTGGACTTTAAGCAAGGAACAATCAATTAGATGTGTTATTTATTATCAAACAAATGAAGAAATTTCAGGATTTTTAGCTGATTTTATATAATGTAGCCTGTTCATATTTATAATTTTAATACAGGTAAGTAGAAACATGTGTCATCATCAACCAGTGGTTGTTTTAAGCAGCCAGTCCAGTTTTGATGTTAAAAAAATATTTCTGATTGGCAGTAGAAATTTGAACATCTGAGGGTTTTTTTTTCAGGACTATGTGGCCCTTGATGAAGGACACAAAATAAAGAATCCAACAAAAACTACAAAAGGTGTCCATGCAATTCCTGCCAAGAATAGAATTATACTAACAGGGACACCGATACAAAATAATTTGAAGGTGAGTTTACCTTTTAAGTAGTGGTTCATTTGATTTCAGTTCCTCATTAGTCAAAATTCAATTATGATGTAAAATGTTCATGTTTTCCTCTGAATTTCTCATTGTGAAGTAACGAAAATAGGCGAACATGCCTGATGATGTCACATATAAAGGGCACATCTTTAAGTCAATAATTAAAAAAGAAAGGGAGAAATCTATTTTTGTAGAATTTTTTTTTAAAGTTATATCTTTCCAGTATAAAATCAAATCAAATAGAAAATGAATTAAATGTAACCTAAACATGTTCGTCAATGTGATAAAAAGGAAGTTTATTTTCAGGAACTATGGGCATTGTTTGACTTTGTACACCAAGGCTCATTGTTAGGAACAGCCAGAACGTTTAAAATGGAGTATGAAAACCCCATTACCAGGGTAAGATTAACATTTGATCAATTTAAACAGAAATACAACTTATTGTTAAGAACTTCAGGTAAGAAACCATGTGATAAGGGCAAGAGTAACATTTACAAAAAACATTGCACACTGGTATAACCAGCCAGAGTAAATTGAATGGAGTCATATAAAAATAAGGAGATGTGGTATGATTGCCAATGAGACAACTATCCACCAAAGTTAAAATGAAGTGGACATAATCTGTTTGAATTTTATCCCCTCTTCAACTTTGTAACAGGGAAAGATCAGCTAAGAAATTATTGGTTGGCAGATTTTATTCTATGATACTTGCTGTAATGCTAGGATATATACTGAAATAAATAAATATGTATAAAGTTGTTGTGTTTTACAGAATTTTGTATTGCATTGATCATAAATTTTAGAATTTGCTACATATCTAGTGTTAGAATATGGGATGGGATTATTAGGATTTATTAAGTAGCTACCCTAAAATTATATTCTGTTTGTTGACTTTTCAGTAATACTGAATAGTTTAAATCTCAGTCCACTGATGCTTCAAATGAGGACAGAAATTAATTTTCAATCATCAACACAAATTTTGCATACATTGATATAAAATAAAATCACAAGTTTTAAGGCTATAGTAAAAACTTTACAATAGTTTGCTGATTTTTATAAGATAAAACTTAGTGCAGTATTTCCTAAAGTGATCAAGTGAGCTGATTTGCACTATCAGAACTTTATCAAAGGGAGCTGACCCAAATGAAAACTGGATGCTAAAAAGCACAATGCTAAAGCAATATTTTTCTACAGTAAAGTTTACTCTAAAAAAAATGACATTTAATGACATTGACCAAGTTTATAATTTGTTAAGATGTAGATTTGTACCAAGGCTTCCAAAACGGTCATATATTCCGGACATTTGTATAATGTCCGGTAAAAGTCCGGCTGGGCAAAGCATGAAACGGTCATCTACTTTTTAGTTTACAAGGCTTTCTTAAGAGACGGTCATATTAACATAATTCACGATCTTTTTGACCCAACCTTTTGCCTTTAACAGCCACACATTTCCGGTCATAAAAGTGACATGATCATTAAGTACTATCAAAACAACCCCTACTTTAATACCTTCTCATTTTAATCAAGGCTAATTAGTTGTCGAACAGCTGAAATTTACCTGTTCAGGTGACAGGAAAACTATTTTGAACCGGACATTGATCGGTCTATTCAAAGTTATCTTCTTACATTTCAGCGGTTTGCATCTAATTAATTTAGTCAAAAAGATTAAAATTATCAGAAATACGTTTACAAATATGATTTGATGAAAAAATTAAAAAGGTGAAAATGAAAAATCGTCATAACCACGTTGTTTGAACCAGAGACATGTCTCTGTTTGAACTAGTACACGTGTGCGCAGGTGTGAAATTTAATTATGCATCCTAATTTCTTAAAAAAAATGCTTAAATTGTCATTGATACCTTTATCTCACTTTTATTTCGAATATTTTCTTGAAGAAATAACGTAGAAAGAGCTACGTACACTCATTCATGCTTTGCAAACGTACACGGAATTTACGTATCCGTCTCTGATCCATGTTTTACCATTGTCAAGATAACATCCGGTAAAAGATTTTAACGAATGTAAAGTTTTTATACGCCCGTTTACGGGACGTATTATGGTATACCTCTGTCCGTCCGTCCGTCTGTCCGTCGTCAACATGTCGGACATTAACTCAAAAATGCTTTAACCAATTTGCATAAAACTTTGGTGAATTGCTTATATCTATTGACGTGAGCTCCCTTTCTTTTTTTATAAAATTTAGATATTTACGTTTCCGAGTTATGGGGTTTTATTCATTAAAAAAAGGGGGATTTTCCAGTTTTCGGACAATAAGTCAGGAATGCTTTCACCAACTTGCAAGAAATTGTGGTGAATTGTTTATATCTATTGACATGAGCTCCCTTTTGATTTTTATAAATTTTAGATTTTACGTTTCCGAGTTACAGGGTTTTATTCATAAAAAAGGGGGGATTTTCCAGTTTTCGGACAAAAACTCAAAAATACTTTCAGCAATTCTTATGAAACTTTGGTGAATTGTTTGTATGTATTGATGTAAGCTCCCCTTAGAATTTTATAAATTTTACACTTTACATTTCTGAGTTATGGGGTTTTATTCATTAAAAAAAGGGGTGATTTTCCAGTTTTCGGACTCAAAAATGCTGTCAGCAATTCTCATGAAACTTTGGTGAATTGTTTATATCTATTGATGTAAGCTCCCTTTTTATTTTCATAAATTTCTAATATGACATTGAGAATTAATTGAACTTTAATTGTTTATAGTCTGGCAACAGATTTACTAAGTATTGCACAACAGCAAGAAATCTTTAATTGAATATAAATTCAATTCATATAACCAATTTCAAGTTCTTAGACTACATTTATTCAGAAACCTATAATATGTCAAATATTTAATTACAATCCAAATTCAGACCTGAATCAAGCTTGAATATTGTGTCCATTTTTGCCCCAACTGTTCAGGGTTGGACCTCAGTGGGCGTATCTAGCTGCGCTCAGCGAAGCAGTTTATTGACAACGTTATTTTGCACAAATAAAGAGTCTAAGGCAGATATAAGTACGCTGATGTTGCACACTTCGAATGATGCACTGCCAATTTAACAGTTAACGTCAGAACTTTGAATTTGAATCAAAGAAAGTTTAATATCGTTTTTTTTTTTAATGGCAATCATTGGGATGGCCAACTCAGCAACTGAATACGATAATTGCCTTTTGTTTATTTAGTCTTAAGGGATTAAAATCGGGATAATATATAAAATGTCCGGCTGGCTAAAAATAATTTTGGAAGCCCTGATTTGTACTTACAATTTTGTTGTCTATGATTAGGCCAGAGAAAGGGATGCTACAGTTGGAGAGAGAAAATTGGGACAGGAAATGGCAACTAGTTTAAAGAAGATTATTGCTCCTTATTTTTTACGGAGAACTAAGGCTGAAGTGACAGAGACCAAAGATGGCGTAAAAGTAGATAACTCTGACGAAGGCGTTGGAAAGTAAGTATTATTCATAATATCTATAGAGGACAATAGGTTGAGGTTAATAGATGTTACAGAGACCAAAGATGGTGTAAAAGTAGATAACTCGGAAGAAGACATTGGAAAGTAAGTATGATTCATAGTATCTACAGAGGACAATAGGATGAGGGGTGACAGAGACCAAAGATGGTGTAAAAGAAGAGAGTTCTGAAGAAGGCGTTGGAAAGTAAGTATGATTCATAGTATCTACAGAGGACAATAGGATGAGGGGTGACAGAGACCAAAGATGGTGTAAAAGTAGAGAGTTCTGAAGAAGGCGTTGGAAAGTAAGTATGATTCATAGTATCTACAGAGGACAATAGGATGAGGGGTGACAGAGACCAAAGATTTGTGTAAAAGTAAGGATTTCCGAAGAAGTTGTTGGAAAGTAAGTATGATCATAATATCTACAGAGGACAATTGGATGATCTGTGACAGAGACCAAAGATGGTGTTAAAGTAGAGAGTTCTGAAGAAGGTGTTGGAAAGTAAGTATGATTCATAGTATCTACAGAGGACAGTAGGCTGAGGTTAATAGATGTGACAGAGACCAAAGATGGTGTAAAAGTAGAGAGTTCCGAAGAAGGTGTTTGAAAGTAAGTATAATTCATAGTATCTATGGAGGACAATAGGATGAGGTCAGATGTTACTGAGACCAAAGATGGTGTAAAAGTAGAGAATTCTGAAGAAGGTGTTGGAAATAAAGTGTTGTTCATAATATCTATGGAGGACAATAGGATGAGATCAGATGTTACTGAGACCAAAGACGGTGTAAAAAGTTGAGAATTCTGAAGAAAGCGTTGAAAAGTAAGTGTTATTTATAATATCTATGGAGGACATTAGGATGAGGTCAGATGTTAATGAGACCAAAGATGGTGTAAAAATTAGAGAGTTCTGAAAAAGGTGTTGGAAAGTAAGTGTTGTTCATAATATCTATGGAGGACAATAGGATGAGGTCAGATGTTACTGAGACCAAAGACGGTGTAAAAAGTTGAGAATTCTGAAGAAAGCGTTGGAAAGTAAGTGTTATTCATAATATCTATGGAGGACATTAGGATGAGGTCAGATGTTACTGAGACTAAAGATGGTGTATAAGAAGAGAATTCTGAAGAAAGTGCAGGAAAGTAAGTGTAGTTCATAATATCTATGGAGGACAATAGGATGAGGTCAGATGTTACTGAGACCAAAGATGGTGTAAAAATTAGAGAGTTCTGAAGAAGGTGTTGGAAAGTAAGTGTTGTTCATAATATCTATGGAGGACAATAGGATGAGGTCAGATGTTAATGAAGGATGTCATTTAAATGGTTTACATTATAGTTTTATCATTATGCTCAGTATAAAAGTCTGGTATTAACATTTTGGTCTTGATGAAAAAGATTTATATCAATCACATAAGGGACCATCTCTGTTTGACTTAAACATTGTCTATACCCCAAAAGAAAAAAAAAACAGCTGTGTCATTTTCTTAGGTACAAATTTTATGAACTAAGATTGATTTAAAACTGTTTTTTTTAATGTTCTTCTGAAAATCATTGTATTAATGGGTATATTGCTGCAATGTCATCTTTTACTTGAAAATAGCTTTTAATCCAAAAAAAACCCAGTTTGTTATATAATTTCTTTATGCAAGTTTTTAATGCTATTAACTGTTGAATTATCTCTGTATGCTGGATTTATATTATATTTAGGTACAAGAACAGGTAATGCATCATTTCTTGTTTTGCTTTGGAATTTATTCAATGTTTTATTATAGCTTTTTTCTATTTTTTTATGCTTGTGTATATAGAATCCTATGTATAATATGAATAACTATAACCAACTCTAAAAGGAGACTATATTGCAATTATCAAGATCTTGTACGTCCATTCACATCTGTTGATCCAACAAATATTTTCATCACAATTTTCTTAGGAATCACTGAACAGATTGACTCCCTGTTAGGTGATCAACTTGACAGTAAACAGTTGTAATGTGTGAGGACTTTTTGGATCTGTCAGACATCTGCTTTCTGTTTGCTTATACATGTACTATGATTTTTTCAACTTGTTGAATGAAAACAAATATTTTCATTACACTTTTCTCAAAAACTACTGAAAAGAATGACCAGCTTGACAAGAGTTGCAACTTTGAGAGCTCTTTTGGCTCTGTGGGAAACCTACTTTCTGTTTGCTGGTTCTTTGAATTTTTAACATGTTGAAAACACAGTTTTCTTTAACTCTTACTGTACAGGGCCGTTATATTTTGATCTTTACCCAAAATATTTAAAAAATTTTGACTCCTATTACTCTCCATACTTTTAGAGGTCAACTGTATGATATGTATTTCCAAATTTATTCATGTTCCCTCAACTTAAGACTATTTATTGTCATGTTTCTCAGGTTTAAGGTGCAGTTTGAGCCCAAACACAAACTTTGAAAATAGAAAATCAGACAAAACTGTTTCTTTTCTTCTGTGTTTGTGAAGGCAGTATAGAGTCCTAAAACTTTCCAAAATAGTGTAAATCTGAGGGCTTATAACTTTTGATTGTGCTTATTATTGAAATACACTTAGCGAATGACTACTTCCAGTTGCAGGTCCAGGTGAAGTAAAAATCTGGAAAAATCAAATAATTCCTGATTTTGGATGTAAATGACCTTCTTTAGACTACCATACTTATCCAGGTTCACTCCAAAATCAGCACTTTTGTGGTCAATGTGTCCACTATGGTCTACTCTTCATGCAGAGTGAGATGCAGCTATCAGCATCCCTTGGTCTTCAAGGTCAAGAATAGGACAAAAAATTATCAAACTTGACATGTTTTGCACCTGAAGACCCACTTTGGGGCCTTTCCCCCCCCCCCCCCCCCCCTAACTTTTACCTATTATAGTTATCTCTCAAACAGGGCAAAGTTAATAGTAACTTAGTTAGTAAGTAAGTTAATACACGTTTTTGTCGAGCCTGCGACTTTTGTCGCAAAAGTGAGACATAGCGATCCTACATTCCGTCGGCGGCGTCCACAAATATTCACTCTGTGGTTAAAGTTTTTGAAATTTTAATTACTTTCTTAAACTATCCTGCATTTCAACCAAACTTGGACAGAAGCTTGTTTATGATCATAAGATAGTATCCAGAAGTAAATTTTGTAAAAAAAAATCCTGTTTATCCCTATTTTACTCATAAATGGACTTAGTTTTTGTGCCAGTTAACATTACATTCACTCTGTGGTTAAAGTTTTTCAAATTTTAATAACTTTCTTAAGCTGTCCTAAATTTGTACCAAACTTGGACAGAAGCTTGTTTATAATCATAAGATAGAATCCAGAAGAAAATTTTGAAAAAAAAAAAATCCTGTTTATCCGTATTTTACTCATATATGGAGTTAGTTTTTCTGCCAGTTAACATAACATTCACTCTGTGGTTAGTTTTTCAAATTTTAATAACTTTCTTAAACTATCCTGGATTTGTACCACACTTGGACAGAAGCTTGTTTATGATCATTAGATAGTATTCAAAAGTAAATTTTGTTAAAAAAAAAATCCTGTTTATCCGTATATTACTTATAAATGGACTTAGTTTTATTCCAGTTAACATTACGTACAGTCTGCAGTTACAAGTTTTTAAAACATTTATTAGATTCATAAACCTTCTTGGATTTTTACCAAACTTGAACAGAACTTCTTACAATCAAAAGATAATATCTAGAGGAAAATTTTTAATAATTTTTTCCCCATTTTTGTTGAGCTGGAGACTAACAGCAAAAGAAGGCGAGACACTGGGTTCCGGGGAACCCTTACGAAATTTTCATTATAAGAGGGTACCGCAGTAAGTAACAATATTAACTAACCTACTTTGAGACTCTCAAACAATAACAAATCTAAAATTTATAAATATAGTTTGGAACTGTTAGGGAGCTTTGTAACAATAAAAAATAGAAATAAACATGCATGTTAGGGCATTTTATGGCTTGCTTTGCGCTTTGGGTTACACTCATTGTTGGAGGCCATACGGTGACCTATAGTTTGCTAACATCTAAGTTATTGGCTATCATACCACATATTCTTATTTTAATATTGTACAAATCTACACTATTATAGGTGGTAATGTAATGTGTGTTAATTTACAACTTTTAGTTTATAGTGATACCAAAAGATATAAATCATAGATCTCTTGTATTGTATACATCAATGAGATAGCAACCCTAATAAGACTAAAAGCCAGAAAGACATTTTAAAAATTTGCTTGAGATATTTTGATGCAAAAATACATAAAATCACAGACAACATGGTAATTTCTTTTTCATGTTCTCATGAACTTGATTCATAGAGTATACATTGCATTGTTATATAGTTTGAAAATGCAAGAAACATGTTTTATTCATCAATAAAAAGATAATTGAATTGTTTGTATTCTGGTCAATAGACCATCTTGATACCAGAAAAATATTTCAGCTTTGATTAGATTTTATACAAATGAAAGTGGTGTTAAGATAAAGACTGTTATATTTTATTACTTGAATAATTGTTTTTTGATTCAGAATATTCCATGATGGATTAAATTTAGAAAGTTAAACACCATCACCTACCACAAAATAAAAAAAAATAGTGCTAACGATTTGTTATTTGCCAAGATTGAAACAATACATCTGATATCAATGACTTTTCCACAATATTACAAAACCTGACATCTTTAAGTTGTACTTCATTTGCTTTATTCCTCAGTTCATTCTACAATGTTAATGTTTTTATTTGTATTTATATATTTGACAAAAAGGAATGATTTGAGGTGATGAGTATTCCCACTTTCACCTCCTGGAAAAGATTAAAGGATACATTTTATCTGCATTGTTTTTACATGATGTCATCATTATCTAGTCTGATATGCTCTATTTTTGTCGAGCCTGCAACTTTTGTCGCAAAAGCGAGACATAGCGATCCTACATTCCGTCGTCGGTGGCATCGGTGTCCACAAATATTCACTCTGTGGTTAAAGTTTTTGAAATTTTAATAACTTTCTTAAACTATCCTGGATTTCTACAAAACTTGGACAGAAGCTTGTTTATGATCATAAGATAGTATCCAGAAATAAATTTTGTAAAAAAAATCCTGTTTATCCGTATTTTACTTATAAATGGACTTAGTTTTTGTGCCAGTTAACAGTACATTCACTCTGTGGTAAAGTTTTTAAAATTTAAATAACTTTCTTAAACTATCCTGGATTTGTACCAAACTTGAACAGAAGCTTGTTTATGATCAAAAGCTAGTATCTAGAAGGAAATTTTGTAAAAATTTATTTCCTGTTTTTCCATATATTACTTATAAATGGACTTAGTTTTTCTTCCAGTTAACATTACATACAGTATGCAGTTAAAGTTTTTAAAACATTTATTAGATTCATAACATCCTGGATTTTTACCAAACTTGGACAGAAGCTTCTTACAATCAATAGATTACATAGACAACACCAAAAGTAGGCAAGACACTGGGTTCTGCAGAACTCTTAAGAATTTTTACAGAATTCCATCTTTATCCAGTCTGATATGCTCTATTTTTACAGAATGCCATCTTTAACAAGAAAGAATGATTTGATATTATGGGTATTCCTTACTCAGACACAACAGAAAATTTACCATGATTTCTTGTCTTTGGACACTGTAAAAGAGGTAAAACTATGAAGCCTATGAATCAAACGAATACTGTGGATTCATTTATTTTCGTGGGTACCAATTTTAGTGGATTGAGGAAAACTTGCATGTTCGTTGATATCTAATTTCGTGGTTTTGACGAAGTCTGCATACAAGCCTATGGAAAAGTTGTTATTTGTTGAACATTTAATTTCGTGGTTCACCTTTACCCACAAAATCCACAAAAATTGGTAACGTACGAATAATAATGAATCCACAGCATTTGAATGTCATAAATATAAAAATAAGGAGATGAGGTATGATTGTCAATGAGACAACTATCCACCATAGTTCAAATAAAGTGGATGTAAGCAATTATAGGCAACCATACAGCTTTCAACAATGAGAAAAACCCATACTGTAAAGTCAGCTATAAAAGGCCCCAACATGAAAAATATGAAACAATCCAATTGAGAAAACTAACGACCTAATTTATAACAAAATAATTAATGAAAAACAAATATGACAGACATAAACCAACAACAACCACTGAACTACAGGCTACTGACTTGGACTCAAATCATAAAGTTACCTGTGATTGTTCAGACTTTTTTTTATACATGTGTATTTCAAAAAGGACAGATATAAAAACAGTAATGTCTCCACTAATATGTCATACTTTTAAAAATACTTCTTTTATAAAGTTCCTTTTCTCTTTCAAATGCTATGTAAGTTTTAATCAGAATGATTCCTTGGCTGATCATGATAAAAATTGCTCAAGTAGATCTATCAATTCATGTTCTGTGAGAATGTTACAATGATTTATATTTTTTCAGTTACTGATGACAAAGAAATCACCATTGGTAGCATTAACTGTTCTGAAGAAAATAACAGACCACCCCAGATTACTATCTACAAGGGCTGTAGCTCAGCTAGGTCTAGAGGATCATGGGTAAGATTTTTGCATTTTTTGCAAGTAGATAAATAACGTGAATATAAATCATTGCAATTATGTAAAACTTGGAAATTTTCTTATTACATGTCAAGTATATATGAAAATAGTAAAGTTTAATGGAAGCGAAGTGGGCTAGAAAGGGCAAAAAGCGAAATAAAGTATCCCTGAAAATTAGTTGATTTACAGTAATAGTAATCACTGTATAAATTCTTTTCTTTACAGTCTTGATGAGGACCAGTTAGAATCTGAGGAGGCGTACCTTAGTGCTGTCAATCAAATTAAAAATGTTGATGATCAGATACTCATTAACGAGTCAGGGAAACTCATAGTTCTGGTGGAGTTACTTGACAAATTAAAAGAAGAAGGACATAGGACATTAGTGTTCTCCCAGTCCAGGAAACTTTTAGATATCATTTATAAAGTCATTTCCAATAGAGTATGTATAATGAGAAAGAACTTTTACAGCCAATTTCAATGAGTGTGTAGCTAAAGGTTATATCTTTGGTTAGCTTGCAAAGCTGAACCGTGAAGTCATTGTTAGGTAAGGTATACTACCCTCCTTTTGAAGTAGCCTAGTCCTACAGACAGATAGGTTGGTTTTCTGTTGGACTAGTCTACTCTTAAAAGAGGGTAGTTTACCTAACCTAACAATGACTTCAAGGTTCAGCTAGCAAGCAAGCTAACCAAAGATATTACCTTTGCCTACACACTGAAATCGGCTGTAATATTTTGTAGATTAAGATGTTTTTCAAATTATGCCATTAGAATTAATCTTTATAGATTTTGCTGCATAAAGACATCTCTATGTATTCTGAATTAAATTTTTATGCTCCACCTAGGATAATAGTAGGGGCATTATGTATCTGGTCTGTTTGCTGTTCGTTCGTCCGTCCATTTGTCCGTCCGTCTGTCTGTTCCGCTTCAGGTTAAAGTTTTTGGTCAAGGTATTTTTTGATGAAGTTGAAGTCCAATCAACTTGAAATTTAGTACATAGGATATGATCTTTCTAATTTTAATGCCAAATTAGAATTTGAACCCCAATTTCACAGTCCACTGAACATAGAAAATGATATTGGGAGTGGGGCATGCATGTACTAGGGACACATTTGATGTGCAAAATCTGGGTTACAAGAACTATGATTGATTGATTAATTGATTGATTGTTGATTGCTTGAGGTCCAGTGAAAATTAAATAATGAATATTCAGGATGATAGGTTCTGCAAGATGGGACAGGCCACCTATTGACCTCTCAGAGAGTTGTTGGCAAATATTACATGCATATTCAGGATGCCCTCCAAGGATTCCCAAGGGTATACAAATTGGTTCCAGTTCCTTTAGTTTTTAAGAGGTATGACTCCCCCATAAATGATGTTTATTTGGCTATTTGGGATGTATAAGTACTCTGGTAAGTAAGTTTGAATGGGTATGTTAAATCAGATGCCTTGTGTAAGGAAAGTGTGACACCCTTCACATTAAAGAACCATTGCAACAACATTTTGAGGAGTTTGTAAGATAAGTTTCTGCCCCATCCAACATACCCTCATTTTGCATGAAATGTTTGCAGCTGGATATTAACCAAACAACAATCAATCATATTCAGGATAAGAACATGTTAATGTGATATGAAATGATAAATACAGTAAAACCTGTATAAACCAGTCGGCTATGGGACTATGAAAAAGGGCCAGTTTGGACAGTGGGTCAGTTTATTCAGGTTTCTGTTTTGACCGGAAGTTAATGACTTGTGACGTCAGATATTTTGCACGTAAAAGTTCTTTCTGATTGTAAATTGTAAACTGATAAATACAAACTGTAATACATGAATATACGCACGATCGTTGTTTTGAGTCTTCGTATTCATTGGCTTTAGAAATTTAAGAAATTGGTTGTTCCCCCAATTCAAAAAATTAATGTTTCGACCTTTTTTACATATCCTCGTATGTCAAATCGACCTCGGTAGCATCAGTCTCCGACTTGTCAGTTTAACTTTCACTTTGAGTGTTTTTTTTATTTGCATTAGAATCCTCGTGTTGTTTGAATTGTTACACGAGAGTTTCGTTTTACTTCAAATTCTTCCATCGTTCATTTCCTATGTTGGTATAGTCGATTAAAAAGCCAGAATTTTATCAAATGAAATTTCATCAAGATCAAAACATTGTCGTACAGTGTAAGATTCCCATGGATTGTCGTCACCTGGGTCTTCTTCATTATGAGGGTCATTGATTTCGGGATTCACAACAAGGAACCCAGCATTTCGAAAACACGATGTAAATTTCTTACTTCGTGATTTAAAAAAAATATCAAAGTTACAACATAAGTTCTATCCGAGATATATTTGGCGTTTCTTTTAGTTTATTTTAATTAAAACTTTTATAGTGTTTCAACAATACAGCTCACTACTGTAAGTTCACGGTTTAACACCTTGCTCATTGATTATCATAAAAACAACATCTTGTATAAACGATTATGTTTTGATTGCATATCGATCAATACAGTTATCATTTTAAATTAATTAAACAAACTGGTTTTGAAGGTAATAATTGATGTAATTAAGAGTATTGGGACTGCATAATTAGACCGGAATTAGGAATACACAGGGTCCAGTTTACAAAGGGTGTTTTTACAAAGACTTTGAAGGGAAAAAAATGGGACTTCAATTTTCGGCCGGAATGGACAGGAAACCGGTTTATTCAGGGTCCGGTTTACTCAGGGTTGACTGTATATAAACCCTTCTATGACATGGACTGCCACACTGGCCCAGATTGTTAACATGTTAGTTCATAATGTAACAGTCACAAGAAGACAGAATAACTACCTTAACATATCATTCTGAGTCTGAGCCACCCTGTCTTTAGAGAAGCAGCAAATACCAATATCAAAATCTTTGAAATGACTTCAACAGCAATCCCACACTCTTTCTCATTGTTTGCAGCATCAACATTTATGTCAAGTCAGTCGGTGGTTAAAGTTTTTTTAAACATCAATAACTTAATCTAACCTTTATGGAATTGTATAAAACTGTGAAAGAAACTTTTGTTAGGCTACTTCCTGTTTCTTGGTAGTTTGCAGTTTTACAACAATCATTGTACACAGAACATTTTTGTCAAAATTATCTTGGCTTCTATGGAAAGAAATATTGTTATATTTATTTTGGAAATTGATTATGTTTTTTTTTTATTGAGTTGTAGCATGTATGCAATATTTACATCTGCCATGCAGCCACTTTCTGTTTCTCGGAAGTTTGAAATTTCACAACACTCATTGTACAAGGAAAATTTTTTATGAAACTACTTTACTTATTAAAAAGTCCAATTGAAAAAAGTTTTGTAAATCTTGTAGGGACACATGGTGTTGACATAACATGGACAGTAACACATGTGTAATCTTTATTCATTGTAGGGACACATGGTGTTGAGATAACATGGGACACACTAACACATTTGTAATTTTTGTTCAATGTAGGGACACATGGTGTTGAGATTGGAGGGGACAGTAACACATGTGTAATCTTTATTTATTGTAGGGACATATGGTGTTGAGATTGGATGGGACAGTAACACATGTGTAATCTTTATTCATTGTAGGGACACATGGTGTTGAGATAACATGGGACACACTAACACATTTGTAATTTTTGTTCAATGTAGGGACACATGGTGTTGAGATTGGAGGGGACAGAAACACATGTGTAATCTTTGTTTATTGTAGAGACACATGGTGTTGAGATTGGACGGGACAGTAACACATGTGTAATCTTTATTCATTGTAGGGACACATGGTGTTGAGATTGGATGGGACAGTAACACATGTGTAATCTTTATTTATTGTAGGGACACATGGTGTTTAGATTGAATGGGACAGTAACACATGTGTAATCTTTGTTCATTGTAGGGACACATGGTGTTGAGATTGGATGGGACAGTTACACATGTGTAATCTTTATTCATTGTAGGGACACATGGTGTTGAGATTGGATGGGACAGTAACACATGTGTAATCTTTATTCATTGTAGGGACACATGGTGTTGAGATTGGATGGGACAGTAACACATGTGTAATCTTTATTTATTGTAGGGACACATGGTGTTGAGATTGGATGGGACAGTAACACATGTGTAATCTTTATTTATTGTAGGGACACATGGTGTTGAGATTAGATGGGACAGTAACACATTTGTCTGAGAGAGATCAAAGAATGCAGAAGTTTCAGACAGATGAAAGATACTCTGTATTTCTATTGACAACACAAGTAAGATTTAGTGGACTCTGTATTTCTATTGACAACACAAGTAAGATTTAGTGAACTCTGTATTTCTATTGACAACACAAGTAAGATTTAGTGAACTCTGTATTTCTATTGACAACACAAGTAAGATTTAGTGAACTCTGTATTTCTATTGACAACACAAGTAAGATTTAGTGGACTCTGTATTTCTATGGACAACACAAGTAAGATTTAGTGAACTCTGTATTTCTATTGACAACACAAGTAAGATTTAGTGGACTCTGTATTTCTATTGACAGCACAAGTAAGATTTAGTGGACTCTGTTTTTCTATTGACAACACAAGTAAGATTTAGTGAACTCTGTATTTCTATTGACAACACAAGTAAGATTTAGTGAACTCTGTATTTCTATTGACAACACAAGTAAGATTTAGTGGACTCTGTATTTCTATTGACAACACTAGTAAGATTTAGTGAACTCTGTATTTCTATTGACAACACAAGTAAGATGTAGTGGACTCTGTATTTCTATTGACAACACAAGTAAGATTTAGTGGACTCTGTATTTCTATTGACAACACAAGTAAGATTTAGTGGTTACGGTTGCTTCAAACTTAGAAAACAAAGTTGTCAGATCTTTTACCAGAAAGTGTTATATTCATCTAATTCCATTGTAACCACTTTTATAGAGTACACTATATATATAAAAAAATGTTGAAAATGCAATTGGGTTCTGATTCAATCATTTAAAACCACATTTTTATTCTGATAAGGCAAATTTCATAAGAGTTGGGTCTTTAATCACATTAGATTTTTTGCCATCGTTTCACTATGTACCAGGATTAATATTTTTTCTAACTGACAAATTTCAGTTTGCAAGAATTACCATATGAATTTAAAAACTTTTTTCTAGGTTGGAGGTGTTGGATTGACTCTAACGGCAGCAGACAGGGTGGTTATTTGTGAGTAAATAGTACATTTTGGTGTTTTAATGTTTCTGAAGTTCATAAATTGTCTCCCTTTTATTCAAAATAGATACACATTCTGTTGAGAAAAGAAATACAAGACAGCACTATGACTAAATTAATAATTAGAATTGGGGGAAAAATAGATGGTTACTTTGTGTTCTATCAATACTGTAACCACCAATTTATATATATTTTTTTTTATATAAATTTTAGATATAAAATAGGGAAGTGTGGTAGGATTGCCAATGAGACAATAGGATGCAGATGTTAGTCAATAATGAACAAAACCGTATGGCAAGACATGACAAAATGTTAAACAATTCAAATGAGAAAACGAAAGGCCTGATTCATGTACAAAACAGTTAACAAATAAGACCAACACCAACCAATGACATCCATTATATTACAGTGTCCTGATTTGGGACAGGCATATACAGAATGTGGCAAGGTTTAACATGTTTGCGGGCGCCCAACCCTCCCCTAACCTGGGAATATTTTGAAAAGGTATTGACTCATCACATTGATACAAAACACATAAACAAATTACAAAATCACTAAATCCACAAAGTACTAATCTGAGAGTCATCAAAGTTACTGAAAACTAGTGTAAAGTCAATAAAAGCTAATAAAAAATTTAAAAGTCCATTATTTTTAGATGATCCAAGTTGGAACCCTGCGACAGATAACCAAGCTGTAGACCGAGCCTTTAGGATAGGACAGGAGAAGAATGTTGTCATCTACAGGTTGATTACTTGTGGAACTGTTGAGGAAAAGATCTATAGAAGGCAGATATTCAAAGATTCTATCACAAGACAGACAACAGGAAACAGTACAAACCCCTACAGGTATTAAAAACCCCTACTGCCCTACTGATATATTAAATACCAATACTGGTATTAAATTCATTTTGGTACAGCTTTTCATAGAGAAAGCTGTTATAAGGGGCATTAATAGCTTGTTTTATAGTAAGGGTTGTTTGCTCCTTGTTGAGGGCCATACACAAGGTTGGAAAAAAAGCGGTCAATACTAGTATTGACCATGCCGGCAGTAAATACCAGGAAATACTGGCAAATACTGGTTGTTTGAAATTTAGAGTGGGCATTACTATAAAAACCACTCTCTACCTGGTCAATTACTGTTAGTAATGAAATAATGCAAGTGTTAAAGTCATTTTAAATGTACTCATTTTTGTTTTAATTGTAAATTCTTAATAAACAGTGGTTTACATTAATGCATTAGTACAAAATATTAAAGAAAAAGATAAAAATGAAGTCTTGGTGCTTTTGCACTGACCATTGCATTGCAATCATTACATTTGCACTGGTTTTGCTGTTGTCTTCTAACATAGTAAAGAAGTTCAAGGGTCTTTATGTTTCTTTTTCATTTATGTTTGAAACCATAAATTACAGAAGCCATAAGAGTAAAGGTCCTTCAAACTTTCCATTTCCTGCATGAAGAAGATTTTTGTCTCACAACCCAACCTTGGCCATACAGTAACCTATAGTTGTTATTCTTTGGTCTCTGGTGTGTAGTTGTCTTATAGGAAATTATACCCCATCAGTTTGTTTTAAAGTAAGGGTTGTTTGCTCATTGTTGAGGGCCATACAGTAACCTATAGTTGTTAACGTATTATCCTTTGGTCTCTGGTGGGTAGTTGTCTTATAGGAAATTATACCCCATCAGTTTGTTTTAAAGTAAGGGTTGTTTGCTCATTGTTGAGGGCCATACAGTAACCTATAGTTGTTAACGTATTATCCTTTGGTCTCTGGTGGGTAGTTGTCTTATAGGAAATTATACCCCATCATTTAAAGTAAGGGTTGTTTGCTCATTGTTGAGGGCCATACAGTAACCTATAGTTGTTAACGTCCTCATCCTTTGGTCTCTGGTGGGTAGATGTCTGATAGGAAATTATACCCCATCAGTTTGTTTTAAAGTAAGGGTTGTTTGCTCATTGTTGAGGGCCATACAGTAACCTATAGTTGTTAACGTATTATCCTTTGGTCTCTGGTGGGTAGTTGTCTTATAGGAAATTATACCCCATCAGTTTGTTTTAAAGTAAGGGTTGTTTGCTCATTGTTGAGGGCCATACAGTAACCTATAGTTGTTAACATCCTCATCCTTTGGTCTCTGGTGGATAGTTGTCTTATAGGAAATTATACCCCATTAGTTTGTTTTAAAGAAAGGGTTGTTTGCTCATTGTTGAGGGCCATACAGTAACCTATAATTGTAAACGTCCTCATCCTTTGGTCTCTGGTGGATAGTTGTCTTATAGGAAATTATACCCCCATCAGTTTGTTTTAAAGTAAGGGTTGTTTGCTCATTGTTGAGGGCCATACAGAACCCTATAGTTGTTAACGTATTATCCTTTGGTCTCTGGTGGGTAGTTGTCTTATAGGAAATTATACCCCATCAGTTTGTTTTAAAGTAAGGGTTGTTTGCTCATTGTTCAGGGCCATACAGTAACCTATAGTTGTTAACGTATTATCCTTTGGTCTCTGGTGGGTAGTTGTCTTATAGGAAATTATACCCCATCAGTTTGTTTTAAAGTAAGGGTTGTTTGCTCATTGTTGAGGGCCATACAGTAACCTATAATTGTTAACGTCCTCATCCTTTGGTTTCTGGTGGATAGTTGTCTTATAGGAAATTATACCCCATCAGTTTGTTTTAAAGTTAGGGTTGTTTGCTCATTGTTGAGGGCCATACAGTAACCTATAGTTGTTAACGTCCTCATCCTTTGGTCTCTGGTGGGTAGATGTCTGATAGGAAATTATACCCCATCAGTTTGTTTTAAAGTAAGGGTTGTTTGCTCATTGTTGAGGGCCATACAGTAACCTATAGTTGTTAACGTCCTCATCCTTTGGTCTCTGGTGGATAGTTGTCTTATAGGAAATCATACCCCATCAGTTTGTTTTAAAGTAAGGGTTGTTTGCTCATTGTTGAGGGCCATACAGTAACCTATAGTTGTTAATGTCCTTATCATTTTGTCACTTGTATATAGTTGTCTTATAGGAAATTATACCCCATCAGTTTTTTTACTGATAGAAGAGAGTCTTGGATTAAAATATTTTGACATGATAAATTTGTAAACCTTCTTAGATTGTAACTAAACTTGGACAGAAGCTATTCTTCAAATTAGAAATAACATCTGAAGAAAGAAGTTTGATCTTTATTTAATTTTTTTTTCTTTCTTATAAATGGACTTACTTAAATTTTTTAGAAGCTCTTGAAAGCATGAAAGTTACCCTGTAAAATTTACCTTATAAAAGTGGCTATGACATGGTCAAAAGATTCAGACTTTTCAGAACACTTTTGTTTTTATTTTAAAAATGAAGTCTTTGCTCTGACAGTAATTTCATTTAGCAAATCTAAATATATGTAAATTGTATCAAGTAACATCAAACCTAGAAACTATAATCTGTCAAATATTTAACAGCAATATCAAACATTGTAACACAACAGACCATATTTCTGTCACAGTTAACGGCTGTAAGGATGTTATGTTGTTTTCACAGAATCTTCAGTGCCTAACAATATTGTATACATACCTTTTTTGTCGAGCCTCCCAAATTTATTTTGCGAAAGCGACCCTAGATTCCGTCGTCAGCAATGTCAACATTTAGGTTCAGTCTGTGGTTAAAGTTTTTTAAGACATAAATAACTTTGTCAAACCTACAAAAAAATTCGGACAGAAGCTTGTTTATGACCAAAATACAGTATCAAGAGCAAAATTTTGAAATATCAAATTTCTTTTTTCCATATTTTACTGATAAATGGACTTTTTTTTTGTCAAGTCTGCGACTTTTGTTACAGAAAGCTCGACATAGGGATAGTGATCTGGCGGCTGCGGTGGCCTTAACTAACTACTTAAATATTTTAGAAGTTGGAAGACCTGGATGCTTCATTCTTTGTATATAGATGCATTATGTTATGAAGTTTCCGTCTGTCATATGATCTCATTTTCATGGTTCAGTGACTACTTGAAAAAAAAGTTAATATTTTTTGTAATGTTAAATTCTCTGTAGTTATGAGTAAAGGATAACTATATTTAGTATGTGCATACCTTGCAAGGTCCTCATGTCTGTCAGACAGTTTTCATCTGACTTCAACCTCATTTCATGGTCAAGTTTTCGTGGTCCAGTCCATAAATCAGAGACTATAAGCCATAGATCTACTATATTTGGTGTATGGAATGATTGTAAGGTGTATAGGTCTGTCTGACAGGTATCACCTGACCTTGACCTCATATAAATGGTTCATTGGTCAATGTTAAGTTTTCATGGTTAAGTTTATTTCTTAGATACTATAAGCAAAAGGTCAACTATATTCAATGCATAGATTGATTGTAAGGTGTACATAAAATTGAGAATGGAAATGGGGAATGTGTCAAAGAGACAACAACCCGACCATAGAACAGACAACAGCAGAAGGTCACCAACAGGTCTTCAATGCAGCGAGAAATTCCCGCACCCGGAGGCGTCCTTCAGCTGGCCCCTAAACAAATATATATACTAGTTCAGTGATAATGAACGCCATACTAAACTCCAAATTGTACACAAGAAACTAAAATTAAAAATAATACAAGACTAACAAAGGCTAGAGGCTCCTGACTTAGGACAGGCGCAAAAATGTCTGGCATGGTTCATTTTACCTTGACCTCGTTTTCATGTTTCATTTGGTCAATGTTAAGTTTTCCTGGTTAAGTTTGATTCTTAGAAACTATAAGCAATAGTTCAGCTATATTAGGTGTATGGAATGATTGTACATGTATTTCCAGTTTAGTTTATCTAACCTTGACCTCATTTTCTTGGATCATTTTAAGTTTATGTGATACTCGTAGTAAAGCTTTATATTTAGGAATAACATAAATTCAATGGTCAGTAAAGCAGGCGAGACATTTCATCGTGTGCACTCTTATTATAGTTATTTTGAGGCCCTGTCCCTTGGACATGGTCCAGTGACTTTGAATTAATTAGCAATTTTCAATGTTAAGTTTTCTGCTTAAGTTAGTCTGATAGGATCTACTGGTGAAAGATCATTGATATGTTGTATGAAGTCGCATGACTATCAGTACATATCAGTTTGATGACTATTTTGAGGCCCTGACTCCTAGGACATGGTCCTGTGACTTTGAATTAATTAACAATTTTCAATATAAAGTTTTCTGCTTAAGTAAGATTGATAGGATCTACTGGTGATAGATCAACAATATTTTGTATGAAGTCGCATTACTATCAGTTCATATCAGTTTGACAACTATTTTGAGGCCCTGCCACCTAGGACATGGTCCAGTGACTTTGAATTAATTAGCAATTTTCAATGTTAAGTATTCTGCTTTATTTAGTTTGATAGGATCTACTTGTGATAGATCAATGATATTTTATAAGAAGTTGCATTACTATCAGTTCATATCAGTTTGATGACTATTTCAAGGCCCTGCCCCCTTTGTCTTGGTCCAGTGACTTTGAATTAATTAGCAATGTTCAATGTTAAGTTTTTCTGCTTAAGTTATATTGATAGGAACTATTTATAATACACAACAATATTTTCTATAAAGTTATATTACTTTCTGTACATCTCAGTTTGTCGACCATTTCCAGTCCCTGCCCATTAGATCAAGGTCCAGTGACTGAATTAATAAGCAATGTTTATGTCCATCAGATTGTCTTTTTCTGAGTTTTATGTCGATAGACGATACATATCTCTGTGTCAACAGTTTATTCAGTCATCAATAACATTGTCAAACCTACATGGATTTTTAGAAAATGACGCAGTCAATTTTCTTTTACCATTGACCAGACTTCCAACCCGCATTCCGAACTCGGTTCCGTATTTTACATACTTATTA